ATCCCTCCGCCTCTCTCCGCACCGGAGCCTAGTGCTCCGCCCACTTCCCCTTCTTGCGCGTTCACCAGCAACCCAGTTCCGATTTCTTTTGTCAATGCAGCCGCTTTCCGCCGCGCATCCGCGATGCGTGGCTCACACTCCTTTTCCCTTTCCCTTTCCCAGAGCGACAACGTGGTGCGGGCATGCGCCGCAGCAGTTGATGCGGAACCCGTCGACCTCTCCTCTGTTCCAGAGGAATACCACGAGTTTGCCGACGTGTTCAGCAATGCTAAGGCCTACACTTTGCCTCCGCATCGACCTTACGACCTCAAGATCGAGCTGGACGCTGCCGCTCCGCTTCCACCCAGTCGCCTCTACTCCCTGTCTCCTGCGGAGACCTCCGCACTCCGCGAGTTCCTCGAAGAGAACTTGCGGGCTGGTTTCATTCGCTCCTCCAACTCTCCCCTAGGCGCTCCCATCCTTTTCGTCAAGAAGAAGGATGGATCGCTCCGCCTGTGCGTCGATTATCGCGGACTCAACCGCATCTCCAAGAAAGATCGCTATCCGCTTCCGCTGATCTCCGATCTCCTCGACGCACCCGGCCGCGCGAAGGTCTACACCAAGATTGACCTGAAGCATGCCTATCACTTAGTCCGCATTGCGGACGGGGATGAGTGGAAGACCGCATTCCGCACACGTTATGGGTCGTATGAATGGCTGGTGATGCCTTTTGGGCTGACCAATGCGCCCTCCGCATTCCAGCGATTCATGAACGATATCTTTGCGGACATGGTTGATGTCAGTGTCATCGTCTACCTGGATGATATCCTCATCTATTCCGACAACATGGAGGATCATCGCAAGCACGTCAAGGAAGTCCTCCGCCGCTTGCGGAAGCATGGTCTCTTCGCCTCCGCAAAGAAATGCGAATTTCATGCGGAGCGCGTGGAATACTTGGGTTACATCTTGTCGCCTGCAGGCCTCACTATGTCTGCGGACAAGACCAAGACCATCCAGGACTGGCCTGAACCGCGCTCTGTGAAGGATATACAGTCCTTCCTCGGTTTTGCCAACTTCTATCGACGCTTCATCCATAACTACTCCGACATCACTGTTCCGCTTACCCGCCTCACCCGCAAAGACACCCCTTTCGTGTTCGGCGACTCCGCACGTTCCGCATTTGAAACCCTCAAGTCCGCATTCACTTCCGCACCCATCCTGGTGCACTGGCAACCCGACCGACCCCTGATTGTGGAAACTGACGCCTCTGACTACGCCCTTGCCGCCATCCTGTCCCAACAACTCGACTCTGGCGAAATCCACCCCGTCGCATTCCATTCCCGCACTTTCCAAGCTGCGGAGCTCAACTACGACGTCCACGACAAGGAGCTCCTGGCTATCTTCGAGGCCTTCAAGATTTGGAGGCATTACCTCGAGGGATCTGCGGAGCCTGTGAATGTGATGACGGACCACAAGAACTTGGAATATTTCGCCACTTCCAAGGTCCTCACCCGCAGGCAAGCGCGCTGGTCGGAGTATCTCTCCCAGTTCAACCTTGTCATCCGCTTTCGCCCTGGAAAGCTGGGGACGAAGCCCGATGCCCTCACTAGACGTTGGGACGTCTACCTTAAACAGGGAGGTAGTGACTACGCGTCAGTCAATCCCCACAACTTCAGACCCATCTTCACCAATGAGCAGCTGTCCGCATCGCTCCGCGCAACTTCGATCATGCTCCCCGCACTCCGCGCATCGGTCGTAGTTGACGAGGGAGCGCTCCTCAAGGACATCAAGGCTGCTTACTCCACGGACGAAATCGCTTCCAAACACCTCCCCACACCTTCCAACCCTCGCTGGACTCTCTCCGCAGATGGTATACTCCGCCAGGACGGACGCATCTACGTTCCGGACGACTCCGCACTCCGCCTCCGCGTACTTCAGCTCAAACACGACCATCCGCTTGCGGGACACTACGGCAAGAACAAGACGATTGAGCTGGTGCGCCGCGACTACGTCTGGCCGGAACTCCGCACTTTCGTTGCGGACTACGTCCGCTCCTGCACAGTCTGCAAGCGCAACAAGTCTCCGCGTCACAAGCCTTATGGTTTGCTGAAACCCCTGCCTATTCCGCTCCGCCCCTGGGACTCCATTTCGATGGATCTCATCGAACAGCTCCCCGCATCCGGCGGATACACGGATATCTTGGTGGTGGTGGATAGACTGTCCAAACAAGCCATTTTTGTTCCGACAGACTCCCGCCTCACCTCCGCAGAGCTTGCGCGACTGTTTGTGCTCCACGTCTTCTCCAAACATGGTGTTCCTGGCCATGTAACCTCCGACCGCGGCTCCGAATTCGTCTCCCACTTCTTCCGCAGTTTGGGGGAAGCCCTGGACATGAAGCTCCACTTCACATCCGGCTACCACCCAGAAGGAGACGGACAGACAGAGCGGGTCAACCAGACGCTTGAGCAGTATTTGCGGACCTACTGTAACTACCAGCAGAACAACTGGCATGAACTCCTCCCACTTGCGGAGTTTGCGTACAACAATGCGCCTAGTGCCACAACTGGTGTTTCACCATTCTTCGCCAATAAGGGTTATCATCCGAACATCTCTGTTCACCCTGAACGCGATCTTGCGAGTTCCGCAGCCCGCGACTTTGCGGTCGACCTGCAGGAGCTCCACGAACACCTCCGCACCAGTATCGCCAGCGCGCAGGAGTCCGCACGCCGCTATGCGGACCAGAAGCGCGTACCTCCGCCAGACTTCAAGGTGGGCGACCGAGTTTTCGTTAAGGCCCAGTTCTTCCGCACAACCAGACCTACCAAGAAGCTCTCGGAACGATACTTTGGCCCTTACGAGATCATTGCCCAAGTTGGAACGGTTTCCTACACTCTCCGCCTCCCCGACTCTCTCCGCGCTGTTCACCCTGTCTTCCACGTCTCCATGCTTGAACCGCATTATACTTCTCAGATTCCGCATCGCCACGAACCGCCTCCGCCTCCAATCGAGGTGGATGGGGAACTTGAATACGAGATTGCGGAGATCCTCGACTCCAAATTGGATCGTCGCCGCAAACATTGCAAGCTCCTCTACGAAGTGCGGTGGCGCGGATACGAGAATACGGACGAGGAACGAAGCTGGCTCCTTGCCACAGAGCTTGAACATGCTCAAGAGATCGTTGGAGAGTTCCACAAGAGGTACCCAGACAAGCCTGGTCCCCATTGGTGATTCCCCGCATTCCCCGCATTCCACAGTTGACTCCGCATTTCTTCTTCACCTTTGTATCCTTTTATTTTCCCAAGTTTTACCTTCGTCTCTCCGCTCTCCGCAATTTTCCGCATCCTGTTTCTTCTGCTTCTTTCTCTTCAATTCGTGGTTCCGCATTATTCCTTTCCTCTCTATGCTTCCTCCACTCCTCTATGCCTTACCTGTTTGATCTTTTTTCCTGTTCCGCATTCCTCTCTTCTTGATGTTCCCGCTTACTCCACTTATTCCACTTGCCTTCATTTTCCTCCACTTCACTATGACTTCCCTTACTCCGCACGTTATGCTTCAATTTCTCCCTTGCCTCCGCTTCTCTCTCCTCACTTTCATTTCCTGTCCGCACTTTCCATTTCCACTTCATGAGGACAAGAAATTATTTTTTCACTTCTCCGCAAACACACCGCAGAGTCACAAGCATGCTGATGATGCCGAGTTGCAAAATGCGGACATCAGATTCTGTGCATGGACCGAGTCCTAACACAAGCCTCGAGGGCTCGGCCTTAACAGGGAGGTACTGTTAGGGTCTCAAACATCCACCCACATCTACCCACAACCCACCAGCCTTGACCCACACCCCCCGCACAGTCTCACATGATCCCGCATGATCCCCGCACTCGCCATCATCTCTCCGCATCCCGCATCTCCCACATCTCCGCACCTCCATCCCACTCCTGCACATGCGGACTCCCCGCATGTGTCCGCTCTATGGATGTCCGCATCCGCAAGTCCGCAGCCCGCAAGTACCAGCGGACCGACACGGCCCGCAACTGAGGGCCGGTGCGGACCGCGCGGAGAAACCTCGTAACCGCCCTCTAGGCGCCCAGACTCTGCATGTGACCTCTTATACTTCTTTATGACTCCCTCCCTTGCTTTGCTATTGTTCTTTAGAATCGACTTACTCATCCCTTTCGTATTCCGCGGTATTCCGCATTTCTTATGACTCAGTTCTTTCTCTTGTCCCAGACTTATCCCAGAGTATATCCAGAGTATCTACAGATATATAAGCTAGCTAGATTTCTGTAGTAGATACTCATCCGGAATCTCGAATCAGACTTATACAGAACTTCTCCCTCTGTCCAGTCTTGAGCCTTCAGGCTTGCTAGAGGCTTTCCGCATACTCCGCATATCCGCACAGTGCTCCTGATTCCGCTCCGCAAGGCTCTCTCCTCTCTCTCCTCGTCTTCCGCCGTAAGGCGCGTCTCTCTCTCCCTCTCCTCCCCTCTCCTTTCGGGTTGGACCATATACCACCAGCGTGGGCACAACGCAATACGTTGAGGCCAAGGTCCCTTCGACTCCGCAGACTCCGCAGTTCCGTAGAGTCTAACAGGGACCCACGACATCAGATTTCGGGTCTTAATTTGACCTGGATTCAAATTGGCGGTGTAGGTTGGTTGAAGATCTATACCTCGTCTCCCTGTTGAGACAGGTACCCGCAGGTACCCATGGGTATACCCACGGGTTACCCGTTGCCAGAATACCCTTTCAATAGATTTTATGATATTCAATACATTATTTTCCATAGTTATCATGCTTCAAATACCCGCGGGTATACCTGTACCTGCGGCAAAAGTCCTAAATTCATACCTGTATCCGCGGGTACGGGTACAGACGGGTTTTCCCACGGATATACCCGCGGGTATACCCATCTGTACCCGTACTCGTGTTATGCCTTAATCTAATCTCAGTGTGCTGTCTCTGCCAAATTGCCACTCATACAGCTACCCCGCTCGATCCACAAATACATTTATAAGACATAAATGCAGCGTCCAGCAGCCGTAAGCTCCCCTCTTTTGGTCAGGTCAAATACAGCACCGTCTACCTTACATTAACACACTTTCCTCGCAGTACGATGAGGGCGACGATGTAGTGGTTACGAAAGATGTGGTGACTCCGATGGGGAAGGTTTCTGCTGGAGCACAGGGGTCTATTCTCGAGCCTGGCGACTGGTCAGAGGTAGGAGTAGAAGAATTCCTTAATGTATACCGGATGCTGATTTCCCGTGTTACAGAAAGACAAATGCTACAAATATCGTCTCAAGATCAAGAGTTCGAGGGCCGCAATTGGAGGTCATTTTCCAGGAGTCCCGGAGGATGCCATTGAGCTTCTGTTTGAAGAGTGAGCCAAATGGAAAACTGCCTGTTTTGTTGTCTTTCTATAGGCGATATGATTGCACCTGGTTTCCACTCATTGGGAGGATCTACAGAATTTTCCGATTAAAAGAGAAGATATGGAGACCAAGGTTCTCTGATTCCTAGGAGCTCTAATATCCACACCAGGTGTGCGACCAGCCTAAAGGAGTGAGTGTCTTTCGGCAGGTCATTACCGTGGTGGTGAACATGAGGTGAGCAGTGTGGTTTAAGCGCCGTACGTGGTCACGTGAGTTCTTGAACGAAAGCATTACAGTGCGTGTAGGTACTAGGTACTAAGGTAGGCCTCACGATAGCTTCGAGGATCAACGCCGAGGAAAGGGAGAAGTCTTCCACAATCAGAGCAAGTCTTGAGAAAGGCAGAGTATGATTTCGAAACACATAGCAACCTTCATGAGAATAGGCCTCTGACTCGGAATTGATAGCCTGAAAGTGAAATCGCAGTGGAACTTGTCTGATTTGCATGGATATCACTGCTATAGGAGCCTATACTATGTGCTAGATGTCATTCCACGTACCGCCCAGCACACAGCGTGTTTGTATATTCTTTGTGCGCTGGACGCCTAAAGCGCGGATTGTCTTAGCATCAGCTTCTGCCCGCACTGTTAACCGGGCTTCTCTCAAGAGCTTATGATGAACAGGGACCCCGACCGGTACTATAATCGACCCAAATCGGAACTAAGTTCATAAGACACTTTGAACTGGTTCTCTTCCGGGGACTTGGTTATGAACGCTCTTCCTATCGTCCACAAAGGCCTACCGATCGGCATTTCTCAAGGCGTATTCCCTTCCACGCCCGTCCTGGTTATGCATATGTCGAATGGTCTGCAAATTAACTCCGATGTGGACTCATGTCGCAACTCAGCGCTCAGCTTTGGGCATGTAGTTCGAAAGCGGGGTCGTTCAATTGAGCGGAAGTCAGTGCTAGTGACGGTGACGCGAGCCGCTCTTAACCAAGGCGGTACTCGTCTTTCTGATACATCTTCTCTTAAACCGGAGGTCAATAAACCACTGTTATTCCAGGACTCAAAAGAAACAGATTCCGGTACCTCAGCATAGATTAGGCGCCGGATTGCCGTCAAGGAGACTACGCCAAGCTGTATATCATCCAGGCCAACTTGAGACCAAAGGCGGCGTGTTGGATGCGGATGTTTCAGACTGAGAAAACTGGTCATCGATGGACATATGGCTCTCAGTATAAGCTACATACTACTTTTTCAAACTTCGATACGGCTGGAAAGACCTTGCCAGCTCCAAGTTGTTTAATTGTAACCTATCTCCTAATTCACTGGTCTTCTTAGTGCTCACACATGTCTATCCACACACTAGAAAAGCTTCAGCTGGCATCCCTCACCCTGACCAAACAAGGCTCTCTACTGGTGCGCACGCATGAGGACCTAAGGTTACGGTGGTCACAACTTCGGTTTGCCGACGCGACGCGTCCCGTCGACCGCGCCAAGCAATGTCTTTTCCATCGCATCATTCTCACGGTTTGTCTCCGCGCTCATTCTCCACGTTCCCTGTACACTTCTAGGTCTTGGACTGGTCCCTCGTTCCTCTTTGCCACCACTACCACGACGATACCGATTCCTACGACGAACCTCTCGATGTTCTCTGCTCTGAAAGCCTGGCGCTGCGCCAGCAAGCCTGTCCAGACCGCGCTGAGCCGGACGGTGCTCAGGCCAGCTGCCACGTTCAGCACGACCGCGCCTTGTTTCGAGGAACTAGAAAAGGCTCCCAGGTCGAGTACGAAGCCTTGTACCGACGAAAGTGACAGTTTACTGACCCACAAGAACAGGGCTTTCTCCAGCGGAAAGAGCTGCACTCCCACCGCGCAGACCGAAATCACCCTACTTGCGCTTCTTCCTTGAGTGGATCAACAAGAACCCCAGTGAGACTAGGAGTTTCACGGAGAATGCGGTGGAAGCCTCTGCTGCGTGGCGGAATTTGACGTTGGGAGAGAAAGCTGTGAGTCATGTTGGTTACCTCGTTCTTATCGGCCTGGTAGCTAACCATATCCATTTACGGTGTGACAACAGAATTATGCGGTGCCTGCTGCCGAGAAAGAAGAGTATCAACGGAAGATGGAGGAGTGGAGGAAACAGGCTGACCCCAAAATCGTCAAGTCTATCAACGAGGTTCGCGTGAACCAAGGCAAACCACGCCTGAGGCCCAAGGTGGGGACGCGGTCACCCGGCGCGTTCGCGTTGTGCGTATAATTTCTTCCCCCATTCCCAGCTACCTTTTCAATGGATTCGTTTTAGGTTCGTGAAGGACTGGTTCGCAAAGCATGCGGCATCGGACATGAGCCCTGAAGAGAGACAGAAGTATAGCGGCTCGCAACGAATCGCCCTCGCCGCGGAGACTTGGAAGGCGCTATCTGAGGAGGAGAAGAAGGTTTGTCGCTTGTGTTCTCTGTTCCCCCGTCGAGGTGCTGACTTGAGCTTCTCTCTCAGCCTTATCAAGACGCCGCGCAGAAGGCCAGGGAAGAACTGCTTCAGCGCCAAGGATCCACAACATCGTAGACGATAAGTATCCTTGAGTCTTGTTTTGTCTTGCTATATCCTCTTCCCGTAGTTTTCCTTGTTAATGCCAGACTATTCTTGTCACCCCCTCAAGCCTCACCTCTGAAAAACATTGCTTACTGGGAGGATGAAGCGTTCACAAGGTGTTCATTCTTATCCGACCTCGAGAACTAATAACAGGGACTATCCCTCAACAACGTTACGCTCCGAACGATGGTTTCTTTCGCCCAATCCCTCTTCTGTTGCTGCTCCAATGTCAATGGCTCGTTTGACTCGGAGATAACGACAAACGCCAGGAAGATCGTGTACCACAGTCGCTTCGTCTTTTGTCGGGGAAACGAAATCAAAGGGCCTCCACCGCTCGCCGTATAGCCTTCCAAAATCGTCTTCGAGTTGTTAAGGTCCATGAACATGGTTTCGAGGAGAGGATCTCCCCAAACGGCGTGCGTCAGACTGGGAAGTAGTGCAGCGATGCTGGGTATCTTTGTTGATGGGTGTGTTGGGAGGGAGATGTAGATGTCATCCTCTGAACCAGTGAGCCAGATTAACGAAGGGACCTCGACATCGTCGAACAGGAAGAAAGCGATCGCCCTTGACATGTACAATTGGATATCATCGTATGGGAGGCCCTCGTACCCTCCCTTGTGCTTGACGTTTTCCATGAAACTTTCGAATAAGAGCGTGAAGGTTTCCTGCCAGCTATACGACGGTTCCCCGGGTTCTTTAAGCGCTGGCACACCGAACCAGTCGTTCTGGACGTTGGTGTGCAGTTGGGCGAGAAATTGGCCGAGGGTAAGGTCTATGAGTACTTGATGTTTCGGGTCGAGGACGTTTCGGCGCTTGGCTTCGCGGAGGGAGATGATATCGGACGATGCGAATGGCGATGGTGGCGAGAGGAGGTAGTCGTAGGGTATGATCTCGCGGCTTGTGTCGAGCACAGAGTCGGAGATGGGTATGGCTGTCTTTGAGCGGATTGTTTCGAGGAGGTTGTGGATGACTTGGAGGGCGTTGGTTTGGTACTTGCTCGTCGAGGTGGTTGGGTCCTGCGCGACTGTGATGAAGCAGGATGATTTCGTGTTGTCCTCTGATTGGAGATCTACGACGTAGATCTTTGAGGTTTGTGAAAAGCTTGAGGAAAAGCGTGCCGTTGAGTCTCAAGTCTTTCGCGAGATTGTGGTGCTGGGCACAAACCTGTACCCGTAGTGGTCGATCTCGCGCAAGTTGGACACGACGGTCTTCTCGTCAGTGAAGTGTTTCCGGACTATTTCCTGAGCATCTTGAATGCTCAGTCCTACTTTATCATTCTTCGAAGGCGAGTCCGAAGTCATTTCAGATGACTAGAGGCAGAGCACCAGAGATTCCAGCTGATTTGACGTCGACCTCCACAGTGATCTGTGTCTGCCTTCCCAGTGCTCAACAGCAAATCCTCTAGGGAAGGAAGGTAAGTAGATATTAAAGCCATTCTATTAAGCGATTTCACCTGTACTCGATGCGCCTGGATTAGCGCAAGGTCCCCCGTCCTCGTCGCGTGGAAAGAAGATGGGCGTGGCAATGATAGGGGTCTATTGCTCCTATATCGGGTCGCCCAACGGTGGCAACCGCACCTGAACTTTGTCATGACTCTACGACACAACGCCCTACGCTCTCATGATGCTGCGATGCGAACTGGGAGGGGTGATAGAAACGCTGGAGTTGACGCGCTACGTTAATTTACACCGTCTAGATGTGGTGAAATTTGAGGCGGTCGTGGCAGAGGTTGACTGGGATGAGTTCGGCTCGAGTACGATGCTAACGATGAGGAGTAGGAAGACCAGGAGAATTCCGAGGAGGATTCAGATTACTATTAACTGACTGAAAGGTCAACTCCCAGAACGTATAACCACATTCCGCATTTTTCTGTACTTATCTTGGTCGAGAAGCTTGCCTTCCCCTATGCACTCGGCGACCTCTCTTTGCACCCCAGTTTGCACGCTAGGACAAACATTGATGCCATCAACGCGCCCACTGCATTGTCTGAGGCCTTGGCATCGTTGCGCATCATCGACTGCATCGTTGTCCTGGACTATGGACGTAGCCAACATATCAGGTACGATGGCCTTCATTGCTGACGTTTCAAACGCATTCAGGCTCTGACGGAAGTCGGAACTTACCAGTGGATGATGGCAGTCCCACTACATCTGGTCGTGCGCGCGCTGAAATCGACGCCCGGATTTCAGAACGAGATCGCCTCTCGTTAATCTCTCGACTTCCGGCGGAAGTGCTGGCTAAAGTCTTTCTCTGTGCTCAACGCGATTCGGATCCACGAGATCCATTTGGATGGATCGCCGAATGCACCCACGTTTGCACACACTGGAGGGAGGTGGCTATCAGCTACCCTCGGCTGTGGTGCAGCATCTTCTTTACCAGTTTCAACACGGAGCGCGACCTTTTCTGGCTCCCTATCTTTCTGGAGAGAGCTAAAGGGATGGATCTGTCGATAAATATCGAAACGTCGCAGCAATCGCCGGACATTAGTGACGAGATGCTGCCTTCGATTCGGAGATTGCTTCGCCAACCCCATCGATTGAAAGGCCTGAAGGTCATCTCGCATTCGTTTAGCATTGTCACTGCGCTTGATGTCCTCACCGCCGTCTCCGCGCCTTCCCTTCGCTCCCTCGTCCTTCACGACACGGCAATGGAGTATGGTGGGACGTCCAAGTGGTTACCCGATGACGTCCTTGGGGAGGGAACACCAGAACTTTGCCATGTTGATATCGACGGGTGGGGATTTTCCTGGACCTGGCAGCGGTTCGCGAATCTCACCTCGCTCAACTTGAAGATACCTTGGTATATCAAATATGATACAAGTTTCTTCCAGGCAATGGAACGCATGACGACGCTGATCCACCTCGACCTTAGCGTCCCTTCAATAGCGGGGCGGCATGAAGAAGTGTACAGCGAGCCCGGGCAGATCGGTCTACCCCTACTCAGGACCTTCCGCACCAAGTCCTCTACGAAGCGAGGGGTTGGATTGCTGACCCCGCTATGCATCCCTTCCACCGCTCAGCTCCACGTTACCGTGTGTGACTTCGAGAACGACAAGATCTCGTCCAATGCCATGGCCCTATCGAGGGCTGTAGGCAAACCACGATTGGCCCCGCTTTCCCCTTCCCATCCCCTGCTGTCCTACTACAAACGCCTTTCCATCCCGATACCACCGATGGGGGACAGCAATTTGTCCCCGAGACGTCTACGGATCTCACCTGTCAAGAATAGAACTGGAAGACGTCTAACCCTACTCCGCATCACGATGTGGTCAGTTGACCATCTCGATTGTGAGGTAGTTGGGTTGGAAGAGCCACCTGAAGAGACGTGTTTACTGGACATGGAGGTGCGCCACGGCCAGACACAACCCTTCCTGGGTCCGTTCCTCGAGTCATATCCGTTGGAACACCTCCGGGAGGTCATATTGGATTGCAAAATGGACAAGGGTGATTTTGGGATTCTTGGGGGGTTGCCCTCACTCGAAACGGTTCGGTTGACCGCAAAGAATGCGAAGCCGTGGTTTCGGTACATCGTTGACGACCCAGCGTTGCTCTCTGCCGGCAGGGAGGCGTCGATGGAAATCGACTCGGATAGGCCCGCCCTCGCTCATTTCCCGAGCCTCGTTTTCGTCTCATTCGAAGCGGCTGACTTCGGCCTAGGACGGTATGCACCTGCCAACCCGGATGATACAATGGACGTGGAACAACTTTTAGATTTCTTAACCTTGCGGCACAGATTAGGCGGGCAGATCAGGACCGTACAGTTCACGAATTGTGTCAACCTGTTCGAGGCGGATGTGGAGAAGATGAAGGGAATCGGAGTGCAGGTGGTGTGGGACGGTCACTCGGTTGCGAGGGACTTCAGTTCTTCAGGGGATGAGGAGAGTGATGAAGAATACGAGGAGGACTCGGAGGACAGTTCCGATTCCGACTACTAGGGCTGTTTCGAGAGGGCACTCAGAGAAGACAAGAGGTTTCGATCCTCCATTTTTCACGTAGATTCTGGTGTAAACCTTAACGAAAGCGTGGTATTGCTATGCTCCCAGTCCTATCGTTGCTTCAATCAACCCTGGGACTGCGTCATAGAAATCATAAACTAGGCCAATGGTCAGAGAGACATTAACAAGTGAAGGCAGGAGAACATACGGATTACTCCAAACCGGCGGCCTCTGCGCTCTTGGAGCCATGGCAGCAGTCGCTGATTCATCCCTGAAACGCCGAGGGTCGAGTTTCCCAAGGCGTATTCCTGTAGAGGACTCCGTTAGAGGAGATGGGAATGACACAGAGGGAAAGTAAACTCACCACCGGGTGGATGATAGGTCCATCGCTATCTGACAGGTATGCGGCGCTCGCAAAGTTGATGAACAACTGGTCTGAGTGCTCGTTTGCGGCTCGTTCGAGGTGAGCAATTGTTGTCTCGAATTTGCTGCTGACATAGGAATCGAGCTTGGAAGCTGGGTCAGGTGAGGCGGGGAAGGGAGTAACTGAGTAGTAGTCCTGGATAAAAGCAGTGGCGCCTGTCTCAGCGTTATAGACCAATTCGATGTCCCTTCCGTTGTCCGTCCACTTCGTTGGTCCCAAGTCGATCCCAATGAGCTGATTGTCGGGTGGGGTTGGGTTCAAGAGGTCGTAGTCGAATCGTTGGAGGAGGATGAGTTTGCCGCGCGCCTCCCCCAGTGTTCCCAGTTCTCCTCGGGACTGGACCCAGTACCTTCTCTTCAACGGGCCGGGATCTTGATCCGTAGCTCTGGAGAATGCGTCCAAGAACTTTCGTTGAAGCTTCTCGTCCTTTGGTGTCCCCGTTCCTCCTTCGTGCTTGAATGACATGAGGACGGTTTCGGTAGGATGTTGGTCTAACCAGCTGTAGAACCCGTAGAGGACGTCGTTAAGTGTTGTTGTAGGAGCGAGAAGGGCTCTGGCTGAGGGGACACGCATCAGAGGAACTAGAGTCGGACATGCTCGAGAAACGTACAATGCCAGAAGCCGATCGTGTCGTTACCGGGGTTGTAGGCGATGCGCATGTCGAACATCCGGATTCCGTCGTTGAGCATCTGGAAGAGCGAGCGCTCCTGGCATCGGTACACGTTGGCAGGCGGGATGCTAGGCGTTTGCAAGAGATGAGGTCTTGCTACTCCAGAGGAGAAATGTGCTTACGGCCCCGTGTAACGCAGAAGATCCTCTCGAATCTCATCGGTGTAACTCCCTGAAGAAAACGAGTTGATCTGGTCAGACAGTGGGTAGAGATAACACAAAGCATACGTACCTGTAGCCGCGTCGTGTACTCCTGGAAAGTTCATATGGACGAGTTGGGTATCATCTGGGAAACGTGACATCCAATCGCAGGTTGGGGAACTGTGTGGGCAGCCCTCATTTGTTCCTATTCCAGGCTGTCAGTCTCAAGGTGAACAGTTCAAGCTCCAAGTTCTGCATACCTAGGAGCGGTGTCCCTCTCCGCAAGATATCTTGAAGAGCAGAAGCTTGAAGGAAACTAGTTTGTGCCTCGATTTGTCTCTTCATTCCTACATCGGCGGGGAAAACACCGCTTTGCCAGCTAGCATACGTCGAGGCCGCTGAGATAAAGAGGTAGGTGGAGGTCACCACCAGAAGAAACATGAAGACGACAGGATTATTACAGCGCGATAAGCCTGTTCGGTTGGAGATATCGTTGGCGCTCATTCCAGCGGTATAGCCTGTTACTTATACATAAGCAGCTGCGAACAAATGCCCGTGTGCAAGGCTAACCTCGAACGTTCGTCAATTGAAGTCAAATGGACATCTTCTGAGAACGCTATTAGTGTGGTTCTGTTGTTCGAAGAAGTAGATAGCCATACGGTGTGCTACTAACGCGGTTGTCTAGACACGAATTCTTGACCAGGTGGTCGTTGGTGATCAAAAGGTAGTTAGGGGCTCTACTTGCCTGTTTGGACGTCCATCACACAAGCATGCCCAAACAAAGGCGACGATTTGAATGGGCGATTTTCTGTTTCTTCCTTTCATCAGCTTGTTCCCATCTATGTCACCCTGGCTGCGGAATTTGCTCAGCTAGGGTCTTTTTGGAATGGAGACTAACTCGTGATCATGACGATATACGCCGGCCTTTCAACGTTCAACCGTCAGTTCCCCCGAGCCACTGAGTACTAGTTCTGGCAACAAAGTGACCCTGTCGCGGATGCTGCGCGCAGCGTCCGTACCTTCAGATGGCGACTGCTTTCCTCTTCAAGGTCTGGTGATGTCATTCGGATCCGGGCATTGATTGGCCGGGCGTTGTAATTGCGCTTTTGTTTTCTGGGAAAGGGTCTCGAGGCCGCCTTCTGCGTCACAGGTACTCGCTGCTTTGTCTGGTGTGTGCGACACGCGTTTCGTGCCACGCCAAAGGCTCCTGACTTGCAAGGCAAGAAAATGGATATAAAGGCTCGCTGGACTTTACGGCGCTAGCCACCATACTCGAAGCCACCATGCTCTATCGGAAAGGAAAGGGAAACCTCTCCGAACAACCGAAGCTCTGTCCCGAGTCTCCTCGTGCCGACGATGTCAACGCCGTAAACGATTCCTCGGACTCCAAATATCGGGATGTCAAGATTGAGGAGTACCAGACTGGAATATGGAGAGTCCTTCTCTCCAAACAGGGACAATTCAAGGGCCCTAAGGCATTCGAACAATTCACCCATTTCTACAAGTCTTTTGATCACATCCGACAACTTTACATGGACATTTACACGCTATCCCCAACTCTATTTCTGCTTCATGTCCTTTCCTCGCTCTGGTCTGGTCTACAAGGTGCCTTGATGCTCTATTACTCGAGTGAAATTTTGCGAGCGGTGAGTGACCAGGATTCATTTTCTTCCTTCAGCTGTTCTGATGTGGTTCTAGGTCGAGGCGGGACTCAAGGAGGATCAACCGACTTTAGCTCCCATGCTAAAGACCGCGCTTGTTCGAATGCTTTGGAATTTCTTAATCTCGTATATCAACAGACAATTGTATGTTTGTCTTCACTTATTCCCGCCTTATCGAGCTGACATGACTGGTAAAGCCGGATTGTTGACAGGCGGCTTCAAAGGAAGGTCCAGCTTCACTTTGAGCTACGAGTAATCAGATGTGAGTTCCATCGGGATGTGTCTAATGATCACATCTGTTCTCACCTCGCCTGAAGCCCAACTTGGTTCCGACGTGTACACGGCGCGTACGATTCCGGCTGTCGAGGCGTTTTATGCATGGGATGCATTCGACCACGTGAACCGACATATCGTAAATATGACCAGGACCATAAGCCACATAGCCGTCACGCTCCGCAACATACAAGCCTCCTTTGGCCCTGTCTTCGTCGCGTTTTGTCTGGGACCGCCAATCATCAATCAAATGCTCGGAACATCGCTTTTTGACAAAAGTAGCCTCTATCTCTTTACCGTGCACGACCTCTTGTATCTGATAGAAGTTCCAGCGTGTTATCTCTGGATCGACAACTCCGTTTACCTGCGAACGCAGGCTTTAAGAGCCCTCGGGGGCGAGACTTACCGACAAGATGTTATTTGCGGGGATTTACGAGATTGGATCGTGAAAGGTAGATATTCATTCTTCGGCAGTTTCAATTTTTCAGTCACTCACGTAGCTCTGCACGAAGAAATCCAAGAGGGCTCGGAGGAACTAGGTGATTTGCCGGACATCTTACCGTGGAACAACGACCGCGACATTTCCTTCAAGACTATCTTTAAGCTTCTCAGTAGCGCACCCCTAGTAAGCGGTCTTATTTCTGCGTATTCGCATGTTTGTGCTCAGACGACCATTGCGACAGGTTATGTGCCTCCTGGTGGCGTTGTCTGATAAGCAACCTTCGGTTGCAACGGTAGCTATCCTGCAATCGTCTCTGAGGGAGCTTCGGGCGAACGTAACGTCGGCCTTAAATTACGGAGAGCGACTTGGAACCTGCCTTTCACGGCTCGGGAATCTGTACAAATTGTTGGAGGCCGACGCTGGCTCCAAAGCGGCGCTTTCGTATCCGCCAAACGATGTCGATTCCAATGGCAAGGCAGGGATGAAATTTGAGCTTCGGTGGGTCTAATCGCATGCCTCCCTCCCCGTCTGACAATATCTGCAAATGCTAGAAATGTGTCTTTCGCGTATCCAGGGAGCAAAAATTCCACCAAGGCGCTCGATGGTCTAGATCTGACTATCCCTGCTGGAAGTGTCGTCGTGATTGTTGGGACGAACGGAAGCGGGAAGTCAACTCTAGTCCGCATCCTTTCGTGCCTCAGCCCGCCTACCTCTGGCGACTTGATGATCGATGGCCATCCCGCCAAAGATTACGATTTGAGCGAAATCCGCCAAGCGTCTGCCATCCTGAGCCAAGACAGTCAGCTGTATCCATTGTCATTCGCAGAGAACATCGGCCTGGGTTGTGTAGAGTTGATGTCCGATATGGCACTGGTTAAGGATGCAGCGGAGAGGGGCGGAGCGGCGGAGTTTATCTCGAAGATGGGCAAGGGTTACGATACGGTGCTCGACGCACACAGGTTCAGGAATAAGCACGAGTTCAATCTCCCGGACGACGAGAACCACCCTTTACAAAAGAGGATCCAGAGTCTTCCTAACAAGAAAGCCAACATATCGGGAGGGGAACGGCAGAGGGTGATTGCGTGAGTCAATATCTCCTCTCTCGAAGCACGTCGACCTCTGATGACTTCGCTTACTAGTGCGCGCTCATTTATGAGGCTCCATTCGGGGAAGATCAAGTTTGTGGCTGTCGACGAACCGAGCTCCGCTTTGGACGCGGAGGCGGAACTTCGGCTCTTTCAACAGCTCTTGGCTGTCCGTGATGGCAAAACGCTGGTGTTTGTGACCCACCGCTTTGGACACTTGACCAAATTCGCGGATATGATCCTGTACGTCACCTTCTATCTACCAGATCTCGTGTTTGACCTCGCCAATTGGCTTTTACGTTCCTTTCAGGTGCATGAAAGGAGGTAGGATTGTTGAGACCGGGACGCATGCTGAATTGATGAGTACCGGTGGCGAGTATGCGAAGTTGTATGACATCCAGGCGGGGGCCTTCTCAGAACAGACTTAGTGAATATGTATATAAGGACTCGTCGTCTCTGGATTGTACTTGAAAGCAAACCTGTGCGTGAAGGGGATTAATTCATGCCTATTTCGTGAAGTAGGGGAGCTGATTGCCAAGACAATTTGATGTCAAACCAAGCGATAATATCGCTCGATCATTGTTTCTACTCGTCTACAGAAGTACACCAGAGTGCGTCGTGTGTGGGCAGAGCCTACTCGTGCGGGATCTCTCCTAAACATGCTTCTGATGGAAGACTTGCAACCCCAGGGCGCTGGTAGTACTTCAGTTCTTCTCCGAGCCAATTTCAAAAAAGTTTTATTTCTTCAAGGAGACTCTGAACAGACTGAAGTGCTCGACTTCTGATGAGCCCCGTTGTAGTGAGTACGATTGTTCTTTTCGAAAAACGTGCAATCCAATGCTATTCTGACTCGAAAGGTGTACCATTCAGTATGTTGGGGCTGTGTGCACAGTCGGTCACTCCTCCGGTGGGCGCCAGTGTATACGTAGACGGCCAAAACATTATAAAGGCTCGCCTTTTCAAAACACTAGGTCCTTAATCATCTGAAGACCCTCATGTTGTTTCGTCGTAAATGCGCTTCCGAATCGGCTTCCCCTCAATCCTCCCCAGTCAAGGCTAATGGCGAGGCGCCCGTGAAAGCGAAGTATGCGGATGTCATACTTGAAGACTACGAGGTCGGGATCTGGAGGGTTCTTCTCTCCAAGACTTCAGGGTTCCGCCTGAAATCATTCGAACAACAAGCATACTTCTACAAATCCCTCCCTCATATCCGTCGACTTTACATGACTGCTTGGCTTCTTTCCCCTGCCCTCGTTCTGTTCTACTCGTTCTCTTCGCTTTGGTCGGGCATAGAAGATGCAATTCAGATGTATTTATCCAACGAGATCTTGAGAGCGGTGACTCCATTACTCCATTCTGCGGTCGTGTTGCAATTTCTAACAAAGCTATTGTCGACAATTTACAGATTGAATCCGGTATCGTGGAGAAGAAACCCATCGCAACAGAGCTTTTCAAGGCAGCTGTCCTTCGGATCCTCTGCATGTTGTTGATCTCGTACATTGGTAGATCAAAGTGGGTCTATAAGTCCTCTGTATGAAGCTACTCTCTTAACACGCGGACGTACTGCATCAGAACGACCCTGCAGAGAAAGTGGGGCAACCGTTGAATGATCGGTATGATATATCACCCCGTACCTGTAGCCTAAAGTCACCCATACCTGTAGGGGACATCTCTCCTACCCGTATGAAATGGGTATATGATTATGGCCAGCGTATGAGGATCCTAAACAAACACCTCTTTAATAGGACATTATATCTATTGGTTAGATGGTTCTAATGGACCACACACGTCCAACGGTGCTCCATCTGAATAATGCGGGGGGCGCCGTTCTATGCATAGCCGGGCCACTGCTCGACCATCCGTCTCTCTAGCGGACCACGCGAGTCGAATGGCTTGTGGTCCATGAGAACCGCGCCGCCCCCTTTCACTTCACAGTCTACTAGCCCGCTCTTACAAACCAAAGATGGTTTAGCTTGGCGATCTATAGCTCATTCGAGAAACATTCTGCGATACAGTTCCATCATGGAACCACAGGCCAAGGTTAGTTCACGGTTCAATCACACATCTTCTACCTCATCCCGGGTTCCCCTGTACCATGGGTTCCTGGTCATCCGTGTACTATCCAAACTAGTATACGGGCCAATGCATAAGCATGGCAATAACTCGGCTTAAATAAGGCTCCGCCGCAAACACCTTTACTTAAATGGTCAGAAAATGTCAGACTTAGCATAGATACATACAATCAATGTTTTTCTTCCAGCTTTTTGAAGTACTTTCAGATCAAAGTCTGTGGTTATGTCACCTTCATAGTAGCCTTCACCCTTTCTAGCCATACCATCGTGGTACCAAATCCTGTTACATCGATCCACAAAGCGGCAAGTGAAATGATTATCACCCCCGTATAAAAGGCCTTTTAGGTGGTACAATACTGGACGGCCGTTCACTTTCACAGTCAAAGTTTCACTAGGAATAATCTTTTTACCTTCCATGACAAAACTTAACAGGACCGGTGCTGAAAAGACTTCTGTAGTCTTGACTATCGTTCTATTTTTACACTTCTTACACATTGCCTTTCTTGGTTCTCTCATAACCTCATTCAACCACCAGTCGAGTGGTAGAGATTTGGGGTCCATGTCTGTTGGAACAACTATGTTCCTGCGGCCTGTGGCCACAGTTACAGTAGAGAACATTGGCTGATCTTTAAGAAGTGATGTATGTTTACAAGTATTGCATATTGTCTTTTCTCTTGCCCTTGGTGTCATCTTCCCTAGAGACACATCTAGTAAATCCTCCATGTCCACATATGCCTTCCCTTTGGGGAATAATGTCGCCGAATGGTCATATAGTTGATTCTGCACTGTATTGCGTGCCTTTTGCAGGGCCCTCCTTTGAAGAATCATGATTTATCTCTGAGATAAATCCTCCCATATATGTACTGAGATCCATGATTTCATCTCTCCTGTTTGGTGATGCTTCCTTCCACAGGTTATAAGTGACTGTAAAGAGTGAGTCGTATGAGCAGCTCCAGTTATCCGTATCCCATTCTAACCCAACACATACCTCAGATGGAAGATTCAAAGGATTAGGGGCCAGTGTAGTGACTTGTCGCTTTCGCCTACTGACTTCTTGCCCTGAATTACCAGTTGCCTTTCTCTTACCAAGCTGATTCTTCTCTCTCTCTATCACTTCACGGGTCTTAGCATATTCCAAGTTCCAAGTGCCATCCTTTTCTGGCTCCTGTATAATCTTCTCATTCTTTCTCCATTGTAGGGACTTGTGCCATTTGGATGAATAGTCAATGTTGTTTTCTGATGCCCACTTCTGGAATGCCCTTATTGTTGGATTTCGCAAAGGTCTCACTGCATCTTCAGGTATTAACTTCTTGTACCGTAAAAGGGTAATTGTATCTAGCATATCCAACTCACGGAATTCCTGTCGCAAGTATCCATTGATCCCTTTGGTAATTTTTTCTGTGTCAAATCCTTGGAGAATTGCTGTCCCTGCTGCAGATGCACTACGTGAAACACAGGTATAGTAAGACTGATGATTCTTGCAATGTGTTAAATCAATCACATTATAAGTTCTAGTTTTCCCTTGTGATGCATAATCAGTCATTGAAAAGTTGGAAGGATTTACTCATTTCAGAAGGCAGAATATTGCCTGCCATATTGTCAGGTAATGGTTTATAATCACAGAACACTGGTACTCCAATTTCATCATAAGATTCTAAGTTCTTCCTATCAATAGTGAGATCTGCATAGTCTTCGTGATTGAGCTTTAGCCACTCTAAAGCTACAGCGACTTTGTTGCGTCTAACAAGCATAGGAGTCCGTTTGAAATCCTCTGGAGTTGGATTTGCAGATCCCATAAAGATGAACGCCAGTACCTCACTCAATTCTTCACGGCTTGGAGGAAGTTTATTATAAACTTCAACAGTTGGATTTGCAAACATAATGACATTTGCTATCATTTTTGCCCTACCTACCTGTCCTGTACTTGTTGTGACCCGTACTAAGCACCTGTTGTGTCTTACACGAGCAATTAGCATTTGTTCTGCAAATGTCAGGTTTCTTAACTCCTTAGGGACTTCACCTACCCATAGACCATTAGCTAAAGCCAACACAGGCCGCCTACCTTTTTTCAATGTTGTATAACAAGACTGACATATTGTGGTCCACTTTTTATCAATGATCGGTCCTACAATCTCTCTTATGGGATCTGATTCCTTATGGCGCTCAATGCGTGTTACTCCTTTTGCACTCAGAAGCTCAGCCACTTCTTCAGGGTCCAAGTCTGTGTCTTTCATTTCTTTCATACTTCTGACAGGTGCTAGTCCGCCACATACACAGCAGCCACTCTCTACAAAAGAATTGGGATGAATGTCATTACAAAAGCCTGTGATAATTTGATGGATCAATTTCTCTGAAGGGGCAGCGGGCGGGAACTTAACTTCACAGTCTGTATTGGAGCTGTTAGCTTGAGACATTTCTTCTTCAACGTGGCTAACTTTATTGCTGACTTTAGCTCTTCTACGAGCTTCCCTTTTTTCCTTTGCCCTCCTTGAAGCTTGTTCTTGAAGTTTAGCAGCTTTTACTCGTATCTCCTCCTCAACACTTGCAGATGGTCTCAGGATAGTATAGTATTCATTACATGAAGGACAATTGTGGTTACTTAACTTTGATATAAATACTGGTTTTGTATCACGCCTTCCCCGTGAGATGCCATGTAGTTTGGCGCACATAACTAGGTCAGCAAAGTTGATAAGGGGCCCAATAGTTTGTAAAGGTAACAAAGATGCAACCAAAGTAGGATTGCTTGCTAGAACTCTTGTTGCATCATCCTTCTGCAGATAACACTCATAATTGTAGCGTGAAGAGGGATCAATCACCGTTTCACCGAGAATAGGGAACAGCATGAGTGTTGTTCCTTCAATACGTGAAGCATCTTTTTTCTTAAGAGATCCTCCACCGGTCATATTGCTCCGCAATATAGCAGATCTTGCAGAATTCCCTCGATTAAACTTTACTTTACATGAACAATCTGTCAAAGATTTTAGAAATGAGAAAGTAGGATGTAATTTTTCCAGTTCTAAAAGCCTGCAAGCTCTATTCCAATGAGCTGTTTCATTCAAAAGTCTAGCAATTGAAACAAGGACTTTGGTCTTATGAAACTGGACTTTGGAATACACAAGCCTTATTGCATGATTACCTTTCCATGGAATTGTGAATGAATTGAGGAGCCTACAGAGATTAACTACAATGTTCTTAATGCTTTTCAGTTGGACTCTCCGCAATTTACAAATACCGATTCGCTTGCAATCACCGATCTGCCCGAAAATGATATTTTTATGTGTATAATATGACTCATGATCGTCACTCAGACGATCGACGACAATGTTCATTTTGTGCTCACTGAAAGGTGAGCACGACGTGGCGTTTACGCCCGAAGGCGACGAAATCCAACTTTCGATAGCTACTGAGCCGCGAGTCCCTTCGAACACCGCGGATATATGTAGTATCGTTGCGAATAGTAAAGCGGATAAGACGATGATCAGGCGCATGCTTTTAGACATGGGTGTCAGAGTTCAAGTTGAACGTCGACACCGGCGCCATTCGGAACTGGGCTGTACGGTCACGTGATGACGTCATAGGCCCTCGCGTCAGACGAAACTCACGAAACATTCACCCTGGAAGTCAGTACAACAATGTTAGTTATTAGTATAGTACAAGAAGGTAACAGTGTTCAATATAAGTTCTCTACAGTTACAAAAAAGGCTACAATAAAACGCTAGAAATAAACTACAAGATTACATGTACAAAAACGAAATGCGGGATGTATGTTTTGTAAAAGAATGCTGAAATATGAGTGGAAGGCAATTGAAGACAGGTGTTGCGTGCAGGACAAAGGTTATAGTAAAGTCATGTAACCGACCGAGACAAGATGTTCCTTTCAATGAATTCGTGGGACGACGATTCGAGAGATTGATGGAAACTACGAATGGCACCCAAACCTCGTTGGGCAGACTTCCACTCCTGAAAGGCCAGCGGTTGGTTGAACTTGTCCACGCCACGCTCAATATTATCCAGGCGACGCAAGTACCACTCCTCCCTTCGACAGCACCAACGACCATAATTCTCTCCACAGTCGGCGCGTTCGTATGCCCGGGCGAGAGGCCACCAAGACTTCATCGCAACCTGTCCTGTCCCTGTAGTAAACTCATTCATTAATACCAAATACAATACAATCACATGAGACATAACACTTACTTTCGTCGATGCACTTGTACGCACCACAAATCAAGTCCAGCTCTCGCGCTGTCAACCCATCATCGACGTACTCTCCGTCGTAACCTTGCAAGTTCGTCGTGATTAGACTCCCACAACCAACCGCTTCCCTTTGAGCGTCGCCCATGCCCAGCGTCGCGATAGCCAGACGCCAAATTATCCCGCCCCGGCGCAAGGCCGCCTTCATGTGAGGTTGCGAAAGGACAAGTGTCCGGGTGTTGATGTAACTATCGTAATCGGCCTTCGTGAATTTGTGCTTCAGGGGTCGAACAGGGAGGGGACTGTAAGAAGGAGTCTGGTATAAGGACGGTCGTAAGTGTCGACGGGGCATAAAGAGTCTGAATGAAACGCCCTTCTGAACGAGGGTGAACACAATCTCGTCCTCAGTGAATTTGTCGCATAGACGACAAACGAAAAGGGCATCCATCGCGTTAAGGACAGCGAGCTTCCAGTTCTTCTTTGACGACGGGAAGTCGAAGTAGTAGTAACGAGGCACGCAGTCCGTCAGACCTCTGTCAACCATGTCGATGTTCTCGAAGTGCGGTATTGGAGCAATGCGGAGATGGGGCAACCGAGAACTGTGTTTGAGAGGATCGATGACGTCGTCCTTAAGGTCCCATGAGGCCCCATGGGGAGCCTTGCGCAGAGAGAGTGCCGTCATGAAGCGAACCGCTGAGTGGTAATGTGCCGTGCTGAAGTACTCTTCAGGCTTGTCCTCAATGTCGGTGAGACCCAGCAACCGGAAAAATGCCTTCCGATCCTTTTCATTGGCTTGGGGTTCAACTGGCACCGACGGTAGAGGGGCCACAAAGCCATAGTGAAGACCGAAGACGTGATTCACCTCCTCTGTCAAGGAAGTCACCAACCAATTAGTCGATGTAACGAACACGCCCTGCTCATCATCCACTATCGTAGTAGGATCTTCCGGTGGATGCGACGGAAGATGTAAAGGATGATACGCTGAAGGCGGAGGAACTTCACCCTGGGTCTCTGATACAGTCGAAGTTAGAATGCCCTCTTCCTCGTCGTCGTTCTCCAGACATAGATCGTACGCTTCGGCGATTTTATTCCGCAGTGAGTTTGGCAGTGGTAGTGCCAAGTCCTCTGGTGTCCATTCATCGGTGTCGATCTCCTCTTCGCCGTCGCCCAACAGGTCACAGCAATCCCACTCTCTGCAGAACGCATCAAAAATCTTCTGCTTAGAGCTATACAGGGCAAGAGTATCTCTGGAGTACTTTACCCCGGCCGGAACGCGCTCATACGTGTCTGGGTCCTTTTCCGAAGGTGACCATTCATATACTCTGACTTTCGACACGGGAGGGTTGGCCGCTCGAGCTTCGCGCGCTTGCCTATCGGCAGCAGTCTCCTTCTCAAGGATGCGAGCATGAGCCCGTTCATGTTGAGCACAATGCGCCGCCCAAGCTACCTGGAACCTGGACCGGGCTGACTCCTGTTGTTGGTACCTTGATGTCGATGACGATGATGCATCCGTGCTCAGAGACGATGAGGACGACGAAGGTGTCGGTCGAGGTCCCTCGGGCCTCCGTGTCAGAGAGGATGAAGACGACGAAGGTGTTGGTAGAGGTCGCTCCGGCCTCCATGTTAACGTTCCTGGAGGCGGCGCAAATCGTTGATCCGCGGAAGCTCTTTCAGATGGACCCCAACGATACCACACGGGCACTCCGTGCTCTAGAAACCACTGTAGACTAGGCTGATTAGGGGCAGGGTTGACGATGTCGATGATGCAGCCAATACGATTTGAATTGTAGGAGAAATCACATATCGAGGAGAACCATATGCCGTCTACCCATGCAGAGTCCACCTCCGACCGTAATTCTAGGTGCCACTGAGGTACGAAGCTCTTGAGCGTGAAGGCATCTCGCCTGGACTCGCCGTACGCTATCAAGTACGATAGAGCTCCCCACCAAACCGCAAACCAATCCCTCGATGAGGCCACCGCACGATCGTAGCTTCTAGGGTTCTTGAAGGTGATCAGGTATCCGTGAGCCCATGGGAGGAACGGTAACACCATGGGAGGGGAGAATGCGCATTTGAGTTTCGTTACAGCCCCATAGAGTTCAGACTCCAGTTTTGCCCAACTCTGCGCGAAGTTATCGGGAACTTGGTAAGTGAAATTGTCTGGGGACCCAACGATTGAGGGTAAAGGTATTCGTTTGAGTCGATTGAAAGGGTACCCGGGATCGCTGTACTTCAATGGTGCGAACGCCAGCCACCCGAACGCAGGTGTCCATAGACGTGGACTGGAAATCTCCTCGAAGCGGGGATATTTTTGGACGAACTTTGGAGAGGTGGTGGACTCCACAGGCTCGGTCGTGGATGGTTTGCGCGGTGGCTGAAGCGGTCTGTGCTTTTCCGGCTGGAAAGGGTTGATGTGCGCCTCTGAGAAAGGGTCTCGTTTGAAGGTAAGGGTTCTGTCGCAGTTGGGGGAGTAGTATAATACACCTCCGACCTCTTGCAGGCGACCAGAACTAGGTACCTAGTCACCGTTAGCTCCCTATTATCTATCTGGATGTAACATTGAGCAACCTACCCTTCTCCCTGGCTCCATCCTGATCCTATGTCACCCAAACAACCCCAGAAAACCTGCCTACAGGAGACCTTGCGAGAGCGTTGTTAGGTAGAGAATGGCCTAGTAACGGTCTGTCGAAGCTTCGTAAGGTCGAGCACAACGACGAGAGCCGTAGAGTATGTAGAAGACGGAGGGTAAGATGTCGAGTGTAAGGCTACCTTCGACTTTCAGCGCCTCGTAGTACGAGCACGATGAGAGTCTGGTGGTGATGGTATGAGAAAGGAAGCAAGCCCCATCCAGCTTCTGAGGTACCATCACACAGCCACAGATGATTCCCGCGCGCGGGCCTGGTGCCTCCGATGACGCAATTAGCTTCCGAAGACCCTCACCATACCTCCCTCACTCTTATCGTATTGTCGTGCTCGTTTTCGAGGCGTCTTCTGGCGGTCATTCGAGTAATTTGAAATGAAGACGCGATCTGAGTAGACGCAGGAGCTACGCTTCAGACACGCAGACATTGACGCCGCAACATTGTGGATAATGTCGAGTTGAGCGCCCAAGCGGTTCGTTAGCGCCCGTCCAAAGACCCAGCCCACAGTACAGCCAAATCGATACCAGTATCTTGCCCTAGCTAGTACACAACATGTACCAAAATAATAACATGGGCGTCGCCTCCCAATTCCTCTCTATAAACCCAACAACACCCTTCTTGCTCCCTTCTACCTCCAGCTTCAACCCATTCACATACAAATCCCCCTTGCCCAAACTCGTAAATGAGGCCATCGGTGTACCCTCCTTTGTCAACCGAATCGTGCCCGTGATGAGGATGCTGGTGGAGAGTGTGGCCGTGATTTTGCAGATGGTCGGTCCCGATACCTGGGAGAACCTCGCCCGTGGGTTTGCCATTGTAACCGTCGAGGACCTTCGTCTTTGCGTAGTGGGTTACGCTGGTAGCGCTGATGGAGGTGGAGTTTCCAAGGAGGTAGCTGAGGTTGTAGGGGTGGTGGCCGACGTGAATGATCAAGTGAGTCGTACCTAATGTAAAGTATATGTCATCGAGTCGATCCAGAGGGGGGAAGGAGAAGGAGCGACATACCGTTGACTCTCTCGAGAAGACATCGAGCGTTCGCCGCTTCATTGAACCAAATTAAGAGCGATATTTCCGACCTACAAACACACGATCAGCGACGGTTAAGGCGAGGTTGTTCCAAAGAGGACGTACGATGTTGGACGAAAGAACCTTCCCAAACTCCCCACTTTCAATGATCGCTTTAACCTAGACCGCGAGCAATACGTCGTCAATACCAGGCCCAATAAACCCGCTAAAAATAACCCAACCCACTTTATTAGTAGCCGGTGAATGTGCAAGCCAACAAGCGCCCCAACCCCCGCCTTGCTCACCGCATCCCTACTCTCCCTGTCTCAGCCGGTCTCTTCCCAACAGACCCCTCCACAAAGATCACCTTCAACACCGCGATGACTAGGCGCCTTCACCGAAATCGCCACCAGCATTATCCTTCTCCCCTTCGATGCGGACCACTTCTTTGCAGATTCGAGTGCGGGGCCGGGGAGGGGCTAGATACTGCGACGAGGGCGGTTTCCCATTCACTGCCTCGGAACTCGAGCACAGTGAAGGGTAGTCGAGGACATGGTGGTATGGGTGGAAGTGATAGGCTCGGGTGGCGAGGGCGAAGGCTGTCTTGGGTATCACAGCCCACCCACCCCCACCACCCGTTCCACCCACTGCTTCGTGCGCGAATTTACGGGGAGTTTCATTGGGATGATCGCCCATTCACTGCCTCGGAACTCGAGCACAGTGAATGGGAGTCGAGGACATGGTGGTATAGTTGGAAGTGTAGGCTTGGTGAAGGGGTGGCTTGGATGGTACAGCCACCTGATGGTTCCCGCGCGAGTGATGGTTTCCCGCGCGAGTGCCTGGTGGCGGTGGATTGTAACTTGCTTCTCGACCACCACCACCACCCCCACCACCCCTTCCCCCGCTGTTTCGTGCCCGAATTTACGGGGCGTTTCAGTGGGATGGTTACCCATTCACTGCCTCGGAACTCGAGCACAGTGAATGGGAGTAGAGGAGATGGTGTTGGAAGTGTAGGCTTGGTGAAGGGGTGGCTTGGATGGTACAGCCACCTGATGGTTCCCGCGCGAGTGATGGTTTCCCGCGCGAGTGCCTGGTGGCGGTGGCTCATTGTAACTTGCTTCTCGACCACCACCACCACCACCACCACCCCTTCCCCCACTGTTTCGTGCCCGATTTTACGGGGCGTTACAGTGGGTAATTGGTCGAATGTCGTGCTCGGTTAACGAGGCGTCTTTCTGTAGGGAACTTGTCAGATGGTGCTCGAATTCCGAGGCCTTATGTAGTTTACCTACCCCTATTCATCTTCAATATACCTGTTGCTCGAAACCGACTTGCCCCCTATCGCGAATATACCTTTAGCCGGATGCCCAGGGAAGATAAGGCTTGGATTACAGCATAAGCGGAACTGAACTCTTCCCAGTTCCGCTTATCGCGTCATAGTTTTTCAGAGCTCTGGATGGGGCAGACCAATAAATCGGAGGGCCGCCAAAATTTGCAGGACGGTTTTTCCCCTGTTTCCACCAAGATGTTCCTACGAAACCGCCCTCAATGTCTACCTCGTATCGACAAGGTCAAGTCTCATCCCTTGGTGCCTGGGACGTCCGGCCCCGTTTACGTCGTCCATGGATCCAGTAGCCGAGAGAAATGCGAGCAGTCTCTACAATCTCTGAAAACGGTGAAGATCCCCAGGTCCTCAGCCGAGGCCAGGAGAAAGGGTATGTCTTCTATGCATCTGTATACCGACTGGCTGTTAGGGTCTCGAAACATCCACCCACATCCACCCACAACCCACCAGCCTTGACCCACACTCCCCGCACAGTCTCACATGATCTCCCGCATGATCCCGCACATCCCCACACTCGCCACCATCTCTCCGCATCCCACATCCCCATATCTCCGCGACCCTTCCCTCCGCATTCCCGCATGCTCCGCAGTCGATCTGCATGCGGAGTCTATGGGCGCTAGACACTCCGCTCCGCATTTATGCGGAGCGCCGCCGGTACGACACGGCCCGCAAACTGAGGGCCGGTGCGGACCGTGCGGAGAAACCTCGTAACCGCCCTCTAGGCGCCCAGACTCTGCATGTGACCTCTTATACTTCTTTATGACTCCCTTCCTTGCTTTGCTATTGTATCTTTGGAATCGACTTACTCATCCCTTTCGTATTCCGCGGTATTCCGCATTTCTTATGACTCAGTTCTTTCTCTTGTCCCAGACTTATCCCAGAGTATATCCAGAGTATCTACAGATATATAAGCTAGCTAGATTTCTGTAGTAGATACTCATCCGGAATCTCGAATCAGACTTATACAGAACTTCTCCTCTGTCCAGTCTTGAGCCTTCAGGCTTGCTAGAGCTTTCCGCATACTCCGCATATCCGCACAGTGCTCCTGATTCCGCTCCGCAAGGCTCTCTCCTCTCTCTCCTCGTCTTCCGCCGTAAGGCGCGTCTCTCTCTCCCTCTCCTCCCCTCTCCTTTCGGGTTGGACCATATACCACCAGCGTGGGCACAACGCAATACGTTGAGGCCAAGGTCCCTTCGACTCCGCAGACTCCGCAGTTCCGTAGAGTCTAACAGTAGATTCCGGATCCGCACGCTGTGGTATGCGCACCAGGAGCACTAACTACTCTATTGTGTTCCAACGTCCGCAAACCCCTCCGGAGTTTTCCTACTCAATCTCCACACATCATCGTCGACATCCGCCTGTCATCGACGACCCCCTCCACAATCCCTTTTCACCCAACTTCCGCCAACCTGACGCCCCGCGGCCCCAGGAGCAGCCAATCTGGGGTCCGCCCGCATCCTTCCTTGGGCCCGCTACATCGGCCTCTGCCTACCGAAACCCAATGGCGACACAGGTCCAGACGCGGACCACACCCGCAAACACTCCGCAATTCCCAGGCGGACTCTCCTCACAGTCAGCGCAGGAACGCGGAGAGGAGGCCACTGTCACCGCCGCCTTACTCCCGTTTTCCGGCGAGGGGAGAACAGTCGATGAACCGCCTGCACCGGCGGACCTATCCTATGTCACACCCGCACCCCTCCGCACCGCATCGCTACTCCAGAACGCGGTTGCGGGAGGCTCCAACGACCCAGTTCCGCCCTACGAACCCCCTGCTGTCCCGCCTGTCGGGGGTGGAGACCCTCCAGACTCGGATGACGGGCAACCGCCCGCAGACGCTCCGCAGGGCGGAGACGGACCACCTCAGGGCCCGGGTCGCCCTCCTCAGCCGAATCGAGGGCCCCCACCCGGCGGTCCACCCGGCGGCCCTGCGGATGATGGAAATGACAGCTCGGATTCATCTGACTCCGATGCGGACGACGAACCGGACGTTCCGCAACTCCTCAGTCGGCTCCTCGCCGGCCTCACGCGGACCAACCGCCGCCTCGCGCGGACCATGGAGGCCGCACTCACAAGGCCGCGCGAGGGCCCCAAGGCACGACCCCCTGAGCCCTTCGATGGGGAGGACCCAGACAAACTCGACAACTTCATCACCCAGCTCACCCTCTACTTCGGGAGGTACCAGGACGGTTTCCGCGACGATGCGGACCGCGTCGCAACAGCCCTCACCTACCTCAAGGGCGACGCCTATGCCTACTTTGGCGACAAGATTGCGGCCGCCCGCGCGCGCGGAGACGCTCGAGTCCCGGATTGGTTCCAGAGCTTCCGCGCATGGAAGGACGAACTGATCCGCGTGTTTGGGCCCAAAGACCCCATCAAGGACGCAACCCGCAAGCTGAAGGCGCTCAAGATGACCGGACGCGCCTACCAGTACAACCTGGCCTTTAACCAGCTTGCGGCAAAGATCAACTGGAATGAGGAGCCGCTCCGCGACCAGTACTACAATGGACTCCTCGACCGCATCAAGAACGAGCTCTCCAAGCGGGAGAACCCCGCAACCCTTGCGGACCTCCAGGTTGAGGTGTTCAAGATCGACGAGCGCTACCTGGATCGCCAGGAGGAGATCAAAAAGGAGCAGGCCGCACTCCGCACCACCAACCGCGGATCCAACCCTGCTCCGCACCCCCGCAACAATCACTCCTCCGGTGGTCCTGGTCCTTCCTCTTCCAGCTCCACTCCGCATCATTCCGCCTCCTCACACTTCCGCAACAACCACTCTCGTCACCCTCATTCCCCGCACACAACTTCCGCCGTCCGCAAGAACGGCAACCCTCCGCTCCGCACGCTTCCACGTCCGCGCCCTCCGCCTCCTCCGCTAACTCCTCTGGAGGCGGCAACCGCAACAACCGTCAGGGCGGTGGCCAGCAGCGCCCTTGGAACAACAACCTGGACGCTAACGGTCGCCTCCGCCCTGAGGAGCGCGAACGTCGCATGCGGAACAATCTTTGCCTTGTCTGCGCTGCCTCAGGACACCGCGCAGCGGACTGCCCGCGCACCCGCCGTGCCCGCAGGGCCAACGCGTCCGCTCCGCAGGTTTCCGACTCCTCTCAGTCGGGAAATCACTGAGCAGCCCTGTGACCTCGCCTTTCCCTCAGGGCTGCGTCTCCGCCGCAGAAAGGCTTGAGGTCCGACTAAATGCGGCAGCCCTCTCTGATCCCAATGCTCTTTCCATTCTCTTTTCGATTCTCCGCACCCCAACTCATTCCTTCTCTCTGGACTCTGCTGAACTCCGCGCCTTGATTGATTCGGGTTGTACGGACTGTTTTATCGACTCCGCATTTGTATCCAAGCACAATATCGAATTCTATGACATTCCGCCTGTTCCGCTTAAACTCCTCGATGGAACCATTTCGCGCTGGTTATCGCAAGCTGCGGACATCACGCTCCGCATCTCCTCAGGCGAGGAATTCCATATCAAGTGCTTCATCACAACCCTGGATGCCCTGTATCCGTTGGTTCTAGGACACAACTGGCTTGCCCGTTACAATCCGTTGATTGATTGGCGCAGAGGCCAGATACTCTCGTTCGAATCATCCGATAACTCCTCCGCATTGAGCTCACTCGCCGCCGCAAACGTCGAGACCTCCGCAACCTCCAGCATCCCTCCGCCTCTCTCCGCACCGGAGCCTAGTGCTCCGCCCACTTCCCCTCCTTGCGCATTCACCAGCAATCCAGTTCCAATTTCTTTTGTCAATGCAGCCGCTTTCCGCCGCGCATCCGCGATGCGTGGCTCACACTCCTTTTCCATTTCCCTTTCCAAGAGCGACAATGTGGTGCGGGCATGCGCCGCAGCAGTTGATGCGGAACTCGTCGACCTCTCCTCTGTTCCAGAGGAATACCACGAGTTTGCCGACGTGTTCAGCAATGCCAAGGCCTACACCTTGCCTCCGCATCGATCCTACGACCTCAAGATCGAGCTTGACGCTGCCGCTCCGCTTCCACCGAGTCGTCTCTACTCCCTGTCTCCTGCGGAGACCTCCGCACTCCGCGAGTTCCTTGAAGAGAACTTGCGGGCTGGTTTCATTCGCTCCTCCAACTCTCCCCTAGGCGCTCCCATCCTTTTTGTCAAGAAGAAGGATGGATCGCTCCGCCTTTGCGTCGATTATCGCGGACTCAACCGCATCTCCAAGAAAGATCGCTATCCGCTTCCGCTGATCTCCGATCTCCTCGACGCACCCGGCCGCGCGAAGGTCTACACCAAGATTGACCTGAAGCATGCCTACCACTTAGTCCGCATTGCGGACGGGGATGAGTGGAAGACCGCATTCCGCACACGTTATGGGTCGTATGAATGGCTGGTGATGCCTTTTGGGCTGACCAATGCGCCCTCCGCATTCCAGCGATTCATGAACGATATCTTTGCGGACATGGTTGATGTCAGTGTCATCGTCTACCTGGATGATATCCTCATCTATTCCGACAACATGGAGGATCATCGCAAGCACGTCAAGGAAGTCCTCCGCCGCTTGCGGAAGCATGGTCTCTTCGCCTCCGCAAAGAAATGCGAATTTCATGCGGAGCGCGTGGAATACTTGGGTTACATCTTGTCGCCTGCAGGCCTCACTATGTCTGCGGACAAGACCAAGACCATCCAGGACTGGCCTGAACCGCGCTCTGTGAAGGATATACAGTCCTTCCTCGGTTTTGCCAACTTCTATCGACGTTTCATCCACAACTACTCCGACATCACTGTTCCGCTCACCCGCCTCACCCGCAAAGACACCCCTTTCGTGTTCGGCGACTCCGCACGTTCCGCATTTGAAACCCTCAAGTCCGCATTCACTTCCGCACCCATCCTGGTGCACTGGCAACCCGACCGACCCCTGATTGTGGAAACTGACGCCTCTGACTACGCCCTTGCCGCCATCCTGTCCCAACAACTCGACTCTGGCGAAATCCACCCCGTCGCATTCCATTCCCGCACTTTCCAAGCTGCGGAGCTCAACTACGACGTCCACGACAAGGAGCTCCTGGCTATCTTCGAGGCCTTCAAGATTTGGAGGCATTACCTCGAGGGATCTGCGGAGCCTGTGAATGTGATGACGGACCACAAGAACTTGGAATATTTCGCCACTTCCAAGGTCCTCACCCGCAGGCAGGCGCGCTGGTCGGAGTATCTCTCCCAGTTCAACCTTGTCATCCGCTTTCGCCCTGGAAAGCTGGGGATGAAGCCCGATGCCCTCACTAGACGTTGGGACGTCTACCTTAAACAGGGAGGTAGTGACTACGCGTCAGTCAATCCGCACAACTTCAGACCCATCTTCATCAATGAGCAGCTGTCCGCATCGCTCCGCGCAACTTCGATCATGCTCCCCGCACTCCGCGCATCGATCGTAGTTGATGAGGGAGCGCTCCTCAAGGACATCAAGGCTGCTTACTCCACGGACGAAATCGCTTCCAAACACCTCCCCACACCTTCCAACCCTCGCTGGACTCTCTCCGCAGATGGTATACTCCGCCAGGACGGACGCATCTACGTTCCGGACAACTCCGCACTCCGCCTCCGCGTACTTCAGCTCAAACACGACCATCCGCTTGCGGGACACTACGGCAAGAACAAGACGATTGAGCTGGTGCGCCGCGACTACGTCTGGCCGGAACTCCGCACTTTCGTTGCGGACTACGTCCGCTCCTGCACAGTCTGCAAGCGCAACAAGTCTCCGCGTCACAAGCCTTATGGTTTGCTGAAGCCCCTGCCTATTCCGCTCCGCCCCTGGGACTCCATTTCGATGGATCTCATCGAACAGCTCCCTGCATCCGGCGGATACACGGATATCTTGGTGGTGGTGGATAGACTGTCCAAACAAGCCATTTTTGTTCCGACAGACTCCCGCCTCACCTCCGCAGAACTTGCGCGACTGTTTGTGCTCCACGTCTTCTCCAAACATGGTGTTCCTGGCCATGTAACCTCCGACCGCGGCTCCGAGTTCGTCTCCCACTTCTTCCGCAGTTTGGGGGAAGCCCTGGACATGAAGCTCCACTTCACATCCGGCTATCACCCAGAAGGAGACGGACAGACAGAGCGGGTCAATCAGACGCTTGAGCAGTATTTGCGGACCTACTGTAACTACCAGCAGGACAACTGGCATGAACTCCTCCCACTTGCGGAGTTTGCGTACAACAATGCGCCTAGTGCCACAACTGGTGTTTCGCCATTCTTCGCTAATAAGGGTTATCATCCGAACATCTCTGTTCACCCTGAACGCGATCTTGCGAGTTCCGCAGCCCGCGACTTTGCGGTCGACCTGCAGGAGCTCCACGAACACCTCCGCACCAGTATCGCCAGCGCGCAGGAGTCCGCACGCCGCTATGCGGACCAAAAGCGCTTACCTCCGCCAGACTTCAAGGTGGGCGACCGAGTTTTCGTTAAGGCCCAGTTCTTCCGCACAACCAGACCTACCAAGAAGCTCTCGGAACGATACTTTGGCCCTTACGAGATCATTGCCCAAGTGGAAACGGTTTCCTACACTCTCCGCCTCCCCGACTCTCTCCGCGCTGTTCACCCCGTCTTCCACGTCTCAATGCTCGAACCGCATTACACCTCTCAGATTCCGCATCGCCACGAACCGCCTCCGCCTCCAATCGAGGTGGATGGGGAACTTGAATACGAGATTGCGGAGATCCTCGACTCCAAATTGGATCGTCGCCGCAAACATTGCAAGCTCCTCTACGAAGTGCGGTGGCGCGGATACGAGAATACGGACGAGGAACGAAGCTGGCTCCTTGCCACAGAGCTTGAACATGCTCAAGAGATCGTTGGAGAGTTCCACAAGAGGTACCCAGACAAGCCTGGTCCCCATTGGTGATTCCCCGCATTCCCCGCATTCCACAGTTGACTCCGCATTTCTTCTTCACCTTTGTATCCTTTTATTTTCCCAAGTTTTACCTTCGTCTCTCCGCTCTCCGCAATTTTCCGCATCCTGTTTCTTCTGCTTCTTTCTCTTCAATTCGTGGTTCCGCATTATTCCTTTCCTCTCTATGCTTCCTCCACTCCTCTATGCCTTACCTGTTTGATCTTTTTTCCTGTTCCGCATTCCTCTCTTCTTGATGTTCCCGCTTACTCCACTTATTCCACTTGCCTTCATTTTCCTCCACTTCACTATGACTTCCCTTACTCCGCACGTTATGCTTCAATTTCTCCCTTGCCTCCGCTTCTCTCTCCTCACTTTCATTTCCTGTCCGCACTTTTCATTTCCACTTCAAGAGGACAAGAAATTATTTTTCACTTCTCCGCAAACGCACCGCAGAGTCACAAGCATGCTGATGATGCCGAGTTGCAAGATGCGGACATCAGATTCTGTGCATGGACCGAGTCCTAACACAAGCCTCGAGGGCTCGGCCTTAACAGGGAGGTACTGTTAGGGTCTCGAAACATCCACCCACATCCACCCACAACCCACCAGCCTTGACCCACACTCCCCGCACAGTCTCACATGATCTCCCGCATGATCCCGCACATCCCCACACTCGCCACCATCTCTCCGCATCCCACATCCCCATATCTCCGCGACCCTTCCCTCCGCATTCCCGCATGCTCCGCAGTCGATCTGCATGCGGAGTCTATGGGCGCTAGACACTCCGCTCCGCATTTATGCGGAGCGCCGCCGGTACGACACGGCCCGCAACTGAGGGCCGGTGCGGACCGTGCGGAGAAACCTCGTAACCGCCCTCTAGGCGCCCAGACTCTGCATGTGACCTCTTATACTTCTTTATGACTCCCTTCCTTGCTTTGCTATTGTTCTTTGGAATCGTCTTACTCATCCTCTTCGCATTCCGCGGTATTCCGCATTTCTTATGACTCAGTTTCTTCTCTTGTCCCAGACTTATCCCAGAGTATATCCAGAGTATCTACAGATATATAAGCTAGCTAGATTTCTGTAGTAGATACTCATCCGGAATCTCGAATCAGACTTATACAGAACTTCCCCTCTGTCCAGTCTTGAGCCTTTAGGCTTGCTAGAGCTTTCCGCATACTCCGCATATCCGCACAGTGCTCCTGATTCCGCTCCGCAAGGCTCTCTCCTCTCTCTCCTCGTCTTCCGCCGTAAGGCGCGTCTCTCTCTCCCTCTCCTCCCCTCTCCTTTCGGGTTGGACCATATACCACCAGCGTGGGCACAACGCAATACGTTGAGGCCAAGGTCCCTTCGACTCCGCAGACTCCGCAGTTCCGTAGAGTCTAACACTGGCATTCATGTAATTCAGGTTGGCTCATTCTCGATCCCAACGACGATCCGAGGCTCGTCTGGACAGACGACGACCATGCCGTACCAGACTGTCTGAAGCTATGGTTTCTATCTAAGTGAGTATCTTCCACGCTCTCGCATGTGCCTTAACTTACATCTGTGTAGGAAGGATTGCACGCCGGAAGAAATCCAAACCGCAGACAATCTAGTGCAGGAGATCGTTGCCGACATAGACGACGACGGTTTGACAGAGTACGAGCGAGATCCTCGCTGTTCCTCTTCCGGGAAAGGAGGGCGCTGCTATAGTCTTTCCACAACTCACCAGAGACAATAAAGACCTCGAGGCCCCCTTCAAGGGACGCAGAGAGTTACGGTCGCTCGTTGGACGAACACGATCAAACGACGAAGAAGTTGTTGGAGGTAAGCTCGCCTGTTTTACTTGACATCCTACGATTGAATGAAACTAAACATTCCTTAACCCTGTCAGTTCACCAGTTTACGAAGCATGCAATGCCTTAAAAAGGCCCCGTCGAAGTTCGTGAATACCATAACATCAAGGTCGGAAATGGCCAACCTTCCGCGCATTGGGCACGAGAGCAATACAGCCTTTCCGGCTTTTCAACTCAACATCACGACGGCAGAATTGCCCAGGAAAGCAAGAGGTGAGTTTACCCTAGCGCTCGCAATCACCCAGGAACTCAATTTTGTTTAGGAACGGGGGGTATACGACAACTTGGAACGGCAGGCGAAGTTCATATCGATATCAAGGACTGTGCGGGTGCGATTTCTGCTATCACATGCTACAGCGAAGACAGGGACGACGTTGAGGAAGACGTTCTCTACTTCGTCGAGTTGGGCGTAGGGTTCATCCTTCGTCGCCTTGTAACGGCCTGCTTTTCAGGGCTATACCTTCATCGCGGATCGGCAGTTCTCTTCAAACAAAGTGCCGGCCCACACCCTCGTCCACACCTTCGCATTGTCGTCGTCGCCTACCCACCCGCACACCATTTCGAAACTTCGAGTTCTTCGGCGTTGGCTATGGTGCCTTCCAGCAAACGAGAAGGTGGAAGTGAAGACCATCCAAGAACCTCGAAGCACGTTCAGACGGAGGTCCTCAAGCTTTACAAAGAAATGAAACAGTTCAGGTGCGCATTTCGAGGATCCAATAGCGTCCTCTATATTGACATCTCTGCAGAGTGCCCGACTTTCCAATGTATCGACCCGAAGCACAGGCCACCTACCTCTCCCAATCCCGCGCCATCTCCACCGCAAGGTCCTACGGTAACCATGCCTCGCGAAGCATCGTTATGTTTGTATCCTATCTCATTTCACAAGTCGACCCTGCCCTTCAAATGCGCTTCGATCGAGATCTACTTCTGAGTGCGTTCAACTGGGTTGTCCCCGATGAGGAGACACACGAGGGACCCAGCTACACCAGGGTGTGTGCCGATCCTTGGTCCACGGGACCTGGGTGGACGGGCGATGATGTTCGAATTGGAAAGCAATACACCGACGATTTCGAAGGCATGTCGTGTTCGGAACAAGTTGCGAAGAGGAACAGCGATTCAGGATCTTCCGTACCATATGGAAACACCATCGCGGCCAGTGTCGAACGTTCATGGAATCGGCATCTGGAACAGATGTCTTCTACCTACCCTGTATGCGTTGTGTCGAAGGAGAGGGAGGTAAATGGGCGTGCCTCAGCGCAGGCCCGGAAAGGTAAGAACCAGTGCTTCAAGCTACGCTGGTATCATATTGACAGTGTCTTTTGTAGCTGCAATCAAACGTCTCACACCGTTCATGCGCCCTTCCGAAGACAATAACGCAGATGCCCAAGCCCCAGAACAAGAGATCCACGAAGAGGATGAAAGATCCCCTTTGCGCCGTTCTACTCGTACTTGCGTACATCGGCCGTATGATGATGGTGCGACTCCCACTTGACATACGCGACACGTTTACTCATACGCTTTGTCCTCAGACCCATTGGTACCGGCGCCGTCGAAGAGAAAGCGGGGAGGTTCACACGGCGATGGTAAGTTCACTTATCTCTTTTCCGATACGTGTCTCAAAGCGAACTTTAAAGGACCCAAGCACAAACGGCATCGCAGCACCCAACAGAGCGAGAGCGAAGATACCAATAACACTGATCAAGGGTCGGACTTTAACGGTACGAGCAACCGGCGCATGACGATGTATTTTTACTAACTCTTTCTAGGACTATTGTCAACCTTTACGCTAACGCATTTACAACGGCAACACGACGAAGCCGAAGATCTCGTTGACACTCTCGATTCGACCGACACCGACGTCGCAAACGAAGCCATAAAGGATCTTCCCGCTACGATTAAACTCTGCTGCAAAGCCGGACGGGTATCGGAGCTGTGGCAGATGTCGGAATCCCTTGAAGGGCAACACTCAGCATCAGCATTACAGCTCGTGGAGGAACGTTCGAAGATTATGATGATCAACATGCTCGCATGGGAATGGCTCGACGATTCGCTTGAAAAGGGGCTGAAGGCTCGACAATCGACAAACAATACCCACTGGACTTCGCCTCTATACGCCGCCATCGAGAACATTCACCTCACGCCAGACATTCGCAAAACTCTTCCGGCCACCATTTGTTTCCCAGCGATGACTGGGGCCCCAGAGTTCGTTCACGAGCGTCCCTTGCGGCGACGATACTCTGCCTTAACGGACGAAAAGCTCAGGGCCACAGCAGAGAAGGTGGTTAGAACCTGGTTCTCTTATCCGAAGAGTGACTACCTTCGCATGGCCGCCCTTCTTACCCGCAAACTCGTGGACATTGCAGGTCCCTTCATTCTTCTTTACCCGCCGGTATGGAACACCTACACCAACCTCCGGAGAGGCATTGCTATCTCTTCCAAAGTTACGCGCGAAAAAATTGAGCGTTGGGCAAATGAAGAGCTACCCTTGGCGCTGTTCACTCGTCGCGCATCTGAGGAGTACAAGGTTCTTTTGTCGGTGTGTTCGTTGTACGGCTCTCGAATCCCCTTCCTTCTCGAGGACTCCTCGCTTGACGTTGTTGACTAGACTCGTACTTTGGGTGTTGAACCGCTTTTTATTCCTTATTTTTGGACACTAAATACATGTTGAATGTATAACGTACGAGCAATAGAAGAATCAAAGCAAACAGTGAAAACGATAGACTTTAATATTTATGGAAGAATGATACAACTATACTTTCGATGACTTCGTCGCCTTCTTGGGTGTCTTCGCCGTCGCCTTTGACTTCACAGGAACCTTGGCTTTGGTGGCCTTTGGTAGCTCCTTGGGGACCTGTTCCTTGTCAGCAAGGACGATCAACCACTGGATATAGGTGTTCAATAGCCACTTCTTGTTGTTGGCCCCCATGGCATGGCGAACGATATACCCTGCGACCACGAAGGACATCACAGGAATCTCCTTGCCTTGCGGCCATTCGGGCAGCGTACCGCTCAAGTCATCCAAGTGGTCCTCCAAACGGAACCCCTTCACGGAGGTGGCGTCATAAATGGGAACTAGAGAACCGTCAGCAAAGGCCGTGGCGTATGAAAAGCAAGCTCACTTTTGTCACTGAAGCGTCGAGGAGAGAGGGTACCATATCCCGACGCAGCTGTGTTGACCATGGTGGCAGCGAGGTCGAAAAACGCATTGGGTTCTGTCATTCAATTTATGAGTGTCGTCGACTCCTACCCGAGTAACCACGGACGTACCTCTCTTAACTGGAGTAGCACCTATCTTGGCCGACATTGTTGTCAAATTGAGACCTCCTTTGTGTTCGGTAGACTTCATGGTGAAGTTGTTCATGGACATCACCGTATGGGCTTGGATACGAGAACGTTCGAAGCTTAAAGGGTTGACCAAAATGTTGTAGCTGACGAACTCTTGCCTCTCGTTTGGGTTGGTGCTAGTCCATTGACGAGGGGAGAAGAGATTACTCTCTTGTACAACACCAGAAACGACACACAGGGCGGTTCCCCGGCCCCTGACAGTCATCTCGATGTTCTCCCGTTCATAAGGCCTGCACCCAGTGAGGCCCACAGGCGAGCGAGCTAATCCGACGACATTCTTCCAGTTGGAGAACATGAGAACACCCCAGAAAACGCTGGCGACGATCTTGTTAACCGGTAGTTGCATGCGATGAGGGAAAGGAGACCTACTCAGGATCAAGCTGCGGCAGAGCTTTGAGGATCGCCGAAGGCGCGAGATTCATAGCCTCGTTACTGGTACGGGACTCGATGGTGCCGGGGCTAATCTGAATGATCAGGGGAAGCTAAGGAGGAGAAAGACAGTGTTACACGCACCGCAATCGGTAAATATTCAGACTTTCATCTGGATAGAAACCATCGGGAGCATTGCGATCCTTGAGGGCGTCAAGGTTCATGTATTCTTCGTTGTCTGCCAAAGGTCTTTGAAGGAATCAGTAGAAAGAAGACATCGCACCTTGGTCCTTCTTACCTAGGATAAAAGGCACCTGGCTCGTAGACCGGTTCTTCGTCTTCTTCCTCTCCGTCAACATCTTCTTCCTCCCCATCCTCCTCTGGAGACCCTTCCACGGATCCCTCTCCGTCATCCTCCTCATCGACGTCATCCTCAACGTCCTCCTGCTCAGATCCACTTTGAAGAGAGAATCAGCACTACGCAATGAAGGTAAACGGGAACAGGGAGATCACCTCAGTACTTCAGCTTCTTCACCGGACTCCTCCCCGTCGACCTCTTCAACACCCTCTTCATCCTCGCCGTCGCCTTCCATGTCGTCTTCAGTAGCGACAGCTTCCTCTTCGTAGTCGCCTTCAGAACAATCCTCCTCAGGCTGGTACTCCTCTGCGCCGTCTTCATCGTCTTCGTCGTCTTCAACAACAAAAGTGTCGTTATCATCCATCAACCTGGACACAGAAAGTCAACACATGGTACTGCTGGTCATGAAGGGTAAGCTCACCTAGCCGACGCCTTGGTCTGTGGCCCGCTACTGGCAGCGGTCTTCCTAGTGACCTTGTGCTTTGTAGGAGCAGAAGAGGAAGCTGTCTTAACCGGAGAAGTCGGGCGCTTGGATGCTGATGTCGACGACCTAATAACGAGGGAGAAAAGGTCGGTAAGACGGCAATTTGGCCTAACCATCACCGACTCACCCTTTTGCAGTCCGCTTCATAGGACTTGGAGTGGACGTAGTTCTCGCCTTTTTGGTCCTAGAGGAACATCAACACGTAGTCGGAGGCAAGGGAAATGTACGCGTACGGAGACTCTTGCCCAAGAGACAACTTTTGCAGCGCTTGGGAAGGTGTTACCGGGGTAGCGGCAGGCCTTTTGCGAAGTGATCGTCCGTGGTTGGGGGTGGGCGTGGAGGGCAGCTCAGGAGCCGAAGGGACGTTGGGGGTGCTAAGTCGGAGATAGTTAGCCAGAAGTCAGGGTGATTAACAGGAGATACATACTTCGACTCCGAATGATCACTGTCGGAGACCAATGCCTTGGACTTGACGGTAGCCTTTTTTTGGGAGGTTTTTTTCGCCGTGGACTGCGCCTGCTGAGTGCTGAAGACTGTGTCAGAGAAAGCGAGAAGTGACTGGAAGTGAATTACCTCGACGCATTCCGTGAGGCAGGGGTCTTGGGGGTAGCGGACTTCTTGGGAGGCATGGTTTGCAGGGGAAAACGTTGAATGAACCAGAGTAAGAAGTCGAAGCAAGGACAAAGTGGGCGAAGAGGGTACTGGTTCCATCCGCTTTTAAAGCTTCTGGAACAGTGTTAGATATACGGAGATGTATCGTTAAACCGGACGCAAGTAAACCGGTGCGCCTTTAAACGAACCACCTGCGCCGATGCAAGAAAACGACAATGGAACAACACAGCGTACAACAAATCTTAAGCATAAAACTTATTCCCAAGCCTTGGGTTGCGGATCCTGCGCGTTAACACAGTTCGAACGATGGACGAATTCTACGACACGCACGAAGCAGGTGAGCGAGTTCCTTTGCTGTAAACTAGAAGTCTTTCTCAACGGTTCTTTAAGTTCGCAAGCTGGATGAGATAATTCGGGGTCGACGAAAGACAAGTAACGCTGCGAACGGGGTTTATCAACTTATCGAACTGAACGTAAGTACCGTACATCTAACCTATGAAGATATGGCTAACTATGAACAGCTCGACTCTTTGAGCGTTTCGCAAGAGGGCGTAAGGGGCGCGTGGTTCTTGTGCTACAACAGCGAAGATACCGGGCATGAAGCTGCCTACATTCGTGTCCAGGGAATAATAACCTCAAAACTACTGCCTCCTGTTTCCAGGCCAGAGTACGTCCACTGCCATCATATAAACATGTCTTTAACTAACAGTATGCAGAAACTTCAACCAGATGAAGAAAGCCCGGCCACATATGAGGCAAGCGGTTACTCTTTCAGGCTTAGGGTCGAAAGAGTTCCAAGTTGCAGTGGCCAACGTCGAGAAGGTATACCTTCACTTTTATAATCGACTCCCCGAAGGCACGCTTCTTCCCATGGACCTTGGGCATGAGTCGGGTGACGCAACATTGGACCTTGCCTGCCGATACTTCACCCATAAAAATGCTACGTTTGGCCAAACCCAGGAGGTTATCTCAAGTCTCGTTGACCCTGAAGGCGTCCTCGCTTCCTTGTGCGATGCCGACTTCCTGTACACGGCCAACAACATTGTGGACTACAAGGCTCGTACTATTCAGGAAAACGGTACCGTAAGGTGAGGCCTTCCTTACCACCGATACGGGCACGTCGCTGAAATATGGTCCAGGTATGAAGATTGCAGTCCTGCGATGTTCAAAGTTGGAGATATCGTCGAAGCGACCGTTGTCTTCGCCTGTCTCCCTACCAAGGAGAAACAATTCCGAATGACTTTTCTTCTGAAAGCGCTGACCCAGCTCAACACCGATGAACGAAACGTGAGTGGTTTGATTCAGTTCGACAGCGAGCCAAAGTTAACTCTACGCAAGTCTGCAGCCATCCTTCGGATGAGGAGCCGGTTCCCGAATTTTAACCGAAACACTGTTCGGAAAAGGAAGCCTACTTACGTTGACGACGAAGAAGTTCATGAAGCCCGTGACAGATTCTGTCAGATGAGGATCGACGCTGAATAGGAATGACGGACGGGCTATAAGCCCGTGCTGAAGATACCTTTAGTCTACCGTTCAACTTCTGTACGTATGTATGTTGAAACTGGGGAGAGGTCGGCGTGAAATTATTCGCCAACGAACTTGGTCTGCAGTAGCTGTGCGAGAAAACATAGCCGTTCCAACTGCCCAGAAACAGAACACATGGTACCCATTCGGTAGCAATGACTGGTGAGAAGCTTTGGAAGACGCTTCTGTTACGTATACGGCCCACTTAACCGAGCCAGCCGACTCGGATTCAAGGCAAAGGACAACATAAACGAGACAACGTCGTCAGTACACGAAAACAGACAAGCTCGTAGACTCAAGCAACTGCAATAGAGCGAACTACAGGAGGGCAGAGAACGTTTATATCTTGGTGGAGCAGGTTTATGTCCTCATTGCTGTTCCCGGGGGCCGTGAATCTCACTAATTCCTTAAAAGGCATTTGAACCGTAAAGATTGGAATCCGATGTTATCGATGGAGAGAGACGTCACAAGGAGAAGATCACGGTCCGATTTGAATGGCGGAACAACACATTCGGCGGATTAACGGGCAGTAGTGGGATATCAGAAACACATCAGAAAAGACAGAATACGTGCGGTATGTGGAAACGAACGTCGCCAGCAAAGTCCGAAACTCAAGGCATGGAAAGCAAACCCGCTACGAAAGCAGTGGAAGAGGCCCGTGGTTTAGTATTGGTGCGTCACAGTAGCGACACTTTCACCAACGTACGACCAACAATAATTACGATTTCATTTAGAAAGGCAGACACTATGCAAGCGCCATTCTATTGGCGGATGACATGGACCACCCGTTGCTAGTGCCGCTTCCCTTCAAAGAAGGCGTATGGGAAGCCCAAACGATCCAAGATCTGGAGATAGAAATATACATCGGAACAGGGCGCCCGGCCCCGTCTCATGTTCTGAAGTTGGAAATCGACAGCGACTACTGGGCAATAGCCTGTCACGCGACCAACCCATTCGTCAGTCTTTTCCCTCCCAGTTTGAACTTACAGCCTCACAATGTTCATTCAGAGGCCACTAAACATGCTTGCTCAGAGGCTGGTCAAAGGGACGTATGTAAGGGGACATCTTCTCGTCATAACGTTGGAGAAGGAGACGGGCAACGTCTTCTGTGCCGAGGTCTCTATGCGCAAAGAAATCAACGTCGCATTGGCAAGGTATGCAGTATACCCGTCAGGTATTCCATTTCGAATTAACACATGACACAGGGTCCTGGGAGTTCAAAAAGCGGAAATGGACGCGTTGCAGGCCGACGAAGGAATGCCTGACGTCGTAGAGTACATGTGAACAATATATCGACTTTATTAGGGAATCTGAAAGCGGAGAAACTGTGCAGTGGATACGTCATGGGACTTTGGCGATACCCTCAACTTCGCCAGACACGTACGACTCTAAACGCTAGCGAAGGACAGACATGGCAGAAGAATCTCAAGGCATGTCTGCTTGGACCAGGCGAGCTATCAGAGAAAGTATTGAGCGAGGAATGGTGCGTGTCGTCAGGTTTTCTTTTAGCACCAATGATAACGCTGTGGTTTTTAGGACTTGGGATCAAGTCTAGTAGGCGCATATTTTCTACCTCCAGATGCAGAAGAAGCTGCCGTGGTAGCCCTGTATGTTAAGCGATACTGTGCCCCTTGCGAGGGGTTCAATAAACTTGACCTAGAACCGTGGATGGGAGAAGCGGGGGAGATAACGGTCCTGCCAGTGGACCTACCTGGGGAAAAGGGTCGCAGACGGACGGCTCACATCATCGCTTCAGCATATGCATCTGTCAACGATGTCAACCCAACGCTCAGAAGGTTGGCGCCGGATAGCGTTCAAGATTACGTCGCACTGCGTGGGCCATGTGTTGTGGTTGTCACCAATGCTGTTGGAGAACTCTTGCGGCTGGAACAGACAGACTTCACGTTGTTTGCGCAAGCATTTCGAAGGTATGCTGCCCATCTTCTTATCTGTAACAGGCTAAAGACTGTTCCTAAAGGCTGGTCTGGGATCTCGTTACGACAGAGCGAGCGACTCTGGCACGGCGAGCACTGACAGGAGTTCAGGTTTTCGCCGACAAGGGGGTTATCCCTGGTAATGTCTCCACCGACGTTATCAGAAGGGTAGCAGTTGAGATTGAAGTAAGTGCATATTACATTCTAAATGTCATTTGCTGACTGCTTTCCAACGCCAGTGCGAACGTTTAGAATGGGCGACTGGCGTTCTCCTCCCAAAAGAGGGTTCGGTAGCGTCGATGGTTCCTGTGCCATTTCAACGGGGCCCACCTCCACATGTGGGAGCCATGTCGGCCAGGGTGGATCTTTATCTTGACCAGCCTTCGTTTGACAACGACTGGTCAAAGGTCACCTTCAGATTCACTTCGTCGTTATCAGGAGAAGAGACAGAATGTACAGTTTTTGGGAACTATCGATACAACGTAAGTTCCTGCTGTTGTCGTGGATCTGAATTGAGGACTTAGGTAGAAACAGGTCTCCGATAACCCTATGTTAAATTCGATGCTCGGGTCCAGCTATGATACCTTCATTCGTATCAACGGGCCAATGTTGTTGGTTGCGGTCAGCAAAGACGGTTCCCTCAAAGACTTAGCGAAGGAGGACGTACCAGTTCTTTGCGAGGGAATGATAAGGTGGGCGCCAACGAAGCAATCGTTTGGAGATACTGAACTTGCTTTTCAGGGAAATGCTACGGCACTTGGAGGAGAGGGTGATCTCACCAGACATTGTCACCATACCGGTGATTGAACAACGTACGCTGTAGCTCGTAGACTTGTCTGTATTAAGTAGTAGGAAGTTTGAAAACATGCGCGTTCGACGACAGGGGCTACCCAAAACAGACAAGACAGGGATAAAGAGCACGTGAAACCAAAACAAATGTTGCGCAGCTAGGCCTTTGGGCAGGCGATTGACTCCTTAATCATCAGACATGACATCGCGCGCAGCAAACAACCCAGAAGACTTCAACCGCCTGCGTTCTGATACAGAACTGCGACATTGCGACGCAATATGGGACGCTTGGGTGGAAGAATGGCAAACGACGAACCTACACGGCGTTCCAAGAACGTGTGGAACATGCAGCGACGCAGACTCCTGTGCACCAGTTAAGGGCATGTTCAGCTGTGTAGGATGCCATATAACGGGAGCAGAATGCGGGTTCATGGATAGATGTTTCAAGGGAAAACGGACTGCGGTTGGCGACGGCGATGTCGATGCTAGTTCCGTATGGGAAGGTAACACTCGTCAGCTCTGGGACCGTCTGCAAGCTAACGAATTATCAGGTCTCAAGAAACTAGAAACAATCGTGCGCAAAATTGAAACGCTGGGATGCGGAGATGGGGCAGCCGTTGAAGCGATAGGAGATCTCGACTCTATCTGCCGAAGAATTACTTCCAGTTGGGCGAAAGTCAGGGGCGGTATGTGGAAATATTTTTCACTGTCTGTTCCACAAGGTTTGTTGACCATAATTTAGCTCAGGCGAACGAAAAGATTGAGAGCGCCCGAAGGGGATACGTTCTCGACGAAATCCAATATATCCTCGACGAGGCGCGAGAAGTTCGAAATGGATCGGAGTGGGAGTATGCAGAACAACCGGGAGAATATTTGTCTAGGATAGATGATTTTGTAGCACAGAACTGGTAGAGAGAAAAAGTATCGAATGGACGATGGAGGGGGCTGAATTCGCTTATACTCGATCAGGCGCGGCTGCGACTTTGGTAATACCAGCGTCAACCCGCCAGGATTTCTTGGCAAACTCCTTTCACCTAACCACCATCATCACCCCTCGACCTCCATGGAATGCAGCATCGCAGTGTCACTGGGCCGCGTACGAAGGGCCTTCTCCGACGAAGGAACAGGAGAGCCGTATCCCTTATCACCCTGGACAAAGGGAATGGCAACGAGGGCGGAAGCCATAATGGAGGTAAGTTCCTGTCGTTGAAGAAAGACTTCTCCTGACCGATCATTTTCCTGTGTAGCAGGATATGGAAGGAGTGCGGGTGGAAGCATTATTGCTTCCCCCAGACAGCGCAGTACCGGTTTCGGTGTCACTGTTTACGAAGAAGTGGGTTACGAAAATGAGAAGCATCGACGGTCTGGAAATAGCCGGCTGGTTAGGAGACGAAACGACAACCATGAATCTCTGCATCAAGCCTGCGCGAGACCCCGAGAGAAGGAGGAATTTCGTGATAATAGCCCAACGCGATGTCGATGTTAAGTTCCCAAAAAACCCGTCCCTAATCCAGCTCCTGCCTCGCACATTCCAGCCATTCGTCGCTGTCTCGGGCCCATGCCTAGTGGTGGTTACGAACGCCATAGGTTGGATTGTGGACGCGCAACCCGAGGATTTCCAGTCCTTCGCAGAGGGATATATAAGGTGAGTGGTCGGTAACGTGTGTAGGAACGGTCCTAATTGCTTTCAATCCTAAAGTCACGTAGTCCAGAAAGCAGGGGAGGAACAGGCGAGGCGGATGAAATGGATGATGACGGATGAGTTGTCGCTTGAGGTGGAAGACAAGAAACTTAGGCAATCCATTACCTGGGCGAAAGAAGCTATTGAGGTAAGCCTTTTTACTCTAAGCGTGCTCAGGTGACAGAACTACAAGGTTTAGGGAGACCGAATGGAAAGTGTGTTAGGACTTCTCCTACACGAGAACATCGCGCGTCCCATCATAGTTCCGGTTCCTATTCGTGGCGAAAAAACGGTTATGCAAGGCCTTGGAGGGATTGGGATAACACATTACCTACCTTCCCCATCGACGTCTACGATGTGGGAAGCTGAAGAGTTTCCACTGGAAGGGGTGGGCAGTGGTGAGGAGGAGCGGGTTTTAGCTGTGGGATGGTATTCCATCAAGGTAACGACATCCGTCGATCACAAGTCCGAGTCGAGGATTCTTACGAAGCTTTACGTACAGGGACGAGCAAACCCCACCCTCAATCGGTTGCTGGGCCAGGGGACCGAGTTCACTGGACATCGGGGTCCTTTGTTATTGTTGAGGGTTAACGAGCGGGAGGACCTGTTGGACATCAGCAGCATTCATGTCCCGAGAGTGTTGCATGGCTTGGCTCGGTATGATTCGTTGGACTCACCGTGGTAGAGTCACGCTCATTAAAAGGCCTAGATTGTACTTTGGCAAGCAAGCGAGGCTGCTGGTGGAACTTGCAGACAACGTAATAGACGACCTACGTGATGCAGACGAATCAAATGTTGAATGATATATTCCGCTGTCTTGTAGAATAACACAGAATTACGGCTGTGACGCGAAACAATAATAATCTCGAACATCCCAGGATACCCGACCTGCCGACGACCGGACAGAAAGCCGAGTTTTTCAATTTATCAGGAGAGTGGCGCATGATTACTTGGTGGTGCTAAGGACTTTCCACGCAGAGGAACGAAGGGGAATTGAACCGACTCGGTACGACGTAAACCGAGTCGGTGGATGTAAAAAATGATCTTTGGTGCGAACCCCGGGAGGAACACACATGGCCCAAACCTCAAGTCGCCTGGACCGAATGGTCACCAAGGGGTCTGCAGGAGGGGCCTTGACTTCTTTCCCGAATTACCCGAACTTGTCATGGAAGACTACGCGTTCTCTCTGGGGACTGTGGACAACGGCGAAGTCGATGGCAAGCAACGTCGCCACCTTTCGGAATGGACAACAGACGCAGTGCGCCGTTCCCGAATGTCTTTCTTGGTACGTGTATCCGCCAAAGACTCTGCAATTTGTGACTGATCAATGTTGTAGCGAGGAGGCATCCAGGACGTATCAGCAATATTGCTTCCCTCAGACTGCTCAACGCCTGCGATGGTCCGAGTGGCATTAAAACCGGGTATGGATCGACTGGATAGTGTCGAAGGGTTGGAGACGGAACCGTGGATAGGCAGTGTGGAAGGGACGATAAGGCTGAGCATCCTGCCGGTGTACAGTCTCGCAGACGGACGGTGCTGGATCATGCTTTCGGCAAGAGAGGTTGAGGAGGGATCGCCCCGCAACCCGACCCTTACAAGGATGACTTCATCTTGGAGCCGCTCTGTTCTTCGTACCAAGGGAGCCTGTCTTGTTCTTACCACAAACGCCATCGGGCACCTACAGGACAGCGAACCAGGTGATTTCGAGCTTTTTGCTGTGGGTTTTGTGAGGTAAGTGTTACCTTTTCAGGTGTTTTCAACAACGGTTATGAAGTTTTGCCCTCCTCTTTTCTAGCCAGCTGTTCGACCGTGTTACAGAGGTGCTATGTTCTCAGGCCCTTTCCCGGGTTCAGACCGTTGTACACCTGCCAGAGGCTTTGCGACATGTTCACAGTTTCGGTGGAAATCGTCGCAGTAATGGCTTTGGGGCACGTACGCGAAATTCTCTTACCAAAGCATGGATGATGATTGAGGTGAGTAGCTACCAATTCGCGATTCGAGTGGAGCAAACTGACATGTATTTTTAAAGAGAGGCTACGACTGGGTGACCGGGGTTCTGTTGGTCAATGACCGAAGTTCGGTGGTCATGGTGCCAGTGCCCCTTCGCAGGTGTAGCGAACGGGGGGCAGGAATCTCTGCTACCATTCCGACTATCTATCTTCCGGTCGGAGACGAACGACATACATGGCGGGCGGATCACTTAAAGATCAACGATGGAAAAGATGCAGTGGGGTTATCCGTCAACGGTGAAGGACGAAGGGTGAGTTGCTCTACCGATAGTATCTCTAAAGTACTAATTGGCCCATAGCAAAACAGGGTTATGGAAGCGATTGTCGGCAATGCCGGCAGGTATATAGGTCAGGAAGGTGGCATCCTTGTCATCCTGAAGGACAAGGAAGGAACGTTGGTGGATGCCACAGACGACGATGTTGGACAGGTGCTGGAAGAACTGACAAGGTGCCACATTTCCGTTCTTAGCGTACGCGGGAGACTAACACCGACAACGGTTTTCAGAAGCTTGATGAGAAGGGTACGCGATGTTGAGTTGGAATTCACTGTAGAGCAAATGCGCTTACACGTGTACGAGCACGAGTGGGGTTGGGAAACCGAGTGTTGCGACCTAATTCCATAGGTAGTTTAATAAAAGAATCATATTACTAGCGTTAGTTCTGTAACTAATACAAATGAAGTTGACCAAACTAGAGCTACGATATAAGACACTTAAGAGAACTAGGATACGCAGTATACGACAAGCAGAAACGAGTTGCTTCCAGCGGAGGAAACAATTGAAACTCCGACAAAGGGCATGGCGAACCGTTTCAGCGGAAAGGTAAGTTGAAAGGGCCATTTTCATCATTAATTTTCGATCACTAAATACACGTTGGTACTAAGTTTAATAAAAACAATTTGGAAGGGGAAAGTATATACTCTGTTGAATGAGAAGTGGAGATCGAGGAAAGTGGCGAAGGGCAAATTCGAACTCCGTTCCCAATTAGGGAATAAGTTCCCAGTTGACTGATGGGAGTGGCCATTTTGTGCGCGCGCGCTCGCGTAAAATTACACTCAGCTTATTTAAGCCGAGTAACCCCGGTGGTGCGTACTTGTGGCTCTATAGGCTCTTACAAGTCGAGACCCAGCAGCTGATTGTATGGGGTGCACCAGGCCTATGGAACCCGATATCGTTGCTCTGGTGAGCGACAATGTGAATTAACCCAGTACGTCGGAAAATGATCCGGTCATTCACAATCCCCATTCCCAGAAACCATTCGTGGTTCTCATGAACCATGGACCTCGCAAGTCCTGAACCACACATTGCCATTCCGATGTGGTTCAATTGATCCATCCTGAGTGCCATTGCTGAGGTCAACCATCGGTCACTCTCGACGAGTGGTCCGCAAGAGAAACGGTGCAGGGTGCTATTGCTCCGGTGACCCATACACCACCAACAGTATGTGGTTCGCCAGAACTACAGCGCAGAGGGCCGTTGCTCTAGGGACTCCCCTGTCGTTCTCGAGTCGCGGTTCACCAGAACAGCCACTCATTGGGCCGTTGCTCGGGTCATCCACCTGTGACGCACCAGTGATGGTTCACCAGAGCTACGGCTCAAGCACTATCGATCCATCCTGATTCTGCTAGCGTGGAGTTATTGTTCGTTCAAGTCAACCATTGGTCACCCTTGATATGTGGTCTGCCAGAACAACAGCGTAGGAAGTCATTGCCCAGGTAAACCATCATTGACGCTCTAGCCATGGTTCGCCCGAACAATGCCTGAATGGGCTGTTGGTCTGGTGAACCATCGGTCAAGCTCGACCTGTGGTCCCCGTGAACCACGGGTCACCGTCGACCGTGACCCATCCGTGGTAGCGCTCTAGCTATGGTTCACCAGAACAACCGTCCATTGGGCTGTTTCTCTGGTCAACCATCGGTCACATCCCCCAGAACCACACCTCACAGAGGACCATTGCTCAGGTCCACCATCGGTCATGCTCGATCCGTTGTTCCAAAGAACCACTCCTCCTGGGCCCACTGCTCTGGTCAGCCACGGGTCGCCGCTGACCAGTGGTTCTCCAGAACCGGGGCCTAGGAGCCTATTGCTCAGGTGGCCCATACATCACTAGCAACATGTGGTTCACCTGGGCTACAGCCCATAGGGCGATTGCGCTGAAGAACCAACGGACCTATTCCACAGCGGATAAAAGCTAGCTATCTCAGATATGTAGAAAGGTGAGGTGCATCGTTATCTTATCTTACCTACATTTTCGAAGTAGATTGCACCGTGGGAACGATACGAATATCCCAGCGCCTGCCAGTGACAGTGATTAGGCGCCAGAAGAGGACAGCGACTCATGGTACTCAGGCTGCTGCTAAGACCAATCATTGGTCCTCCTCCAGCCGTGGTTCACCAACACAGTGGCTGACACGGCTATTGCTCAGATGAGCCATACATTACCAACTGTCTGTGGTTCACCCGGACGGCAGTGCGGAGGTCCGTCGTTCAGGTGGACCGTCACCCACACCCGACCGACAGTTTGCCAGAGCAACGCCTCAGACGGCTATTGCTCTGGTGAGCCATACAGCACCAACAGTCTGTGGTTTATCAGGATGACAGAGCGGAGAGTTAATGTTCCTGTGAACCTCAGGCTGTGGTCCCTCATAATGATGTCTCACCGGGCTATTGCTCCGGTGAACCATCAGGCAGGTGCTATATTGCTCTTGCGAGACATCCACTACGATAGTTTACTACCATATTTTCCAAAGATGTCGCTGTTGTGAACTATGGGCACCTCCATGTAGTCTACCTTGACCACCCAGTTGAATAGTGCTGCTCCTCCCGACCACCATTCAACGACGCGAGGTGGTTCAACCGAGGAACACAACTCACTGTCATTGTGTTATTGAACCACATCTCAAGCACCCTTCTGCCGGTCATCCAAACATTTCCTTTACAACCTGTAGCTCTAGTGAACCATCGGTAGAGCAACTTATCGTACTTATTAGGCCACACACTCTCATGACTTACACGTCTAACGCACCGATGGTTCAGATGAACTACGACAGTCAATGGTATACACATCATATAGGACGAAAATGACACAATGCATTTTATAACAAACCAACAAATGAAATGAAATTATTACAAAGAAAACAAGGAAACAGAAACGAGAAAAACAAAGAACACGAGGACAGCATTAAAAAACGGAGTTCAGGCTAAGGACGAATACCAAAGACTAGATCTTACGGCGTTTTGAGGCAGGAGGTTGGTCCATCTCCTCGTCCACCACAACCTTCTTTCCCCTCAGCTTCAGCGACTCCCCCACCTCAACGTCGTTCTCGATCGTTGCCCAAAGAGCCTTGATCCTTGCCGTAACAATGTCGACTTTGGTTCGCCTCTTCCCGTCAGTGTCGTATTCGTAAGCGTCGTGAACATGGAAGCGGAGGTCCTTGAGGATCCTGTACATCCACGTTCGAATACGAGGGTTAACAGGCATCCCAAACAACTCCTCCTTATTGGACTGCCGCGACCTCACGTACGGGTATTTCTTCCACAGGAAGAAGTCGGTGAGAGCCTCCTTGAGATCGCATCCACAGTGAAGGTAGTGCCTTCCATCGTCGGAGAGGGGAAAGAATTCTAGCAACTCCTCCACAGAGATGCCGTTGACATGTGTAGGGCCCTTCTCAGGCCTCTGGACAGCGTTCCACTTGGGGTAGACGTGCGACTTGGACCCTGATATGGTGTCGGGGATCCGCTCGATAAGCTCTTCGTCGGCAACAGGCTGTTCAACGGGTCCGTAGTGGACGCCCGTCACCCTATCGGGCATATCGCTGTCGTTCTTCTTCGAGGATCGATCAGACAGCGTGTGGAAGTGGCACCGAGTTCTACCCCCCATCTGGATAAACGTCTCCATTGCGATGATCATGGATGACGTTCCATACCGGGGCCAAAACTCGGCCCAGCGACGGGCGTCCCAACGCTGACTGTGTGGGATGTGTTGCCCACGAGTCAGGGCATTGGCGAGGGCGTTGCCACCATTTTCTGCAGGGTGAGTGTCAGATACTTCTGCAATCCTGAACAACCATGCGACGTACCGAATCGACGATCAAGCATCTCGTCTTCGTCCTCCTCCTCCTCCTTGGTCTTGACGCTCTTCTTCTTCCTCTTCTTGGGCACCACCACCACCACCTCCTCCTCCTCCTCCACCACCTCCTCCTCGTCATTGTCCTTCTCCTCTCGTGCCCTGGCCTTTCCCTTTCCTTTGCCCTTTCCCTTCGCCGTCGATGCACGCCGTTTGTAAAGCATCACCTTTGCCAGTCGCCTCAGAAGGTCGTTCCGATCGTGGTATAAAGAAAGGGAACCGTTGTCGTCGTATTCCTCAACAATGTCCCTGGCCCGTGTGTAGAGCTCCCACCCTCGAAAATTACACTTGTTCTCGTTATCTGTGAAATAGTCAGTGTCACGTTGCCCCTGTGTCGGCATCCATCGCACTCACCGTCAATGATCTTGAGGAGCAGCTCATCTTGCGACGCATCCCTAACCTCGCCCTGGCCATCGATTGCCAATCGGATGTTATCCAACAGCTCCACCATCTCCTCCTCTGTCTGGAAGTCTTGATCGACCTCGGCGTCCTCATCAACGAGCGGGCCAATGCGTGAATATAGGGAAGTGTTGAACTCCCAAATGTCGTCCTCTGTGAAGGGAGTGTTCATCACCCAGATAGAAAGCTGTCTGAACATGTAACACCTACCTGAAGGCTTAAGTTCGAAGTCCCGGAGAGATTGGGATGGACTAAGACACTGATCGCAAGGGGGTGGAGAGCGCGGAGGATGGGGACTAAGAGACTGATCGCGAGGGGATGGAGAGCGCGGAGGAGGGGGGTTTGGGGATGGACCGCGAGGGGGTGGAGAGCGCGGAGGAGGGGGGTTTGGTGATGGATCGCGAGGGGGTGGAGAGCGCGGAGGAGGAGGGTTTGGTGTTGGGTCGCGAGGGGGTGGAGAGCGCGGAGGAGGAGGGTTTGGTGTTGGATCGCGAGGGGGTGGAGAGCGCGGAGGAGGGGGGTTTGGTGTTGGATCGCGAGGGGGTGGAGAGCGCGGAGGAGGAGGGTTTGGTGTTGGATCGCGAGGGGGTGGAGAGCGCGGAGGTGAAAGCGTCCGCAATGAATAGCGAGGGGGAGGAGAACTTGGGGGAGGCAGGGGAGGGGGAGGATAAAGCTCCTGCATCAAAGCGTTCAGCCCACCCTCAAGTGCAAGAAGGTGGGCCTCAGTAGTCGCCAACTTGTTCTTGGCACGATTCAGCTGGAACGTCTTTGTTCCCCGCAGATTTTCTGCACCACATTTGTCAATACACAATATACAGTACGGACACCCGTAAAAAAAAAATAAAAAAACACCGACTTGGAACCTGGGCCAATTCAGCTTCTCGAAGCTTACAATGAGCTCGCAGCTCAGCCACCGAGTCTGAGACTTCGATGATGGCGTCCTTGAAGCCTTCTGTTAATTCATTAGTCAGTTCTGCAATGTACATCGAGCACTGAAGCTCTGGAGACACGTACGAATAGTGTTTGGGAGAGGAGGGGCAGCCATTGTAAGGAGTTCTGAGTTGGACCGACAGGTGAGTAGAGAGAGGTTTGGGGGAACCACGGTTCTGAGTTTGAGCGACAGGTGGATGCACAGACGTTCGGGGGAACCACAGATTGGCAAGTCATTTCTTTAAAGGCATCGGATATGGGACAACTCACCAACTGAACCTCCTCTAGGCGATCGAGCACCACATGGGTTACCAAGGTCCCAGAGATATCCAGATTCGATAGTTTCTGAATCAGAGTTCACCGGATAAATATGCGATGAGATCTGAGAGAGTTATCGGCCGGAGAGGGAAAGGAGTACATATCCTTTGCCTCTGAATCCCTAAGTTACCCTTCATTCACGCACTGTCACAGTCTGGTTAGGCCATCGTAAGTTCACATTCTACCTAAGTTAAGGGTGTGATAGCCCAGCTCTGAGGACTCAGGACGTCGGTCAGAGGGACGGCGCACAACACATACCAATCAATTAATCCTTATCGGGTACTTTCGCCGGGTCCTTTCTTGGCCGGCTTTTCCAGTTTTTTTGGGGGCCGACACCTCAGCGAGAACACATGCTCTTTGTGGTTCCCCTATCTGAAAGGACCAATCAAAATACACAAGACAGTGTGAAGAACGTGCTTGCCTTAGAAACTCTGGCACGATGAAACTCTGGCACCACACAGTCACCGATCATCGCAATGTGTTTGCATGGGAAACTGAACAGCCGAAAGGAGGCACCCTCGACCCATGTATGGATCTTATCCCGAGATTTCCCACATGTGAAATTTCGGATCATGGCTCAGAAAGGAGGCACCCTCGACCCATGTATGGATCTTATCCCGAGATTTCCCACATGTGAAATTTCGGATCATGGCTCACCCATCGCCGTCATTGCCAATCTTGGACATTGGATTTTCGGGGTCTACGAGGACGAGTTTGCCAGGATCCCTCGGAATCCCCCTGCTTTCGATAGAGCAAGGCAAAACGAAATGATGAGCATGAAACTTCGCCTACTACATATCCGCTACGCGCCCTCTCCACTACTCTCCGTCTCCCACTCAGAATCCCCGTCCCTCCCCTCCTCGCACTCACGGACAAGCTCGTCCAGACCCTCCTTGATCAGCTTCTTCACGCGAAGGGCACTGTCGTCAACCAGATCCAGCAGCCAGGGGTACTTCACCTCGGTCGCCCGACCATCGGGACCGTATTGTATAGGTATCCGCGTAGGGATTCCCTCAGCCTCCCGGAGGCGGAGGCCCTGCACCCACTTGTCCTCGAGAGGTTCGTCTGACGCGAGGATGGCCTCGATTTCCCCCTTCAACCGTAAATGAAAACGGTCAACCGACGTGCGGATGCGTTTGACGTCGTTCAACCAAGCCTCCCAGACCGTCTCCGGCGGATGCGCTACATTAGAAACTGAGAAAAGCTAATCAGTATGTTCCTGATGGCGAAGGGGGAAAGAAGATACTGCGTGCTAAAGATTCTGTAGACTTTGTGTCAGCATCCTCGTCCTTCCCAAACCGGTTAAGATCACTTACTTGGGTTCCTGCGATAACACTTGTTATCCTCGGTGTAGTCCCAAATGAACATGGAGTGCACCAGCGCGGCCTTGTTGACTTCGTCGGACGTCGGGAGTCGCAACAGCTCTTGACGCAGCAGTTCCTCGGTGTGGCGTCGCGCTTCGTCTTGGGTTGGGCCGGGGGGGAAGTGGAAGCCGATAACCAGAAGGCGGTTATTCCAATCGCGAATATACTGGAGTCCTGGTGGGGTCTCGCTCATGGTGAAGATGACGGTGAAAGGCAGACTGATCAAAGTGACCTCAATCGATCCGAGTGATTCCGGTGCTGATTAGATCAATTATCCAAACTCCGACCCATGCCGCCTAGTGTGCCGCAGTCTCCTCCCGGGGCTCGAAAGAAATAGGTGAATTTTGCACTGTTCCTGCGCCTCATAATTCTTGAAAAAATGATGTAAATTCAGTGGAAGTTTGAGTCTATCCGATGGACCTTTTTTCCCGAAGAGACATATCCCCCATAAAAAGTCAGACCACACGGCCACAAAGAACCATCATTACTCTCGCGATTTGTCGTTAATCTCCACCATTGTCATGGCTCGTCCTAGGAAGTATCGTACCAAGAAGGAGCTGAAAGAAGCCAATCGTAAGAAAAACAAGGCTTTCTATGAGAGGTAAGGTCCTCTCACTTTCACCGATCTTGTGCATACCCTGACGACATTGGCGAGTAGAAACAAGGAGGCCATAAATAAGCGCCGGAAGGAAAGGCGAATGCAGTTGAAGGCTAGGTGGGTCCGGGTGTCGTCATTTGACAAAATGTATGTCTGATTGACAGCACAGGGAAGCCAGGAAACAGGCGAGGAGAGAAGCACGAGCCTCAGAGCGCTTGCCTACCGGCGACAAAGGGGAACAAAGGTATTCTCCGTTGTTAGTTGATAATCTACAATTGTACACTGACCGCGTAAAGTCAATCGCTAATTCAGGGGATCGAAGCAGCTCGTAAAGCGGGGAGGCTCTTCAGGAACATTATTGGCAGCAATGGGACGGAGTATGTCTCATCAGTCTGTGCCTCTGTCCTTGAAGAGTTGAGACAGGAGAGAGATATCCGACAAATCAGAGCCTTTGTAGAGGGAAAGGTCGAGCAAATTGCCTCGCTTCGTCGGCCTCTCGTCGCTCAACAAGATCTCATCCTCCAGGAGGCTGGGATTGAGAAGGAATTCCACGAAATCGCATCGATTCTTCGTGAGGTGGACACTGTCCACGCCTTGCTCGAGGACCTCGCCGCCCACCTTTTCGACGACGGCGCTGATTTTGGGCAGGCTTACGCCCGTGGAGACCTCTTTTTCCAGCAGGGGTAAATTGGATAGGACACGATAGGACACAGGTCCTGGTTTACGCTCAGCGCTACCCGAAATATGATTAGTGTAAAAAAAGATACATTTTTGAAACTCCTAAGTACAACATGTAACCACACAGTCCACACGTAACTACGAAATCAATCATCCAACGAGTCGTCCAAGTCGCCCACGTGCGCGATACCTGCTTCAAGCAAGCTGAGCTTACGCTTCAGCTTTGCGAGGTTAGATTCTGCTCGGGCCGCGCGCTGGCTTGCCTCCTCTGCGCGCGCCTCAGCCTCCTGGAGGGCAATCTCGGCCTCGACTACGCTCCTCTTCTGGGCCCTTGTCAGGGTGGTCATGAGTTGCCGTACCTCTTTATGCAATCTCTCAACTTCGGTCGGGGCATCCCTACGAAGTTTCTTGGAGACAAAGTGAATAAAAGGTGTCCGTGACATGGGATGGTGTACTGCGAGGTAAAGCCAGCACCCAGTCCTGTACGATATTGACTCCACCTGGCCGATTTGGTGAGGGCTCAGAAGACACTTCCGATGAGATACTGACTTACCCGCGTAAGTAGGTCTGTGGTCCAGCGAGCTAGATTGGCTGTAGCATCAGCTTGATCTTCGTAGGCAGGTTCGAGCGCTCGAGTGCGATATATCTCTGTGTCCTGGTGAGTACTTGAAACGCAAAGGGGTGTGTCAAATGCGCACTGTATTCCTCGCTTCCTCGCCCTGCACCGTCGACGAATCCATACAATGGGTTGACACCAGAAGGCTGCTTTCGTGTTCCCGATGACGCGGTCGGTGGACCGGCATTCCCCGCTGGGGATTCTGACGAGGTTGTGAGATGATGATTGTGTGGAAAGACATCGTTCACTCACCTGAAACACTGCTAGGCGTTCCGAAACGCTCCGAGTTATCGTCTACTACCGACACCTCGGTTGGGCCTGGCGACGCCTGGCCCGATTGTGGTGGACTAGGGGGGGTGGATGAACGATGAAGATCCTCCTCCAAGAGGGTGGGATCTATGGGGATATACGAGGGAATTGGGGGTGGTCCGACATTTGGGACGGATGAGGACGCGCCGGGAGTTTGAGGGTCCACATTTCGAGGATTTTGAGATGTCGCAAAGGCCCTGGGATCGATGCTGCTCGGACCAAGGAAAGAATGAGTTGGAACGGCAGGCAAGGGAGTGGGGGCGCCTGTGGTTGGCAACGATGAGTTTGAAGACGGAGTGGCCGGGCCCTTGAAGAATGCGATCTGAGTGTGTATATCATGGACACGGGTTTACGGACTCACCAGCTGCTTGCGTTTGAAAGACCTGTGCAGGCATTCAGATAACAAGGGGCGGCCTGGACAGCGTGTACACCGCCTGGGCTTCCTCTTCTGCTTCTTCGGGGACGAGGATGCTGAACGGGTGGTGACAGCCATGGAGGAGGAAAGCGAGAGATGGGTACCTCGTGATGTTGAAGTGGTCACGGTAATATGGGCCGATTGGCAACGGAAAATGACGATTGCTGATCACCCAACGTTAAAAGCATGACCAAAGACCATATGGTGCACGATTGTATGAGAATTGACAAGAATGGAGAGGGTGGGGCATTGGCGATCGAGATATCGGCGTCCGTTGTCCATAAGGAATTGTGGGTCGGAAAGGGGGCACCTGGGCGGTGTAATTTCTGGTCATGAGTAAGTCGATGTCCAGAGACTGTGACCCCTCTGACACTGACCTGGACCATAATGTCTCGAAAGCACAAGATCAACTGGGATTACAGCGACGACGAAGACAGTGCTCGCTACCCGTCATCGCTTCTCCAGTCTGCTACTCACGATGAGGGGGAGTCTCCTACAAAAGGCCGGCGGATCGTTGTGAACAGACCACGGGCGCGAAGCGGGGTGCACCGCCGGAAGAGGCAGCGGGGAGCCATCGACGTGGTTCAGCAGGGCAGTGGTAGTGGTTTGGTGGTTCGGGATAGAAATGGATCAGACTCCGATGGTTTGCCTCATTGGGCCCCGCCCGAAGAGTCCGAAATGGATCAGATTGATTCTCGCAACTCCGAGTTGGCCGACGCCCAACTCGAGACTTATGTTGATGCGATTAACGCCCATGTAGCTGGGTTTTACCACCTCGACGGTAATCTGTTTGTGGTTCAGGGCTGGGATTGTGTTAGGGCTCAATCGACAGTGGGTTCCTCTCCAATCTCCCCAATAGGTCTACTTACCGTTTGTCGTAGGAGCACTGGTACCATCTCGAATATAAGATGTTGGACAAAGGGACCGAGACAGAGATTCTCCTCGCGTGTACATGCCCTATGGGCCTCGATGGTTCTTGCATCCACTGTCGCTTCTTTACGGGGTACGATGTTGAGAGCCTGATAGACATTCGTAGGGAGGGGATATCAAATGGTACGTCAAATTTTTCTCGGTTTGGCAGGGTTGAGGCTAAACGTCCCATCGTCGTTAGACGAAAAACGACCCATCATGTTTCTCCAACAACCACACCTTAATGACATCATGGTGTCGTGGTTCTCTGTACCCTCCGCGTCAAGTTCTGCCCTAAAAGGACGGGCGATTGTCAAGCACCGCGGAATTCAGGACCATTGGGATGGAATATGGCAGTGCTCGAAGGACAGTAGTGGACCGTTGTGTGTTCATGTGCGGAGTGTTAGAGCTCTAGTGGGAGGGGATACCGGGGCGCAGGAGGATGATATTAGCAGGTCAATGACGGCAGGAGGAAGAAGGGTGAATGAATTTGGTGTGTTTCATAACAGGATTATTTTGACTGATCGCTGAAGTGTTCGAAGTGAAAGGGGGGGCGACGTCTTACCTAGCTATCAATGTACCAAAGTGGGCCGAACTCCCTAGCGACTCTAGGGCCTATCCGCACCCACCTCCTTTCCGTTCCGTCCCTGAGCATCCGCTACCACTGGAGCCAACGTCTTCGTGTCCATGTGATGGTTCGAGGACACTGTACGACCCGACCCGCCCAGTTGTTGTTCGACCGTGCAAGATCTACACCCTCACAACCGTCTACAACCACTCGATCACTCTACAACCATGCCCTAAATGTTCTCCTATTCGGCGTAGATTCATTGGGCCCGATCTTCGTGAACGAGGCGTCTTCAACTATAACAACTCGGTTTTGGTTTCGCACGAACTCTTGGACGATTACACCTCTGCGTATACATCGTCTGAAACCCCCTTTTCCGCATGGGTATTGCAACAAGGCCGTCGGTACGAAATCACAGGACAGACGTTCATGGGCGAGGACCTGTTCCGGGCGATATGGTTTTCCTACGTCTCACTGCAGGCATTTGGTGGGGACATGAAATGCACGAAGTGTGGAGATTATCCGGATACTGTCATCTGGGATGGGATCACCCTGGCATTCGCTCGAAAGCATGTTCGAAGCACATTGTACCCCCCAACGACCCTATCAGACGACTCCTTGGTACGCGCCAGGGTGAGGTACCAGCCTAATAAACAACAGCTTATCCCCAAGGCCACGACTCGACGTCAAATTCGCATGATCCTGGACCCTCCAAGCTTCGATTCTTTGGTCGATGTCGACTGTTCCACGCCTCCACCAACTCCATCGAAGTCACCGGCAAAGGGGCAATCTCGGCAGGCGAGACTAGTTTCAGAGCATCTGGATCGGATTGCTACAGTGGTAGCGGAGCTTGAGACGTTGTGTCCAGCACTCGCAAGACTATTCGAACTGATTTACGGAGCGCACGCTTACGCCGACGGGATAAAACCATCATCGCCCTACAAGAACTTCTTTTTGCAGGTTAGTACAGGCTTACTAGATCGTTACTTGTAGTAACATTAGGTTGCGTCAGATTGCGGCTGAAGAGTCGGTTCTTCAGATGGTTAATTTGCCGTCACTTCAGACCCTTCGTTCATTCCTCCAAGACCCTTCGACATCAAGTGCCAGATTGACCCAATTAATCAGTCTACCGGGCCTTTATGGGCTATTGAAGGTCCACGGAGACCTTGACAGTATCGTGCCTATTATGGAGTGGATTGAGAAGCGAGCAACATCGGTGCTTCAACTGCTGAAGGTGGAGTCGCCGTTGCCGCCTGCACAGGAGATTAGTAGGGGAACTGACGCCAACGATTGGATGAAGGTGTGTGGTATATTGTTCCTAGTGTCATTTTAACTTGGTTCTAATAACTATGGTAAAGTCGGGCTGCCTTTACAACATGCCTCAGATCCGCCATCGACCGAAGTATCCGCGGCTGGAGGCAGATCAACAGAAGTCAGACAGTTCAGGGAAGAGAGGAGACCGCTGCGGGAAGTATTACAGCCAGTACGGAGAGAAGAGGTTGACAGGAGGCATCATGGTAGCATGGTGTACCCATAGCATCTGCTACGGGTTTCACTGCATTGCGGAGAGCGAGGGGAGAGACGACGTATTTTCCGCCATGGTAACGCGTTGGCCTGTTGCACCTAAACGAGTCATCTACGACTTTGCGTGCGCTCTGGGGCCCTACTGCATGCTGCGAGAACCCGATTTTTTTCAAAACACCTACTTCGCAATTGACCATTTTCACGCCGCAGGTCATACAAAATGCTCGCCAGCGGCCTTTCTCTCGGAATACGCCAATGTTGATCCTCGCTTGGTTGCCATAAACTCGAGTGCTGCGGAGTGTGGTAACAGCGGGCTGAAGCGTATTCGCAAGTCAGTCAGCTACATGTCGCAGACGCGCGCTATAGTATATTCGCGGGTGTTCTTGTCTGTTTGGAATAGGGTGCACCTGCGGAAACTAATGCGTTTGGGTTTACAGTAGATTAATAGAGTCCACCGGTGTGTAGGGTGGGCTGGTGCCACCAATAGATTCTATGTAATTGAGATCACTTTATTTATTGGTCTAGGTGGTTCTCCAGAGAAATCGCCCTCTGAGCTGTAGCCCAGGTGAACCACACGTTGCTAGTGATGTATGGGCCACCTGTCGCGAAGAGCGAACACTAAACCAAACCAAAGACCAGTAATGCGGAGCAGATAAGAGCGGCGAGTAAGATAAGAGCGATGAGCGACGAATGCAGATGAAGGCGGAAGCGATGTATTGACGAAGAGGTCAAGCTGAGGAAATACAGAGCAGACTACCTAGCTTATATACCTATTCTACAGTCTACATAGCCGCGATGAGTCAAAATGACAAACAAATGGCGAAACGTCGAAGAACAATAAGAAAGGTCATGAGGCTGCGCGAAGGCTGCGCGAAGAACAAGGATGAAACAATAATGGAACAAGAGAGTGTCAGAATGAGTCAAGAGGCAGTGCGTAACAATAAGAACAATGGAAGTGGGGCGAAGGGTAATACGAGGCAGTGTTCCATGAGTGAAAGAGTCCATAGAGGGAATAAAGGAGCGAAGGAATAGGGGCAAGCGAAACGATAAGATGCGAGACAGATCAGATAAGATAAAGTGAAAAATAGGGGCTGTACCGGCTGTTCACGACATTACCCCCCTTCTAAGCCTCATCGTCCTCGATGACCAACGGTAGGCGGCGTCCCAGTTCCCAGTCAAAGTCGGTAGGCGGGGCGTCGGTGAAATTCTCGAGTGGGCGCCATGGGAGAGAGCTGAAGATGGTAGCGGAAATTCGGCGTGGTGCAGAGGGGTGTCGCTGGTGGAACTCCTTCACGATCTCGGGCGCGTGCTCCAAGTTCTCCTCCGGTTCCCAAGTGTCGTCCGTCGACCCATAACCCTTCCAACTGACCAAATACTCCAGTTTGCGATTCTTTCCTCGACCTCTCCAACGGCTGTCCAGGATGTCGTGAACCTCGTATTCAAGCTCCCCCTCCAGTTCGACAGGCTCAGGCGGGGGTGGCAAAATGCCATTGACATCATTGCCTTTCCAGGGGGAGAGCTTGTCGACGTGGAACACAGGATGAATGCGGGAGAGGGACGGGGGAAGTTCGAGGCGGTAGTCGAGGTCGCCGATGCGTTCGGTAATCTTGTACGGGCCGAGTTGGAGGTCGCCGAGTTTGCGGGACGGAACCTTGATCTGGATGTCCTTTCGCGTTAAGCCAAACGTAGTCGCCAACCTTGAATTGATGAGCCGTTCGCTTGCCGGACTCGTACGCATCCTTCTGCTGGGCCTTCTCGAGACGTAAGGCAGCTTCCACATCCTTGCGGGCTTCTTGTAGCTGCTGAACACGTTCATCAACGGGGCGAAGGTCGGTCTGTTTGCCAATGGGGATGTTGAAGTGGGGAATATACCCATAGAGAACTTCGAAAGGTGAACGATCATGGGCAGAGTGGACGCGGGAGTTGATCACGAATTCAGCCATCGGTAGGTGCTTGTCCCAGTCATCCTGTCGGCGAGAGACGTAAAGACGGAGATACTTCTCGATTTCCTGGTTGGCCCGTTCGGTTTGTCCATTGGCTTGAGGGTGATAGGCGGTGGTGAGGTTGGACTCGATTCCGAGACGCTTGAGGAGGGTGCGCATGACCTTAGAAGCGAACTGAGGGCCTCGATCACTGATGAACCGGAGTGGGAGACCATGGAGACGGAATACTTCACGGTAGTAGATGTCTGCAACGCCTTCGGTGGTGATGTCGGATGTACAGGGGAGAGCATGAAGAACCTTGCTGTAGTGATCGGTGAAGACGATGATCGCGTCGTGTCCATGGGCTTCCGGTAACTGGGTGATGAGATCGACTCCTACTGTCTCCCAGGCCCTTCGGGAACGTCCAAAGCCGGGTGGCAGCCCCAGCGGTGCTGGTATGCTTTCTCCGGGCGCAGACATCGCAACCGTCGACGTACTTCTTGACGAAAGCCCGCATCGTGGGCCACCAGTACTGTCGTTCAACTCGCTCGAGGGTTCCGTGCACTCCGGGGTGTCCGGACGTGGGGTCGTCATGACACTGCTTGAGGACATCGCGCCTGAGTTCGTCGTCCGGGGGTACGTACACACGGCCCTTGTAGTACACAAGGCCGTTGTCCTCTTCCCATTCGGGAAGTCCAGATGTGAGACGGCGAGGTCCTGACTTACGGAGCTGGGCGAGTCCGTCTAAGACCTGAGATTCACGGGCGCTGGCTCGACGCAGTCGGTCTTCGAGGGGGTTGGCAAGGACGGTGTGGGCGGCTGCGAGCTTGGCAAACAATTCTGGTTTGAGAACGACTTGTTGTTTGTTATCCTCTGCGTCTGCGACCTGATGAATGTCGAGGCGGGACAGGGGATCGGCTTGGGTGTTGGCCTTTCCGGGACGATGGGTGAGCGTGAAGTTGAAACGGGAAAGATAGAGGGACCACCGGGCCTGTCGTCGACTAAGGTCTTGTGCCGTGCGCCAGTATTCCAGGTTGGAATGATCGGTGACGATCTCGAACGGTTTGGGGAGTCCTTCCAGGAAATGTCGCCAGTCCTTGAGTGCTTCGATGATAGCCAGCATCTCTCGGTCGTAGATTTCGTAGTTGCGTTTCGGCTGGTTGCATGGGAGGCGGAGCGGAAGGCAACAGGATGCCAGAGTCCATCGTCGAGCTTCTGAAGGAGGGCTCCTCCAGTAGCAAAGCCAGAGGCGTCTACTTCAACGCGGGTTGGACGGTCGGGGTCCCATAGTGTCAGTATTGGAGCGGGAGGTGAACGCGTTTCGGAGGGTATCGAAGGCTTGTTGTTGCGGTTCGTTCCACTGCCAAGGGATGTCCTTCTTGGTGAGATCGTTGAGAGGCCGGGGCGATGGTAGCAAAGTCCTTGATAAAACGGGCGATAGAAGTTGGCGAAACCCAAAAATCCACGGACGGCGCGAAGGTTGCGGGGAACAGGCCAGTTGCGAACAGCTTCTACCTTGGCAGGGTCCATACGGACTTCTCCCTCCCTGATGACCAGACCGAGGTACTCGATCTCCTCCCGCTCAAACTCGCATTTCTCCGGACGAAGGTAGAGGTCGTGTTTCTTGAGCCGATGGAGGACCTCGTGCACGACTTGGCGGTGTTCGTCAAGGGTGGCCGTGAAGATGAGAATGTCGTCCAAATAAACAGCGACCTTTCCTGAAGCGATGAGGTCCGAGAATATCGAGTTCATGAGGGCCTGGAACGTTGCTGGGGAATTGGTGAGGCCGAAAAACATGACCAGGGGCTCAAAGAGTCCTTGGTTGGTGGCGAACGCGGCCTTCCATTCATCTCCTTCTTTGATGCGGATGTTGTTGTAGCCCCATCGAACGTCGAACTTGGTGAAATACTTGGCACCACGGAGTCGGTTGACGATGTCAGAGACGAGGGGAAGTGGATATCGGTTCTTCACCGTGATCTCGTTGAGCTTTCGATAATCCTGGACGAAGCGGAGTTTGCGCATCTTTCTTCTTAACGAAGAAGACCGGGGAGGCGAGGGGCGATTTAGACGGTCGTATGTAGCCTTTCTTGAGATTCTCCTCGAGGAATCGGTTCAGCTCCTCCTGCTCGTTCTGCGACATGGGGTAGACCTTGGTGCGCATGGTGGCCGGTGCTCCTGCAACGAGGGTCGATGGCATGATCCCAAGGCTTGTGTTCGGGGAGGCGATGGGACTCGGATTCGGAGAAGACGGAGGCGTGCTGTCGGTACTGGGGAGGAACCATCTCTTCGAACGACTTCTGGGGCTTGGCCTTCTGGGACTTCTCGGCGATCTGTTGGGAATAGGTGAAACCAGCGGCGCACCAAAGTTCGTCGCCTGTGTCTTCCATCAACCCCTTACGAACCCATCTCCGCCGGGTCATTCGGTTAGCGCGGATGCGGCAGAGAGGAGGCGCGCTTGGTTCAAAGTCGGGGTCGGGCGCCGGGAACTCGTTGGTAGGAACAGGGCGGATCAGGGTCGTTGTAGATCTGTTCGATAATAGCATTGCCGGAGGGTGGTTCCTTTCGAGGGGGCTGTGCATCTTCGTCGGGGATTTCTTCGATGGTAACACTGGAGACACGAGGTGGGGGAATCTCCAAGGTGCCCTTGCGCCAATCAATCTGGGGGTTGATCTTGCGAAGCCAAGGAAGACCCAAGATGACATCCTCTCCCCCGAGATCGGCGATGAGGAAGTCCGTCCATTCGGAGTAACCGTTCAACCGTGAGTTCCAAGCGAGCGAAGTGAGTGATGTGTCCAGCCTGATTTGGGGTCCCATCAATATTGAGGAGCCGAATGGGGTGTCGGAGTGGGTACGTGGTGATCCGATGCTTTTCCACAAAAGGCTTGTCCAAGAATTTGCCAGTAGCGCCACAGTCGATCATTGCTGCGGGGTCCGCCGTACGGTTTCTGCCTCTGAGTCTGATGCGAATGCGAAAATGCGAGGAACCGGGGTGTATTTCGCGCACAGAGCTAATAGTACAGGAGTAAATCGAGTCATATTCAGAAACAGCGTACGACGGTGAAAAGGGTGCATGCTTTGCAGCACGAACAAGCACCCGCTTTCAAAAACCCTGTTGTTGGGATCTTCTCGAGGCGCTCCAGGATGTCCTGTTGGTTCTTCTGAGCAACCAAGAGATCGGCGAGTGAAACGTTAGACGAGGTGGCAGCAGGTGGGGCAGGCGAAGTGGCAGCAATGGTGGCGGCGGGTGTGGAAGAGTCATCGAAGAGCGAGAAGGGAACCTCCTGGGTGGCAGCAACGCGACGACGTTGGGTGAGTCCTCGACCGGGCGGATAGCCCATGAACTTGTCTTGGCAGACGTTAGCGGAGTGGCCGAGACGCTGACAGTGGTTGCAACGAAGTGAGCCGTGGTTGCCGTCCTTCTTGATGTGGGCGGAGGATCCGCAACCAAAGCATCGTCCACGCATTGCTTGGAGGAAATCCTCACGGGAACGGCCACTAGGTCCAACACGGGTCGCGTCGATGTCCATCGCATAGGGGTCACGGGCAGGGGCAGAGCGAGACGAGGCAGTCGGGGTCAAGAAGGAGGCGCTGCTTCCGTGAAACGTAAAATCGTTCTGGTTGACGATGTCGCAGTAGTCTTGAAGGGTCTTGGGCTTGGCATCGTCCGGTTTGGTGATGGCGATAAGATCCAGCATGAGGCGATCGTTGGAACTGAGTTTGCGACGAAAACGTGCCATACCATCCTTCTGGGATAGACCTGGTGCGGGGAAATATCTCCATGAACTTGGCTGCGAACTGGGAAGCAGATTGTTTACCCTGGGTAAGGGCCTCGAGCTGGGCTTCAGCTGCTTTCTCCTGGTCGGCGGGTTGGAAGCGTTTCTTGAAGGCAGCCACAAAAGTGGACCAATCGCCACTGAAGGGCCAGGGGTGGGCGGCCTTCTGAGCAGCGTCGGCAGCAGCCTCGTGGGCGGCAATCTGATCCAGGTATTGGACAGCCCAGGAGGCAGCAGCACCCTGAAGGTACGAGAGGGCAGCTGAGATCCACTTCTTGTCATCTCCTTTGAGTTCGGACTCGGCGGAGGCCCAGTTGGTGAAATAGCGGAGGAATCGCTGGGTATCACCAGAGTCACCCTTGAAGGGCTCAGGCGCTTTGACGGGGCTTCTAGTGGAAGCGGTCTTAGCAGCCGTGAGCTTATCCAGGGATTGCTGGATACGCCTGGTAGTCTCTTGTTGCTCGGCAAGCAACTTGAGAAGAGTGGTGTCGGACATACTGAGATCGGGGATAGGCTTTGCGGGTTTGGTAACGGGGTCTTGTTGGACGAGCGGCAGAGAAGTGGGTGGGGATAATAAAGATGGTGATAAGGTGGAAGTGGGAGGTTCGTTATCTGAGCGTTGGGCAACAGACGTGTCCTCCGACTCCCTGGGGATGGGAAGTGGTGTGAGGGCGCGGCGAGGAGTGAGGGTAAGGGCTGTGGTGGGGGTGGAGTGTCCGGAGCGGCGGAGACTTGTTACTGCGGGAAGGGCTTCTGCTAACGCGGGCGTAGGTAACGTGAAAGGGGACGGGTGTTTCGGAGTCTTCTTCTTCGGTTTCGTCTTCCTTGTCGTTGTCGTCCTCTTCCTCACTGTCTTCTTCAGATGATGTTGACGGAGGGCGAAAGGACTTTGGTGCGGTGCTGGTGGTTGCTGTTACTGGGGCAGGGGTAGAGTCGGCGGAATGGAAAGACTGGGGAGAATCTTCTGGTAAGAGCTGTGTGACGGTTGGCGGCGGAGTTACTGGTGGGGATTTCTTCTTCGATTCTTCTTTCCTGGATTCGGCAAATTCGCGGGCTTTTACGGCGTTGTCGGAGGTGCAAACAGCAGCGTAGAAGCTGGCTGTCTGGAGGCGTCGTAACTGGTGAAAGGTGGGCCGGAGACTGAGGCGGTAGGGGCAGGGGGAACTGTCACACTCTACAACCTCTTCCTTGCTATCGAGGTGGCAGTCGATGCCAAACCACTTGTCAGGGTTGAGGGTCTTTACTAGAGGCGAAGAAGTGTGGGTATCCTGCGCAGCTAATCTTGACGGTGTCGGAAAACCAGAGTTGCCAGAGTAAGACCTGATCGGCAGGTCAACCAGAGTGCCAGGGGGTCCGGAATGCAGGGACAACGATCGGCGTTGCCAGTGCACGGGGGTAGCTTGACCTAATGTCGCGAAGAGCGAACACTAAACCAAACCAAAGACCAGTAATGCGGAGCAGATAAGAGCGGCGAGTAAGATAAGAGCGATGAGCGACGAATGCAGATGAAGGCGGAAGCGATGTATTGACGAAGAGGTCAAGCTGAGGAAATACAGAGCAGACTACCTAGCTTATATACCTATTCTACAGTCTACATAGCCGCGATGAGTCAAAATGACAAACAAATGGCGAAACGTCGAAGAACAATAAGAAAGGTCATGAGGCTGCGCGAAGGCTGCGCGAAGAACAAGGATGAAACAATAATGGAACAAGAGAGTGTCAGAATGAGTCAAGAGGCAGTGCGTAACAATAAGAACAATGGAAGTGGGGCGAAGGGTAATACGAGGCAGTGTTCCATGAGTGAAAGAGTCCATAGAGGGAATAAAGGAGCGAAGGAATAGGGGCAAGCGAAACGATAAGATGCGAGACAGATCAGATAAGATAAAGTGAAAAATAGGGGCTGTACCGGCTGTTCACGACACCACCTGAGCAATAGGCTCCTAGGCCCCGGTTCTGGAGAACCACTGGTCAGCGGCGACCCGTGGCTGACCAGAGCAGTGGGCCCAGGAGGAGTGGTTCTTTGGAACAACGGATCGAGCATGACCGATGGTGGACCCTGAGCAATGGTCCCTCTGTGAGGTGTGGTTCTGGGTGGATGTGACCGATGGTTGACCAGAGAAACAGCCCAATGGACGGTTGTTCTGGTGAACCATAGCTAGAGCGCTACCACGGATGGGTCACCACCACACTTTGGTGGTGATGCATATATGGGTCACGGTCGACGGTGACCCGTGGTTCACGGGGACCACAGCTCGAGCTTGACCGATGGTTTCACCAGAGCAATGGCCCTGAAGCCGGGGGTTCATGGGGACCACGGGTTGGGCTTGACCGACGGTTCACCAGAGAAACAGCGTAATGGACCGTTGTTCTGGCGAACCATAAATAGAGCGCTACCCGATGGTTCACCAGAGCAATGGCCCTGAAGCCGGGGGTTCATGGGGACCACGGGTTGGGCTTGACCAACGGTTCACCAGAGAAACAGCGTAATGGACCGTTGTTCTGGCGAACCATAAATAGAGCGCTACCACAGATAGCTCACCACCACACTTTGGTGGTGATGTATGGGTCACCTGAGCGATAGCCCCCCTTCGCCGTCTTTCTTCAGCCACTGGTCCAGGTAATTTAGGGTTAAGTTTGGGATGTCCTTACCTGTGGGCCACCTGAGCAACGGAAAACCGGAGGTCTACGGGTTGGGCTTGACCGATGGTTCACCAGACCGACAGCCCATTCGGCCGTTGTTCGGGCGAGCCATGGCTACAGCGTCAATTGGACCTGAGCAAAGGCCCTGAGTGAGATGTGGTTCTGCAGGACCACGGGTCGAGCGTGAGCGATGGTTCATCAGAGCAATCACCCTCAGTCAGGTATGGTTCTGATGGACCACGGGTCGAGCGTGACCGATGGTGCACTAGAGCAAAAAACCCAATGGACCGTTGTTCTGGCGAACCATGCTAGAGGGTTACCACAGATGTTTCACCACCAGATGTATGGGATGGATGATTAGTGTCAGTGATCCAAAAGAACTACAAGGCCCTTACAACCGTGGCTCCCGTCCAGTGGTTCTGCTAAGCAATATGAGGGAAGGACGATGCTTTGGCAAACCGCGTGACATCGAGGCGATGTTCAGATGGACCTTGGGATAATAGGCGCGTGTAGGGAAGGACAGGGGTAACCCCCGGGTAGCCGGACACCTACCCTTACCCCCCACCCCCCAAAAACCCCTACCCCTGACTGAGGGGTAGGGGTAGTACCCTTACCCCCAACCCTGGGGGTTTTGACCAAGGGTTTTAATCATTTTGGCACTAACAATTACTTACAGTTGTCTATATGTATATTTTTATGTGTTTTATTGCGCATACAGCAGTTATTTAGTAGAAAATATGCATAGATGCTGAAATAAATGGGTTTTGATGGATTTTTATCAAAACCCTTACCCCCGACCGGGGGTAGGGGTTTGGCCAAGGGTAGCTGGAGACCTACCCTTACCCCTACCCCCGCTCTACCCTTGGCCTCTACCCCGGGGGTTTTAAAACCCCTTGACCATCCCTAGGCGCGTGCGGTCGATCAGAATGCCGGAACCTTGAGTTGAGGTTTAGGCGGACGATAGGTTTCAAACGAGTCGTGGTTCGTTGGGGCAGGGCAAGTGGAAGGCAAGGCGTTGGCAAACCGCCGGCTCCCCGCCGTTTGCGGTTGGCATAGACCAGGGACGATGAATGTCTACGGTGGGTCTGACTCAGAACAACGGACGATCGGGAGGGGCAGTCTGTGGCTCAGCAGGGAGACGGACGCTAGGGCTAGAGGCCAGTCCCATTTGTCTCTGTATACGGACACCTGTGGTTCGGATGCATCACAGGTAATTTGATATCTGCTGTTGGTCTTTGTTTCGAAGTGTGTCGGTGAGGTTCGATTGAACAATAGGCTAATGTATAATGTAGTCTGGAAAAGCAGCATCGTAGAGCGGTGAAGTATTGGGGAACCATGGTACCATTAGCCAGCCGTGGTCCTGGTGAACCATCGCTTGTCACGGCGAGTCTTACTAAATCCCGGGTTCCTGCAGCCTGCGGTCTTGACACTTGGACACCCGTAGTCCTGGTGAACCATTGCTTGCCACGGCGCAGTCTTACTGAATCCCGGCTTCCTGCAGCCTGCGGTCTGGACACTTAGACAACCCGTAGTCCTGATAAACCGTGGCTTGTCAGGGTGTAGTCTCTGTGCCTTGGCTGCCATACGGTCTACGGTTAGCTTGGACTAGAAATGAGATCTGTAGTCCATTTGAATGCGACTTGAGCGTGAATTTAACCATCTTATGGGTTATGAGGATAGATCAAGATAAGCTAGCATAAGCTATGAGCGATGATTACGTGGGATACCTCATACAGGTAGGGGTGACCTCAGCCTACACGTATGGGGTGATATAACATACATACGGTATAGCGGGTATCCGGAGAAAGTTGTCCGAAAAAGTGACTCTTCATTACGAGTTGGGGATCCTTGAAGGTAGGCCGGGACTGACCTGCATCGACGTTTTTGACTCGGACGAACCCTATTTCTGTCGCAGCCAATCTCAGCCCTGATACCTACACGGGTAAGCCTTTATTTCTCTCAACACTTACACGGATAACTTAGAAAGTTGGTGAACAGACACAGCTCCGGATATAAGTGGATCCGCCGCGTGGGGAGCATTCGAGGAAGTCAATACTTATGCTATAGGGATGGTCAGCGCTTTCAGCCAGCTCGCTGTCACCATGAGAAGTATAGATTCATCGCACGGCCCTGCACTCTTGTTGCTGAGCCTAGGGAGGCCCCTTATCAAGGAGATGTTTGCTAGGTCGCTCTGGGAGAAAGGTGGGCACTCGCCTCTGCCTACGCTACTATGTCCGCACTTCTCACCTGGCTTCAATAAAACTGCAACTAGTGTGCTTGGTCTGGATCAATAACGCTGTATACCTGCGTACCAAGGCTATCGAAGCACTCGGAACCGCTTCTTATCGACAAGACGTTATCTGTGGCGATCTAAAGGATTGGATTATCTCGGGTACGGCTGAAGAACCTTGCCCTAGCACATCGTTAGAGAAGCTGATAAACTGTATGACAGAAATTCAAGATGGAAAGGAAAAGCTAGGCGATTGGCGGGATGTAAGCCCGTGGAGCAGCACTGTGCACCCCCTGTATACTGCGATTATGGCCCTCGTCAACGACGGACCAACGGTATGGATTTACCTTTTTCGATCCCCCACGTTTACTAATTTCAAATGTCAGGCTATCTGCCTACTAATGTCCTTATCGAACCCGCGTAGCCTCTCGGTGGCTACGATGGCCATCCTCCAATCGTCCCTATCGGCGCTTCGTGCCAACATTTCAAAGATACTGGAGAACGGTGAAACAGTGGGGGAGGCCCTTGCACTTCTCATCTCATTACACCACCGACTCGATGAGGCCGCCGCTAAGCCCGAACCGAGTCTCTCTTACCCACCGTATGCTTCAGGCGAGTCGGGAATGAAGTTCGAACTGCGGTGAGCGAGCACTTTCAAGTTTCCACTCTCCCCCAGTTCTCATTCCCTGTAGGAATCTGTCCTATTCCTATCCAGGGAAGGAGAATTCCGTCAAGGCACTCGACAACCTTGACCTGACAATTCCAGGCGGAAGCGTGGTGGTGGTCGTTGGTGCTAACGGAAGTGGAAAATCGACGTTGATCCGAATCCTGTCCTGTTTGAGCGCACCTACGTCTGGAGAATTCTTGATCGACGATCACCCGGCCAAGGACTACAATTTAGGACATCTTAGACAGGCATCCGTCATTCTCAGCCAAGACAGTCGACTTTATCCTCTTTCATTGGCAGAGAACATTGGCTTAGGCCATGTCGCTCTCAAGGAGGACATGGACCTAATCAAAGAGGCGGCTGAGAAGGGTGGGGCTGCAGAGTTCATATCCAAGTTGGATAGAGGCTACGAGACAAATCTTCGACCTCTTCAATTCAGTTCGGTGCTCGCCTATAACCTCCCAGAGGACGATAGCCACCCTATCAACATCAAGCAACGGAGAGTGTTCCAACGCACCAACATATCGGGGGGAGAATATCAAAGGATAATCGCGTACGTCTTTCCACTCCTGGTGTCGGTATCATCACTGACTATGAAACATTGTTCATGCTAGTGCACGCTCGTTTATGAGGCTACGCTCAGGGAAGATCAAGTTCATTGCTGTGGATGAGCTCCGCCCTGGATGCTGAGGGAGAGCTTCAGCTTTTCAAAGAAGTCCTTGCGGCTCGCAAAAGCAAAACTGTCGTATTCGTGACCCATCGGTTCGGTCATTTGACAAAATATGCAGATATAATTCTGTAAGTGACATTTGTACTTTCAATTCACTTTCTATGGTTGATCCTCTGTCTCGGGTAGATGCATGAAGGAGGGGCGAATTGTAGAGACTGGAAATCACACAGAATTGATGGACAAGAACGGAGAATACGCGAAGCTATATAATATTCAAGCTGGAGCGTTCTCGGATGGGATTACAAGTAGTTGACCAGTAACTCTCTTGCAATGACTGCAGCGTTCGTTATTGCCGTGTTGTCGTCGTAGGACTTGGGATTATTAGGGGCTAACTTACCGAAATAGACGGGCAATCATTTTCCCACACCAGATCCAGACGCGACCACCGCGTGCGGTCCAATCGTAACTTGACCTTGGACCACGATCATTGACGGACCGCTTTTCTTTGATTCCTGGTTTCTAGAGGCCCAGAAACTATGTCTTCAGGAGCAACATTTCGCGGCCTTACAAGGGCACCTGAGGCACCAGGTCCCGATGTGCTTCTCCCTCAACCGCTCCCCATTTCTCAACTGGAATCACTGCGTTTCAAAGCAAACCAGATTATAGAATCCATTAACACCCTAGCCTTCACCCTTTCAGGTGGTATGAACCCAGCCTACATGCCCGCATGGCCAGAAATCCTCTCCAAATACAACATCATTCTCTCGCAATACACCAACTTCTCCAACGCCCTCCTGAACCCGTATCCAGCCGCTGCCAACCGTGCCCAAACGACAACCAACGAAGGTCCACCGGAGAACATTTACCAGAAGATCGTGGTGCATCCGAACATTGGGATGTTGGACATGCAGTTCGACACGGAGATTGGGCCACTGCTGAGGAATCAGCAGACGCTGGACGTGTTGAAGCAGGAGAACGACACAGTACGGCGGTTATCTGAGCATATGACGACGAGGGGTATGCTTGGAGTTCTGGGAATCACGTCTGAAGGGACCGCCGAGCCTGCTGTGCCTGCAGCGAGTTACCGACCTCTCCACTTGAACGGCTTTGGAGGTTTGGGCGTCCCACCGCCCCGCAAACCCGAATACGAGGACGTCTTGGCGGAATGCGCAGAAATACGCAATGCACACGATCAAAGGGTCGAACGCGCGGTTCGAGCAGTTTCAATGTTGCGAGACCAGTTCGAATTCAAGCAGAGAGTGGAGGCGATGCACGAGGAGACGGACGAGTTCTGGGGACCATCAATGGGAAGAGGACCTAATGACGAGGATGAAGACATGGACTCTGATGAAGGGGATGATCACGACGACGGTGATGAAGAGCACGAAGATAAGGGCAGTGACGACGAAGATGAAGACAACATTCAAGGAGAACTTATGGGACAGGACGAGGAAATGGATTCACCGGCACCGATGAACACTGAACCACCTGCGCCAGTTCCGTCACAGACTTTAACGCCTATGCAACAACCGGCGCCGCCATCATCGACTTCCACGCCGGTTCATACAATTCCGACTCCTGTACCGCCTGCACCTCCAGCGAACCCTCCAGCCCAAACGGCCCAGGTGGATGAACCTCAAATTGTATCCCACAATGTCCCGGATATCATTGACTTGACGGAGGTATGCATATCGCTTTGGAGATGGAAATTGACTAACTGCTACACTCCTCTGAAGCTGTGATACACCCGTCAAGAACGCTGCTCTCCGGATACGCCCGTTAACATCACTCCAACGTCGTAAAGCACCTATTGTACAGCTCAGACCCACTTCCAACCGTCGAGTCGATATCTGCAGCATCATGAGTTTTCCAAGCGGAGCGATCATCCTAGTAACTTACACTCGAAGAAGGCGTTAAGGGGCACCATATCCAAGACCCCCAGTGTCGAGACTGTTCGCATGACTTGACCGCTCCATAGGACCCGCACGTACCAGCCATCCGTAGTGGGCGGGGGCGCGCTAGCGCGGGCAGCGTCGCGATAGAGCTCGAATACAACCTGTGCAAGGGATTAACGTTTCCGGCGACTGTCGGGTAGCAATGGAACGAACCTCACTTCCCCTGTGAGGTATTTGCGTCAGACTGGTGGAGATACGGAAAGAGCGGTTGACACGTACATCCCAGGCCAAGCCATCCCCTCAACCTGGAGGAAACCAAGAAGGGACGAGATGGAACCATCGTGTGCGACATTATGAGCATACCTGACCTTTAAAAAGCATCAACAATTCGTCCGGGCGTGTATCGGCAAATCCAGCTAATACCTTGTGCGTCCCTTCAATCTTGCTGTATAAACGCGAACGCAGCTCCAGCATCCAGGCCCCGGACTTCAAAGCGGAGTACTCGTGAGATCCTACAGCCTCTCTAAAGAGGTACAGATACTCCCAATGTCCGATGTCGAATACTTTGTCTGCCTAGAGGGAGAACGTCAACTGTCAGTAGCCTTGAGCGCTGATTAGGCCGCAACGTACGGTCTCGCGCGATATGCAGAGGGACCTATCCTTCAAGTTGCAAGGCAATGGCTTCCGGTGACATAACTTTGCGCTTAGATTGTCGAAGTAACTGCAAAGCCATTAATTCCAACAAAACCTAGGGACGAGTAAGCAATACTCACTGGTCGAAGCTAACATGCCACCCTCGATCGTCTGTTGGGACTCCTGAAATGCTATCCAGTTCGTCCCACAGCCCTTCGTCCCTCGCCTTTTGAAGATGTTCCCTCCACACGGCACCATTGTTACCTGTCGTGAATGAGTCCCTCAGTGCGTTGGCTCTGGGACAACTATACGTTGGTTCGAGCGAATCCATAGAGCTGGGCTGGATCTGAACAGGAGTGGGCCTGGACAAGTCCTGCTCTGGATAGAAGCCCCTAAGTAGCCCGCTAGCCACTTGGGACGTTATAACGTTGTTCGTAATGCGGAAGGAGGCTTCGGACGGGTCATAGTGGCTTGAAAGCTTGAGACGCTCTCCGTAAACCTTACGAAGATCCTGTGAACAATCTGTGTAAGTGGCTCGTGACTTCTTGAGTGGGCGCCACTTACAGAGCCATGAACCACTGAATCCACTAGACCACCTTTAGTGATCTGGGGAAATTGACAACTAAACTGGGCTGTGAGCGAGGATCATCCCTGCCCGAAGTCAACACTTTTTACCTCGAGTTGACAAAGCCGACTTTATCAAGAACCTTGAACGGGTTGGTATCATCCCAGTTGTTCTCGCGTTGAACCACGGCGGATGTCCCATAATCCCCGGAGCTAAATTGAAAGGTTATAGAAGACGATATAGTCCTCAAATGGAGGGTCCGTACAATGTCAATCCGGACAGCACCCCGACATCGTCACAACTCCATTCTATATCCTCCCTCGGGAATATATTGGATCCGTAGGGCGTGCGCTTATGGTGTCGCTGGATTACCTCTACGTACTCCAAGGAGTAGCGGCTGGGAGGATCTCTACGAGATCAACCGTGTTATAAGGTCTACATGGTCCCACCGGAGACATAGCAGGATAGGCTACTCACTCGTACGTGTCTGGAGTTACATGGGGCATATTGCACCAGCTGAACACGCCCTTACCGCACTCCAAGTCAGGAACTCGTGCACATTCGGCGTGTTCCCCAGGCACAGCATCGGGACCTTGTGCAGAAGAGGGCCCCGCCTTTGTCGCGAGCAACAAAGTGAGCTGTAAGAGTGCACTTGATAGCATCGGGTTCGATGATAGAGAAAGACGAGAAAGACCTTATCAAGAGGCTGTGAAGGGTCAGCACTTAGCCATGCTGCGAAGCGAGGTAGAAGCAACCACAGTTTCCCATTGCCGAAGAACATCGTGGTTCGTGTCCAACGTTCGTCATGGCCCCTATTCCTGCTTTGATCCGGGAAGCCGGGTTTTGTTTGTTTACGCGTTGTTTGCACCACTCGCGAATCTGAAGTTCGAAGCAATTGTCCTCGTCAGGGCGGTAGAAAACGGCATAATTCTATCCAGACAGGGTATTATGTTACACATTAGACAGGTCTAAGATCTTAAATATACAAAGCTTTCAGTCCAATTCTACGGCTCTCGCGCGATGGTTTGCGACTGTTCCGACCCTGAGTTCTCTTATCCTGCCAGTGGTTGCCAGTCTCCGGACGGAGGCTGGGTTCCCGCAGCGCGGCATCGAGATATATGGAGTGAGACGAGGGCCCTATACCTGAGATATAGCCACTAGACTTCCCCCAAACTTCCACCTGCTTCATCTGCCTTGCGATTGAGGGTCGCCTCGGACGCTCGGTTCACCAGCTGCGGAGGTTTGGTGGTGGCAGTGGACAATACCTCGAGCGAGAGTTCTGGATCTACTCCGTCTCCATTGTGAGTTGAGGTTTGTTGCAATCTTGGGTCGTTCGAGAACCATGGTGGAATAACAGATTGGATTCCGTTGTTTCTGAGAATCTCTTCCTGCTGGGCCAGGTGAAGTCGGATGGCCATCAATACAAAAATAATACCTTTATAACAATGGTAAGCGCTCTGAAGACAGACAAAAGGCGTCAGAGATCGACGACGTACCGACACTGGGCACCAATGCGGATTGAATAACAAATTGAGCAGGGTGATTGACAAAAAAGAGAGGGATGATGACCATCAGTTCAACGGTGTAAAGGGCAGCACTTTCAATGACGATCCTCATTACGGTGATGATGCGAACGGGTCCTCCATATGCAATTACTCCTGCTTTGACGGACTCCCTGTACTGAGCCCAGAGCTTGTAGGTGATTAATCCCGTTGTTAGGAAATTCTGGATGAATGCCAGAGGATAGCCTGTGGATATCACTGGGTGCATCTCCTCAGGCGATGCAAAATCAAGTTCCCACCAGGCATACAATACGAGGTTCAAGACTGACTAGTTGTCAGTAAAGGAATGGGAAAGGCTTCGTATCCCATATACGCACCCACGCTGTATGCGAGGAGTAAAAGTGGTAAGGCGATGATCCAGATATTGCGGTTCCAGACGACATAACATCTGTAAATCTGGGTGCCAATGGTCAGCATAGCTCAAGATCGGTGGATGAAGCGGACTCACAACCAGGGCATCACCAAACCAAAGCATATTCCCGAACATAACTATATGGGATAGGTTGTCCCAGCTAGTATAATTTTGCTCAAAATAGTTTATGGGAGTCTCAAAGACCACCTCCCCATATGCCCGGATTCCGCGGTAGAAGTTCACACCTGCACATCGTCAACATGCAGGACAACCTGTGGAGAAGATAAAAGACCTACATATGTGGAGGGTTGCCTGTATGAACATGACATTGATCGCAATGAAGAACATTCGGGCTCCCCATGAGTCGTTGTAGATTGACTTCCGCCGCGTCATGAGATATAGTGCTACTGCATAGAGCACGACGTAGGCGCCTAGAAAGCCAGCAGACATTGGGAGGCGTGAGCGTTCAGCACACCTCAGTGGGACGGACGGCAGCTAACCATAGAAAATAAACTGTTTAAATATGTCAACTGTGATCACGTCCTGGTAGAAGCGTCAATGGCTCGTACCTCGACAAATATTGCAGCGAGAATGTAGCTTTGGGTCCGGCGGTCCGCACTACTAGCAGGGTCCGTGTCCATCCTGGGGGCAGTGGGCGGGACCGCTGGCAGATGAGCTGTGACTAGTTACTGGCTTTTGTCGGTCGCAGCGCACTGGACCTGAAGGGGCGGCGCTCGGGAGTCGGAGGCAAGTGGAAAGAATGTGTTTTGAAAGTTCGATACGATCCCAGGTCTGGTTTTAGAGTCAGACGCCAACACCGTGGCATGTTCGGTGTCCCTGCATTCCGTACAGTTGTTGGTGAGTGGCGTCGTGGGGAGATGGAGAAAAGCTACATAACTTAGAGTTTTGGGTGTGATGGCGTGGGATAACCGACGGTTACCGACCCCGTGGACAGCAGGATTGGAAAGATTAAATTGGTTCAGAGTGATGCATCACCATAGGGAAACCTAACGAGGTTTGGCTTATATTCACTTCTTACCCGACCCTGGCTGAAAACTCAAACACATTGTAGCCAATTCGTAAGAGGCTCATATATCATACATAAACTAACGAGAAAGCCTTGCGAACTCTTGAATAACTCCTTGAATGCCATGGGAGAATTTAAACCTGAGGCTTTCAGCACAACCGCCCGACGATAACGAGCTTTATTGAAATCAGATTCAACAACAGGGTCCAGACAGTGGGAGTGTGTGTACCCAGGACCCACAACACTGACAAGTCCGGTCAGTAAGTAGCATGAAATCCAGTCGAGGGGTTGGGCACTTTCTCAGAGGCGTGAAGTTGAGCGCTACTACATGTTGCGTCAGCTTCTGTTTTGCCTCAGTTGCACTGTTCGGATATAGTACTTCCAGTCGAGTAGCAACCGGCACTGACAATACCATTGGGTGGTCCAGACATGCCTGGAGGTCGCCAATTGCGTGCTCGAGTAACGTCGAACCTTTGTGGTGACTATCGATTCTGTCTTTCTTGTCTAGACTATCCATTTTGAAATATCGCAAGAGCTAGCAATTGCCGTTCTCGAGTTTAAACAACAACCTGCCTCTGCTTTGAACTCATGATATCCACTGTGACCCCCCAGGCCCTGCTTTGGGAACTTGGTCTTGAAGCGGCGTTCAGAAAGCCATGTCGGCGAATATCACCCGATAACGAGAGGAGACGGGCCACTATTGACACGGCGCGAGCCCTTCGGCGGGGGAGTCAGCATTGGAATTGTGTCTTTGATCCGCTCTACCCAAGATAGTGCTCAGTTTTACAAAAGTGGTACAGTCGCGGACAGTCAAAGTCGACAACTCGGCTTTCTCTTGAACGGCACGACATTTTGGCCCCATTTTTCGTCCACAAATTCAGATTCACGAAAGCGTTCAAAAAACACATCTCCGAAATTTTTCCCACGGGTTTTTGGGCGTGGCCAATATTTTCGACTTCAGAGACCGCATTTTACACCCCTTCGGAGACGATTTTGGCCTTGCACTATGGACCCTGAACCCATTTAAAATAAACGGATTTGCAAACGGCTGGTGCATCGTCAGTAAACGCACCAGCCGTCAACTCCAAACGCCCAGTCACGGATGCTGCGTTAGTTTTTGCGCGTTACTTACCCGTTTAGAATAAACTCGGATTTGATGTACCTAAACGCATTTGAGAAATATACCGATTCACGCACAACCCCAGGAGCATCCGTATCTTTCCGTTTCTTCTACAAATGTTCAACAAACTCGTGCGCTATGTCTCCGTTTGCTTGTACTGCCCTTGGGCCTTTTCTCCTACCCATTCCGTTACTTACCTGCTCAAAACATACGGAGTACAAACGGAAAGCACGCTAGTGGGTCACGCAAGCTACGTCAGATTGTAATTTTGATTATAGCGGCAGTTGGTAATGTACAGGCGTGTGCACAACACTATACTACGGGGCTACTGTTTTCAGATGAGTAAATACATACCTTTGTTTGCAGCGAGTTGGTCCTGGAGGTCGCCAATCTGGGCAGTTGAATCTTGTATGATTTCTTCACAGAGCGTTGGTCTGGGAGGACGACAGCGCTTCTTGCCAGAATTGGAGCCCTCGCTCTGAGAAACCACGCGATATTAAATTTGGAAAAGAGGGAAAACATACAATTATCCGTGTTTTGTCCGCCATTCACCTTCTCCTCAACCTTGTCCTTCTCGGAATCTCGCCCTGCTTCGGCATCCTCTGCGAAAGTCAAAAATATGTCAAAGTGACACAGAATATGTGTACACACCTTGCCACTACCACCCTCCTCGAAGCCTCAGGCTCACTGCGTTTCAATAGGTACTGTGAGAGTAGCATTCGCGCAGAAGAGGATGAGAGGTTGGTTGGCAGGAAAGAGAAAGGGCTTGCACACCGCACACTCTGGCGTGGTTGGTCTCTGTTTGGCAAAGGCGTGATCACCTGATGTGGGGAGACGCGCGAACGCCTAAGTCCACCTTCAAGTCGAAATCTCTTGTCCCCGTACCTTACTCTCCCTACCTCTCCAATGAAACCTCTCAACTTACCTTTCTCAGACTCTCCTAATGCCTAGGTCATACAAAAAGAATTAGGTATTGGGCATAGTTGTGATGGATAGCAAACGGAGAATCCAGGCAGATTCCGTTACTTCCAAATCCGTGAGTTCTCGCTCACGAGCAACTCACGGAGAATGCTGGGGCTCAAAAGTCACACATTTTCGAGGTAACACATAGGTAACGTGTTGTACGTGAATTCTGGACCTTTTCACGGACGGTACGTGCGAATTAAACGGATACAGGGTCCATAGTGTTGAGGGCAGACGCCCCCTGGAAAAAAGACCTCTTCCAACGAACTTACGGTCGAAAAACCGTTGCCACAAAGCGAATTTAGCAAAACCATTTGCACCTGAGTGCCCGCCGTCAGAGAAATTCCATTTTGGGGTAAAATTAATCATTTTTTCCTGATTGAGGACGTCGACCAAATTCTCCCAAACTCCAGGATCAGATCCAGCTTTCAAAAAGGAGTCGATTGCGCTATTTTTCATGAATTTAGGGGCAAAAATGGCTCGTGGCCAACTTTTTCCCACCGTCTGCACTATAATTGGTACATTTCTCGACAACCGCTCGACTAATTTTGCTCAAACTTTGCCAGGAGACCCCCTTCAACGAGATACGTCGTTTCCGAGCGTTTTCGGAGGAATCCAGTTTTCATCATCAAGTTGTCGACTTTGACTGTCCGCGACTGTATACACATATCACAGCGTATCGAGGTAGAATGTGCGGGCCGCCAAATTGAGCTCAGATTCCGGAATTCACCGGGAATCCAAATGGAATGTGACCACAACGCTCGGTTTTTGTATTCAGCTTCATTTTCGGGAATATAGCCGCCATTTGAACGAAATCTGGCTCTCAGAATGCAGTACAATCCGACGTCCATCGCTTTTCCCTCTTACGCACAATCCAGATATTCTACATTCCCTGTCTATTTTCAGGTCAAATCGATCGTATTGGCCTAAATATAGTCCTTGTACAAATGACACGACCCCCGCCAGACCGCCCAATTCTCCTTCAAACCGCGCTCTCTCGCCTCGAAACCTAGCAAAGAGGCGCTACAGACCTTCTGGTACGCCCACAACCCCATATAACGGTGAGCAACCATCCGGTATCTTCATTAACGCGTCCGAAACTGACGAGTTGATCCCTCAGCTGTAATGGACGCCAATATCGACCCCATTCTTCAAGCTATTCCCGGCACAGCAGCCCCTCCCACCTTGACGCAGGCGTCAACTAGACCAACATCAACTCTGGAAGCTCCGCCTAGCCACGCTATCCCTCTAGCGATGGGCCCAACCACATCCCCGCCGGCCGGGCCCAACTACATCCTCCCACCACTGCCTACTTTCCCAGCTCTCCGAAACAACCCCAGTCCTCCAGCCAAACACGTTGTGCCTGCCCCCATAACCATGCCCAGTCCAACGCATACCCTCCCGCCACTTCCCGCCTCGCAGGCGCCGAATCCTCCTCAGGTGCCTCCCACTCTTTCACCGATGACTCACCCTTTCCCCGCCTTGACAATCTCGACTGCACTCCCTGTCACCCCTTATTCGTGCTTACCATGAAAGATGGAAAGATCGCTGGTGAAGCTGTATATCGCGAATGCATCGAGATTCGGAAGCAGATCGCTGTCCTCGAGCAGTACAACCAAGCGTTAGTGGATCGAACGGCGTGGCTCCAGGCAGAGCATTCCTCGTTGACGGGTGCGCATGCTGCACTCAGGGCCGAATTTGATGCACTCTCGAAGGCGGTTGAGGAGCTGAAGGTATCGACCTCGACAATCGTGGAATCGGCCAGCAGCAGCTCCTCGGCGACGATATTCGACGTGCTGTGCGATGGCGACGGTCATGTCAATGATGCGATTGCGAAATTGGAGGAGGACGTGGTAGACGAGCTCACTGCATCCGATTTCCAAAAGAGCACTTACTGCCATGTAGGTCAATGCTCCTTCCCGTCGTTCCTTGTTAGTGACCTCGAATTTCGCTAGCTGCTTGTCAACGAAGCTGTCAAGGCAGTCCTTGGCATCAGTGTCCTCAATAAGAGGGACCTCTTCCCCGTCGTCCCTAACCCCGACCTTCCAGACGAAGACATTCTAAGCCGTCCGTTGATCAAAGGCACCACCATCCACATTCAACGGTACCTTTGGGAATTCTCTGAAACCAATCCACACAACGAGAAAGTCATCGGCATCCTAGCAGACTATGTAATGGCGCACGGTTGGACGTACCATGAAGAGGCCGCAGCTGCAGGGAAGATCCTTTCGCTCCATCAGTGGAAGGTCTCTTTCAAATCCAAGATGGCGCGCATGCGGGGTATATGGCGAGGTAATTCTGAAACCGCTGCAGTCAAGAGGGCGGATAAGAAGACTCGAACTGACATGTTGAACCGGGCTCGATATGTGAGTGCCTCTGTTCTTGTCCAGTACCTGTTACTCACTGTTCGTTAAGAAATGCGCACGGCGCATTCGCTGCCGCGAGACGTATCCACAAGATCATGAAATCAACCACCCAAAGTACGACCCAGTCTTCACTGCCCAGATGCAATCCGACGACGAAGACTTTCAAAATCCCGACGGCACCATTGACAAGTCCAAATATCTTTCGAGGCCTGCAACGTGGGAGTCAGCGGAGGTGACGGCTTACTCCAATACTTTCCTGAAGGCCTACTGACGCCTGTCATTGATTTGTACAGCTGCGTCGCATCAAGGCTCTGGCGGATGCTGGTCGTGATCCACAGGCGTCGACTCAGGCGACTATCCGGATTGCAGGAACACCCAAGGAGACTGAGGGTCCACCATTCACAAAGGGACTTGTCGGTCGTGCTCGTCGATGGATGGTTGACCCAGACTGGTTGGCGAAGCATCCCGATGTCGATGTTGAGACCCGGATTGCGGCTAATGGAAAGCATTGGGGAGATGCAGAGGATCCAGAGGACATCCTGCAGAAGAAGGAGGCCTTGAAGGCGGCCAAGGGTGCCCTAGCCCTAAAACGCAAGGCCACAAGCCAGACGGGGAAAAGTGGAAAGAAGGGGAAGGCAGTGGCGGAAGAGGCCAGTGTTTCTGGTGCCGAATTTTTTTAGTCCTGTTTCGTGAACGCTTTTACTATTCCCCACTCGATTTGTATCATAATTTTACCTCTATTGTACTAGAACTCGGCTTCCTCTAGAGTAGGCTCAGCAGTACTCTGTAATCGCACATTAGTCCATACACATATCAGAATAAATTGGTGAAAAGTCGAACTTACATGATCAAAAGAAACTGAGATCCATAATTCATCGCCGCTGTGAAGGGTGACAGGAATATGAGCCAGAGGACAGTTAGGGAAGGACAGGGGTAACCCCCGGGTAGCCGGACACCTACCCTTACCCCCACCCCCCAAAACCCCTACCCCTGACTGAGGGGTAGGGGTAGTACCCTTACCCCCAACCCTGGGGGTTTTGACCAAGGGGTTTTAATCATTTTGGCACTAACAATTACTTACAGTTGTCTATATGTATATTTTTATGTGTTTTATTGCGCATACAGCAGTTATTTAGTAGAAAATATACATAGATGCTGAAATAAATGGGTTTTGATTGATTTTTATCAAAACCCTTACCCCCGACCGGGGGTAGGGGTTTGGCCAAGGGTAGCCGGAGACCTACCCCTTACCCCTACCCCCGCTCTACCCTTGGCCTCTACCCTGGGGGTTTTAAAACCCCTTGACCATCCCTAAGGACAGTCGATTGTGCCCGCCGTAACGATCTCGTAGTCGCCGTAATCATTTGCGCGGCTGGTCGTTATTCCAAGAACGGATGAGCTGTATGGCTTTGTTAGACAGTATGACAACAAAAACAACTGGTCTCGATAAATGACTTACTATGGCTGCCATGGTAACTCGACGGGAAGATCCTCAGCATCTTTCAGACGGCGAACTAGGAGACAGACATTAGATGGCAACTCTGTGTTTGGTATCTTGAGGAGGAAGATGGCTTCGATGGCGACTGGAACCCTAACACTGTCTGCCTGGATAAATGCAAATGAGTCGGCTTGCGTGTGCGTATTGTCCTTGGAGCCGTAGCGGAGCCCACCCTTCCGGAAATAGGTAAGGCGCCTTGCCACTTGCTTTGGATGGAAACGAACACCACCCTCCTCCAACGGTCCATACCGATGATAGATCTCTTGATGTGGCCATTGAGCGCAGGTGTAATCAAAGAGCAGATCGTATAGATGGCCATCGTCATGTCCATCGAAGGTGAATAGTATCAAGATTGATTGGTTGCGTTGCCATTTGTTTTGGAAGGGAGATATTGTCGACAGTCGCCTCTGCTCGGAGAATTGCAAGCTCGACGGCCATTCCACCTCGTGTTGCTTCGCTATTGATGATATCGTTCAAAAGGGCCCGCTCAAAAGGGCTGGCATCGTCGGGAAGGTGGAGAGAAAGCTCATAGAGGAGATGGGCGAGAAGCCAGTTGCGCATGAGCGTGAGCTCAACTCGACCACCGTCGTGTCCATTAGTCTTGACCCGTTTGAGCAAGCCGTTGAAACGCTCGAAAGCATACAGCCACCAGCCATAGACTGGGCCGAAGAGCTTTATCATATCCGCCAGATGCATCGCAAAATGATGATTGGGCGATAGATGCGCCCCAAGCTGGAGAAGCCGTTGACAGTATGCAGCCAAGTATCTCTGGCCCTGGAAAGCTTGGTTCATCGAGATGACCTTGGTCGAAAGAAGTCGAACGGCGGTACAGAGGAGAATAATCACATCATAGAGAGTTTTTAAGCGTCGGCAGTGAGTGGTTTTGAGGGTTTGGTTGGGGCCTAAGCGAGGCTCGGTGTCGGGAATGGTGTCGGTATGGTCCTTCCACGCAGCCCAGAGAACGACTGGGGATACAGTCAAAAGCCGACGCCATTCATCCGCCTTCTTTAGCGAAGGATTCTCCCCAAGCTGGACAGAATAGAAGTCAGAAATGTAGAGCTAGGTGTTAACAAAAGTACTCACATTTTTTGGCAGCCGTGTAATGTGGCTCGGCCACTTGATAGAGTTGATTGTCTTCTCGAAACGTTGTTTTGATGAATTCTCCCCGCCAGTCCCAGGGAAAAGATGAGCGCCAAAGAGGAGAGTCGAGAAAAGCCAGGGCACGATGCCAAGAAAGACGCAGTGCATGAAATCCAGCGCCGTCTGTTTTGCCGGTTTCCAGCCAGGAATCCAGTCAAACGCAGCCCAACGGACACCGTGGTTTTCATTGATTGTTGCCTGACGAGCTGGTACTGCATCCCTGCTGTGAAACTTGTGCTTCAGTAGTTCGAAGTCGTCCTTAAGTTCGAATGTGTCGGTGTTGTACCCTTTCGGATCGTTTATGTCGAGGGAGGTGCAATTGCACCAAGGACAGGGGTGCATGTCGGCCGAGTGACTCGAAAACCCTGCAAACTTGCGCGCACCAGGCGTATCACAGTTGTCGCAAGTAAAGTCTGCATAGACCTCATGTTCGTCAATAGCACGAGTGTCATCATTGTATACACCCATTTTGACGCCTGAAAATGACCACAGCACCTGGATCAGACCCCCGACACATCACATTCCTAGCCAATAACACACCTGATTTGAGGCTGAGTGCGTCCCGCACTACAGGCTCCATGACATTGTTGAGCTGCTCCGTTGTTGGCTCTTTTGGACCTGGCGTAATGGCGATGCAAATCACGTTTAGTTGCCGAAAGCGTTCTTCACGAGGGAGGTCGGCGAAGGCAATATAGACCGGCCCAGTTGAATGAGGCCTGTTTACAAAGCACCCAAACCTGGAGGATTTAGATTCAGCGCGCGAAAACAAGTAGAGAATTACAGGGATGGTGACGTACCAGTCAATGTTCACAGACATGTGGAGACCAAAACGGTGCTCTGTCAGTCTTCTCGGTCCGGCCTCACCCTCTCCAGGGACATCACGAACGGACCCCAGGTTCCCCGTTTCGCGGTGAATTTGCGTCTTCAAGTCGTGCCAAATACTTCCATCGTGCATATCCCTCATCAGAAAGTTAGGATCATCATTGGCGTTGGTCGGAGTGTCGCGACTATCCCGCAGCATGCTAGCAAATCCTGGGCGGCACATCATTCGACGGATGGATGCAAGGAGGCCAACTTGAGGCAAGATCTTGATTGCCTCCCGCTTCACCTTTCCCTTCGAGTTCTTTTTGACCTTGTACAGCACTTCGTCGCAGTTGGGTGCTGGACATTCGGGCGCAGGTAGACTTCTCATCTCCGATGGGGTGTATAGTTTCCAGCACTTGGGGCAGCAGGTGTAATTGATAATCCAAAGATCGGGGTCGAGTCCTAGTCGTCGCTTTGCTGTGGCTAAAGTCCGTGCTGGGACAGGGTAATCGGGCAGAACGCCAGCAGCCTGAAGCATGTTGAGCGAGCCTTCAAGGTTGGTGTTGGTATGGCGAACTGAGCTGTGACTGATGACGTTATTTAGGACAGCCTGAAGATACGCCATACGGACAGGTGTGGATTCCTTCCTAGCATAGGCTGGTGCTGCTCCCAGATTCAGAGCCTCTTCCTGGTCCTTATTTTCCTCGAGTTCCACATCAGCGAAAGGGAAGACAACCCGGGTCCATTCGGTATCATGAGCGCCAAACCGGTTTATTTCGGGGATATCGTCAATACGGGTACCAATGGTTGGGGTAGATTCGTTGCGTGCCAGAGCTGGACCATGTGCTGGCTGCTGGGGGAGAGAGACATCAGTCTCCCAGCCGCTACTGTCATTGTCAGAGTCGTCCCCCTCCATGGTCCGGCTAGTGCTGAACTCTGGATCGCCGTCTTCGTCCATCCTTTCCCCCATGTCATTCTCTTCCATCTCCACTGCCCCACCGTTTCCTTCCATCCCTTGCCCCTCAATCCGAATATCCTGGTTCCCGCCGTCCTCCATAATCCCATGACCACGCCTTGCCCCAATCTCGGCTTCTCGTCTTTCAGCCTCGCGCTTGTTCCGTTCCACAAGTAATGCATCCCGGACATCGATGGCCTCTTGAATCTTTCGTGTTATTCGAATGTTTGGTAGTACAGCATCCAAGCTGATGCCGTAGGTGCGAATGTGTCGTCCAATGGTTTCGTGGTCGTGTCGGCGTAGAGGAAGAGGGTCTTTGTCACATTTAACGCAAGGACATTCGTCCCTTTGGGCGCGCGAACGACGTTCGGGCATAGAGCAAGCTGTTCAGAGTGTTGTCGACGTCGTTAGAAGGGATTGGATCTGCGTGACCGTTGCGCGCCGCTCTTTGGGCGGAGTTTGAATCGACTTGGTACCAATTCAAGACTGATTCCTCGGTTTCGACTGCCCTTTCATCTCACACACAACCTATTGCCCCTCCATCTCCCTTTTGACATGGCGAAGAGAAGCTTTCTGGAAGAGCTGAGGAAAGGTGCGGTTCTATCTCAACCATTCCAACAGTCAACCTGTTTGACTGCTCTCAGATCCTTTGGACACGCCGACCGTTTTCCTTCGCCCCGACTACGCTGCACTTGAATTTGACAAGGAGCAGAGAAAGAAGCTGAAGAACAGCAAAGTACGCCAAGTCTTACCATGCGCAGAGACCTGCAGATCAAGCGCTGAACCGCTGCCAGCGTCCAAGAACGTCGACCGAACCACCGCTTACCGAAAGCCAGCTCCCGGACCCCTCTTGGAAGCCCCTTAATGGCAGGGTGCCTCGTATTCCCAAATCGCCACGCGCTGTAACACCACTATCTCCTGTTTTGAATGTTCCCTCTGTGAAGAATGACGACCTGGATGCCAACTTGGCCTTGAGCCCTCTGACGGATTGGACACCAGCTGTGGGGTCCCAGCAACCTCCTTCCTCCCCTCAGGCTTCCCACAACGACAGCATCCAGTCTCTTTCCCAGCCTGATTCTCAGAACACCGGTCCTTACTGTCCCTTTTGTGTTCCAGCCGGCCACGAGAACTTTGCGAGTATCTTCGAAGACCCCGAGGCTTCTTGCTGCCAGGCCCACTACGAAAAGGTCGTTTTCGAGATTCAAATGCGGCTTATGCGACTCGACTCAGATATCAGGGCCGCTGATGCTCACAGGGCCATCCTCAGCCAGGAGCGGGACCACTACCATGCACTACTCCAAGACCGGCATCGTTTTCGGTAATTCTGGACGGCCTCTATTTCACCGATAAGCATTCACAGCTGGAGAGCATAAACATTCCTATACCACCTTCATTTTGATACCCCCTCGTGTTTTATCATTTTTTCCATTCGAGTTGTATACCTAGCTATAGCCATGTCCTATTGATTGTGAATTTAAGTTGAATTCCCGCCGAATTCCCGCTGAATGCCAGAATGTATGGCCTCACATATTCTGGAGGCAGAATTTCGCTCGAATTGCAGTTGTGTGCGAGAATGTAGCACTCATTATATCTTCTTCAATTCTGGTGTGTGGATTCTGGTGTGCATTGAGCGCAAATTCTGACGTGTGGCTGAATTCTCGCCGGATTCCGCGTGAATCCCACAATCCAACGCAATCCAGGCGCTCGCGGATTCTGCTCTGATACGCTGTGTATATCAACCTGTACCTGACCCCAGACTATCGTTGGAAAATTCTTTACAATTTGAATTAGTCGAAGGTGGAACAGAGATGAAGTCTAGACAGGGAGCACAGTGCAAAGGTTTCTGGGCGATGGCAGCATCAGTAGCAAAGGGACAGTAAGAGGGATGGCGAGCGCTCGAGCAGAAGACTGACGCCAGCGCCTAGTATGGCTCTTGGATGGCGCCCGACTCGCTGAGTATTGACGTTCTCAGTTCTTGGACTTGTTGGTTTGCATACTTACGGGTCGCTCATGATCAGCGGAAATTGGTTAGTTCGCCGTCCAATCATGTGAACAACTCTCGGAGTTCAACGAGTACAGGAATGTGATTTAACATCTCAATTTCACAGGGCCCCACACAAAGCAAAATAAATAACGAAAAGTGGGCATAGGAGAACGTACTTGAGGAGGACACCGCTGTAGATACGCCGTGGTGACCGGCCCATCTACGGCCAATTCGTCAAGCTTATAACCGAATATTTGTACGTTAGATCCGATGGCTTTCAAGTCGGGCGTTTACACAGACAGGCAAAACTGGGCGCTTGTTGGAACAGACACACCATACATCCTGTCTATAAATCGAGATAGCGAATGTGAATGTCCTAAATAATAGTATCATGCCGTCTACTCAGAGAATGCATCGGCTTGTATGCGATATAGTCTCGCATATTCGCCATCGGCCTTCTGGATGAGTTCGGAGTGGGTTCCAGACTCCACGATCCGCCCTTCCTTCATGCACCTACAGTAGAACCATTAGAAATTAGTCCAAATGGTGAAAACAGCCTTACAAAATCATGTCTGCGTATTTCGTCAGATGGCCAAAGCGATGAGTGACGAACACGACTGTCTTCCCCTCGCGGGCTGCCAGAAGGCCATTGAACAGGTGAAGCTCTGCAGCGGCATCCAACGCTGAGCTTGGCTCGTCGACTGCGATAAAGTTAACTTTTCCCGAGTGGAGCCTCATAAATGCGCGTGCACTGAAAACGCGAAAAAAGAGTGAGTACCTCTTGTGATTTGAAGCTTGAACTCACGCGAGTAGTTTTTGACGTTCGCCCCCGGAAATATCGATACTTTTGGGGGAATTATTGACAATCTTGGTGAGGGGGTGATCGTCGTCGTCCGGAATCCGATCCTTCCTGGGAGACGCGAATTCCAGAGGGTCCAGGACTGTATCCAACCCTGCTTCCAACTTCGAAATAAATTCCATCGCACCGCCTTTCTCTGCAGCTTCCTGCACCAGGGACGCGTCCGACTTCAGGTTGACGCATCCCAGTCCAATATTCTCAGCAAATGAGAGAGGATAGAGTTGGCTATCCTGGCTGAGGATCACAGAAGCCTGTCTCAGATCATGGGGCTCGTACTCATCTGCCGGCTTGCCGTCGATGAGGAATGAGCCAGTAGTAGGAGTGTTCAAACAAGAGAGAATCTTGATCAAAGTCGACTTCCCACTACCGTTCTCGCCGACGACGACGACGACACTCCCGGCGGGAATTGTGAGATTGATGTCTTGAAGTGCATTGACGCTGCCTTGCCTTCCGAGGTATGAGAAACACAAGTCGCTGAAACTACCTATCAGAAGTAGCATTAATTCGAGCATGATGCACTGACACAAATTTGAACTCCATCCCCTTGCATTTTTCCGAGGGGTATGAAGGATAAGGGGTTTTTGGAGGCCGCTCTTGCCTATTGGCGTCCACAATTTCGTACATACCGAAGATGGCCATAGTGTAGTGCCTAATCGTTCCCAGGTTCCCGTCAAAGCGGGAAGTGGTACGTCGAAGCGTTGATAAAGATGTATGAAGTATGGCAATGTTTGCCATGGAAAGCGACTCGGCGCTTCCCAAGACAGCCATCACTAGACAAAGAGCCTGTAGGCGTGTTTGGGAGCTCAGAAAAAGAAGGTTCAAAAAAGGGTCGCATATACCATCGGACCGTCATCCAGCATTGTCTTCAGCATATCGCCTAAAGGCCCTACCCCGCCTTCAAAGAAGTGCCATGGGAATCCTGTTGGCAAAATCTCGAGTTTTGCCCAAGCACCTTTGAGTTCTGCTAACAGATGAATCGAGGATGCACATCAAGCGGGCTGGAAGCACTTCTCACCATCTAATATCCAGTCGGCTAGATCCCCGCAGATGACATCTTGCCGATAATAAGACGAAACCAGGGACTCGAGAGCTTTCACTCGCACATAGCCCGTGTTATTGATCCAGCTATAGGACACTGGCCAGCAGTGAGTGAGCTGCAGCTTCGGGCCTACGAGACAGATCAACTCACTGCACTCTCGGCTACGGCGGAATGTACCGAGGAAGTCCCTGAGGAAGGAGTGCACGAAGTGGAGAATGAGAAAGATATAGCTATACGGGATGTTGGTGCTTTTCAGAATGACAAACAGCTCCAACACGGCCGCAAATAAGTTCCCTAGACCACAGTGGAGGGACAGGAACGCATTCCAAAGCTCTTCTTCTTCGTATTCGACGTCACCTACGAGCAGGCGTCAACAAGCTAGCTCTTTCATAATTTAGTCCAAGAATCTACCGTCGGGAGAGGGAGATATTTCCAGGTTTCTCAGAGTTGCTAGAACCCCAAGCGAGTCAACAGATCACCACTGGACTAAGAGTACGTTTGAACTACCTTGCATCATCTCAAGGCTGAAATGATGGTTCACTTTTTCTCGCATCTGAAGCTCGAGCTTATACCTGTGGCCAGCTTCTGGTAAGCGAGGATGCCACACTGGGGGCTGAAGCTTACACAGCACCTTTGGGAAGAGATATAGGACAAGAGCCCCGAGCAGAGAGCGCGAGACGCCAGAGCCTTGATGACTGCCCAGACGACGGGCTTGTTCTGGGCGAGACCGGCTTCGATCTATTGGTAGTATTATCTCAGAGCCCTCGCCAACCGATATAAGACTCAGACTCACCGCACGCAGCATATCGTTTGTCAGGTACATGGTAATTGCACTTTCCAGAGACTCCCAAAACCAGGAGCCGGTCATGGCAAGGAAGAGAACTGGGGACAGGGAGTATACGTCCATGTAGAACCTCGCTATGAGACTGGGGGAAAGCCCGCTGTGATCAAGGAGGAACCGCCTACGAACGCGATCTGATACTGTTTCTTGGGGTTTGTCGCACAGAAAGACCTTCCAAACGCCGTACTGGTGCTCTTCAACAACCACATGGTCGTATTTCTTTTTCTCTGGGACACCGATTTCATCCATGTCCTTCTTCTCTTTCGTCACATCCGAGTTGACCTCGTCCTTGGTTTTGTTGGTGGGTTTTTCCTGGGGCAAGTTGGCGGTCATGGTGGGGTTGCGGTAGAAGAAGCAAAGGGCGCCCGAGTTGCAGTTCAAAGGCTCTATATGTACCCATCCTGGATCCACATGTACGCAGCCATTGTATGGATTGCCTACAATGAGCCCACAGCCCGACGGCAAAGGAGGGATGTCATGAAGAGCTGGTCGTGGTCAGGCATCAAGACGTTGAAGCATCGGAGCCGCGTGCCATGCTGTAAGCGCTAGGCCGCTGGCCGTCAAAACCGTGACAGCTCGAAGACCAGCGCTAGCCTTCTTGGAAAGGTCGATGACAAGTTACAAGGAGTGGGTTGGAACAGAAACTGGGATGCCGAGCAAGAGTGGGATTGATGCCAAATCAATGGGATCATACCACTCGATAGGCTCTTGCTCGTGCCTCCCCTAGCTCGAAAATCCCACCGCTCGAAGGGTGGCTGTTGAAGGTCAATTGAATGCAGGGTCGGGCTTTAGAGTCTGGGTTAGAGTCTGGGGAGGGGGATATATTGCGTTTCGCACCTTTCCGGGCATCTTGATACGCAATATTTGCCAAACGGTGTCCCAATCTAACAGGAATCCCACTTTTTTCCGCAACCCCACTCCACGACGTGGTGTATACTCGCTCGGAAACGCGTGTCCATTCAATTGCAATTCGGCCAGCGTCTACGTACTTAACTCAGTACAGTAAAAAAAAAAAAAACTATGATACAGTGGGGATTTGGAAAGGTAGTTGCTACAAGGTGGATATTCTGCAATGGTTGTCCGTTGTTAGTTTGTACATACGAGATTCGGAATCAAGCCGAATGAAGGAACGAAAAAAAAGAGGAATCAGAATTCAAACAGGGGGCAATCGATCATCGTCCAAAGTCCTCGAAGAATCTCTCGAGTTAACCAAGGAAATAGGTTCAACAAAAGCTTGATAAATCTTTCCATCGACGCTCCGACTGAGTTCAGGCTTAGTCAGTACGACCGGGCTTGGAGGGAGGGACCTCGGGGAGCTGGGAAGGGTGTACGAATCCTGAGTGGGGCTCAAGTTGGTCAGATCGTACACTCCAGCTCCAGTTCTGCGATTCCCGGAGGCGTAGCTTCGTGCACTACGCGTGCTTCTGAACGACCGACGGTGCTCGGCGAGCTCGGGGCTGAGGGTTGCGTTGGAGCCGCGGTGGCTCCGGATGCCATGAGACGAGTTGAGAGAGGAACGTTGGGTGCGCGCGGCGCCGTCGAAGCTGAATGACCGGCTATTGTGAGCTTTGCTCGACTCCATCCGGGATTGGGCCTCCTCTTCGATCTCGTGCACGGCGCGGCCAAGTCCTACTTGGACAATGATAAGAGTTGGGACAATACCCTGCGGGATCGGTCAGCCTCGGAGGAGGTGGAGATGTGAGAAGAGGAAACACGTACGACTACTTGAATTAGACCGGCATCGAGGATTGCACTGGCTGAGGCGTTGTTGTGGAATGCGAGGTCGAGGGTCATGTAAACCGAGTAGATCATGCCAGATTCGATACTGGACAGGGGTTAGGACGATTACTGAGACTGGGAGAAGAGCGGGAAGACGCACAGGATTGCGATACTGGCATTATATCGCTTAAGCAGACCATCGCCCACAATGCCCTTTGCACGACGTGAGATGTACCAGATCCTTCCAGCAGTCAAACCGGTCAAGATGACGTTGAGCGAGAAGGTGAGTGCTAGGTAAACCCAAGCGTGTTTGAATAGGTGTATTGAAGCTCCTTCGAATAGATAGCCGCAGACTGAAAACGTGTTAGCCTGAGTGCTGGTGAGTCAGAATGAATGTACACACCTGTGGCGGCCACGAGCAGGACAGCGGGACCAGCAATGATCCGTTTTCTTGATCCCCACACCACATAGCATCGGTAGAGCAGTAGCGTATCGGCTAGAACACTACATCGTGCATCAGATCCAGTTCGAAAGCCTAAGGGAGCGATACTCACGTATTGGTCACGAACATCACGTATTTGGGGTACAGGGTGTTGAACGTCAGCCCTCCCGACAAGATCTTCGAGAAGAAGATGTAAAAGGTATATGTCATGTCGGCAGTTGCAAGGGCGAACATGGCGATGGCGAAGACGAGGAGGACCCAGTGAAGGGCTTTCTGTCGGCGGATGAGGACGTAGGCGCAGATGCTGAATAAAACACAGCAAATTCCATAAAGGAAGGTTTCCATCTTAACATTACGTGAGTCGAAGCGCTCAATAATGCAACGGGAATAGGTGTGACTTACAAATACTGCTCCAACATAGGGCGCCACGACGTGAGGAAAGGGGTTGTACTCTTGGTCTGAATCGAGTACAGTTGGGACAGGGATGAAGCCGGTGAAGGCGAGTGTCGCGCTTGCAGTCATGGTGTAGTCGATAGATAATTGGTGTTCAGCGAAGGATCGTCAGTCGTAATAGTGTCGTAACAGCCAGCAATGAGTTGGAATAGTGGTTGGGGTGGGTATAATCACCAGTCGTCAGGCGGAACTCTCTATGAGCGCAGGAGAGTTAGCAGCAGGGGAGGGACGAGATGGAGATGGAGGGGAGACCTACCATCTTCGGTGACTCGGCGCTCTTATTATAAGTATCGCATTCCCGTTATATGAATTGGGCGGATGTCATGTTGCACACCAGTGACCAGAAGCGCCGGCCGTCAAGGACCACCGAAGGTCTGCACCTAGACAAACACTCTAGGTCATCGATTTGCCCCAAAATGGGGGCAAAGTGCGGCGCATGGCGCCAAGAATAGAACGTTGTCCCTTATCCGGCTTGCTTGTAGGCCCTAATTTGAGAGCTCGGACGAATAAACCCCGGGGATCGTCTTGGTAAATGGGGTCATAGTGGTGTGTAGAACTCGAGAAGGCATCGGGTTTGTGGGCGATTAGAGTGAGCGCTGTGGCCGTGCATAGGAAGCAAGTGTAGGAATGCAAGGGCATGTCACGGTTGAGAGATGGGAAGCTGCGTCAATACCGGCATTCTTGACTCGTGTCGGACTCTCACAGCCTCCGGGCTGTTAAAGGGTCCCAACAAAAAGCTTCGAAAAATGAGGACTAAGAGACTTCTTGGTAGCTGGTATGAACGGTTTTGGATATGTTCCATGATGGCTAGGGTTCAGAGCATTGTATTTCGTTTCTCTGTGGGAGGGTGCAAACAGAAACTGGCCATACTCAGTTTGGGCATTTGGGGACGGAAGTTGAAAAGAGACTGACTTACGAACGAGCTCTGGGCTCCCCAAGCGTGGACGTCGAGGTGCCAGGTCCCACAAGAGCTCCACCATCGTCAGTAGGTCCCAATAGACGCCTGAAGACCACGCTGGTCCAGAGGCGCTTGTTAGAGGCTAGGCAACCGATGTCGCTCGTCCCTGTGTACACCGCGGTTACGGTAACGGATGGAATACGGCGCCTGAGCCTGACTTGTTATCGCTGAGTGCTGGATATCCCTTTTTCTCAAGGCTCAATTCCACACCGGTGTCGCTATACCGTCTGTGCCTGACCAGTGCCGATTTGACGAGGGCCGCCAATCTCGCCTGGAATCGCCTGGTATTCAACAAAAGACCTTACGGTTCTGGAACCCGAAAGTTGAACATGATATCTGCAGAAACTTGGAAATCAGGAAATCATCCAAAGGACCCACAAACATCCACCACGCACCATTCAAAAAGTCCAAACCCTTCAGAGAAACGAATGACGAACTTGGACAAAACGGTTGGACGAGCAAGTGTGGCGCACTGTGGCTGTGCTTTTGGTAGTCAGCATTTCCCACACTTGCGTCACAGCCACTAGCGTCTGTGGACGCGACGAGCGCCATCGCCCAGCTGAGCGTTCACCTCGTTTGCGACCTTGATGGAGAGAAATATCCGTTTCGCGACTGCAAAGACGAAAGGTTCTCGAGATTCTGGAAAGCCTTCTCTCAGACAACCCCCACGACATGACAGGCACCGCATAGGTCCAAACACCGCGTCTGGAGGCTCGCAGTCAACTGTCAGAGGAGTTGCTGATGCGGATATGGTCAAAAGGTTAATGGAATTGGGAGGGCCCGAGATCTCGGTCGATGAGCATAGAAAACTGGATGACGAGTCTCAAAGGCTACTGGCCTGTTTAATGGATCGAGTCAAAGGAAGACAGGGGACTAGGGGAGCGAGACGGGATATTCTGAGGTGCGAGGCTTGCCCTAATTCAGTTGGAGTACGCTGGCCTGAGGAGAGGATGCGACGTTGTAGGTATCAGAATGAGAGATCTAAATCCCAGATCCCTCAGCCGCAGTCCGTTCTGCCCGTTGATCATGAAGCTACTAGAGCAAGGGCTGATTTGGAAGCCGTGACGCTGAGCGTTGAGGCTACTAGGAAAGAGGTTCAAGAGGCCGAAAAAAGCCTGTCGGATTTAAGTGTGTTGCCCATTCCTCGTCCCCGTACTTCGCGTTATTGAACGCGAAATAGAGATGAACTACGATGAATTACAGAGAGAGGTCGAGGCAAAACGCAAGACAAAGTTGTTATTGGACGTGCTGGAGAAGAGGGAGACGATCAGAGTGGTAAGATTGAAAGAGGTTGGGATTCTGATGCAACGATTGAGGCAGGTTTAATATCTGTATATCTCTTCGATGGCTTAATTGACTTGTGTGTTCTCGTAGAAACGCGGTAGAGAGCAGAGAGGTACGACTTTCGGCGTTACTCTGCCAGTCCAACTCAAATTCGTTGCTCTGTGTAGCCAAATCGGCCTGTCGCAGAGCAACCTCCCTCGATTCGCCCTTCGAAGGCCTCGAAATCTTCGAAATACATCACTGAAACGCTTGCTGTAAGCCACACCCTCATTGGCATTGATCGAGACTTAATATCGTTCAGAACTTGCACGCGTATCATCTCAGAGTGTCGCGGTTTTCCGGGAAAGAGGTTTCTTTGGCGAACGAGGAGACAATGGTCGCTCGACTGCGCAGTCTTACCGACAGTGATGACCACCTCGAGAGAGCTCGACTATTGGCGCAGCGGAGTCTTCAATATCGCAGCGACCTCCCCGTTGAGGGCGTTGCGGACGAGCGCCTAAACGAGATGTTGGAAGTGAACGTAAGAATACCCGTTCATGAATAGGTTAGTGGTCGTCTGACTTCAACCCCCCTGGTTTTAGAATTCGAAGATTCGGCAAATTAAAAATGTATTGGAGAGGACTGGCGTACTAGGACAGGATTCTGAGCGGTTGATTAGAACCGTGAGTCACCAGTTCTCTGCTTCAGATGGTCGTATGACACAGAGCGTCACACCTAGATCGAAGTGTACAAGGAACGCACCTATCCTCGGTTGCGAGACTCCATCGTCGAGGACCAAACCTTGTTCGTTGCTGGATACATTAAAGACCTCCAAGGTTGGACATATCCGGTATCGGAAGGAGCGAGCTCGTTATCTTCCCGCGTCGCTGAGCTCTTGAAGCTCGGTCGCCATGCTGTAGGTGATGCAACCGATTCATCAAGATGTTGAAACAAGCCTTTTTTAGGACGAGGATGCAGTCATTGCTGCTGTCCGAGATATGTCGAATCAGGGTTCGTTGGAAGACACGCACTCTCACCGAGCAGTATTGACAAGCCCTTGACAGGACATGCACAGGAATTGCTCTTCTCCCAGTCACTGCCGGCACCCCAGGGTTTCGAAGACTTGAATGCCCTGAAAGGTGTGTATAACAGATCCAAGGTGGGCATTCTCTGCTGACTGATCAACAGTCGCGTATCAGACAACGAGTTCCGCCGCAGACGAGAAGGCTATCACCCTCCTTTCTCGCAAGATCGAGAAGGGCGCGAGAGGCAACGAGATCATCAAAGACGCCCAGGAGCTGCTGAAGGAGGCGGAGGCGGTTGTGAATGGTGAAATCCGCGCTTCGTGAGAGGTGGCGGCAAACAACACCTCCAAGTCGGCTTGGCCCGTGAAGAATGTGGGGTGGAGTCGGAAAGTGGGTCACGGATGACCCAGAGTTGGAAGGGTGCATTCGTTTTCCGACCGTCGGGACCCAAGCGAACGTCACTTATTGCGAAGGAGATGGCTCCTGTGGATGCTCTACCGACGCGACGACATCGAAGAGGGCAATGTCGAAGAGCTCAAGGACGATGATAAGGAGCTGCGGAATGTTCCCTGAACTAGAATACTTATGTCGCGCAGTGGCGTCCGTGGGCGTCCCCAATGTAGATAAGATGACTGTCTTGTGCAGTGAAACCCTGGCACAATGAAAAGACTGGGGAGATCGTGGAACGCGGGGAAGGGGATTAAGATGAGCAGGGGCCAGAGTACGGAACAAATCGAAAGAAATTGTGGAAAAAAGGGAGAGCATATGGGCGTTGAGGGTGTGGCCGTCAAAAGGACGGGGCGTGATTGGCTCCCGGACCCGGCGCCGGCACGAGATTTGGATATTCACGTGGGTATAAATTTACGTTTCGTCAGAGTCCGGGATGTTCCACCCAATCTCTTTCCTCTAACACCACCTACCCGCTAGTCGTCGTCGTCGCGCAGTTGCCGCCGCCGTCCTAGCCGTCCTCAACGACGATGTTGAACCTCTCGAACAGAACGTCAAACGCCCTGCGGCGCCTTGCCGCAGGCATGGCCACCGTCGCACCCCGCATTGGCGACACCAAAGTACCCATGTCTTTGCTCGAAAAGGGCGCCTATATCAACTACCAACGCATTGAAGATAACTTGGCTATCGTTCGCGAGAGGTGAGCAGCCTTTGGCCTTCTCGGTCGTCCTCCAGTGTCGCTTATCATGTTCCGAACAGGCTCAACCGACCTCTGACTTTGTCCGAGAAGATTGTCTATGGACATCTCGACAACCCACACGAGCAGGAGATTGTTAGAGGATCGAGCTACTTGAAGCTCAGGCCTGACGTGCGTACAGAACGTGTTCGTCTTGGAATCTACGACTCATTTTTTGTGTTTAGCGGGTTGCATGCCAAGATGCTACTGCCCAGGTTCGTTTTTGGACTTCGCGGAGCTGCCTCGGTGGATATTGACGTGTTCGATTTCGACATAGATGGCTCTCCTTCAATTCATGTCCGCCGGTATGGACACCGCCGCCGTCCCCACCACCGTCCACTGCGACCACTTGATTGAGGCTCAAGTTGGCGGTGTCAAGGATTTGGAACGTGCCATCAACATCAACAAGGAAGTCTACGACTTCTTGGCCACTGCTACTGCCAAGGTGCGTTCTTTACCTCGCCTTTCTAATTTTGACTTCATGGCTCATCCCTCTTTGTAGTACGGCCTCGGTTTCTGGAAGCCCGGCTCTGGTATCATTCACCAGATTATCCTGGAGAACTACGCTTTCCCTGGTGGAATGATGATTGGTACCGACTCCCACACCCCTAACGCTGGTGGTCTCGGTATGATTGCCTGCGGTGTTGGTGGTGCCGATGCTGTCGACGTCATGGCTGGCATTCCTTGGGAACTCAAGTGCCCCAAGGTTATTGGTGTTAACCTTACCGGCAAGATTGGCGGCTGGACTACTCCCAAGGGTGAGCAATCTTTTTGCCAGGATTCGGATGGCAGATCTTAACAGAATTACAGACGTTATCCTCAAGGTCGCTGGTATCCTCACCGTCAAGGGTGGAACTGGTGCCATTGTCGAGTACCGCGGTCCTGGTGTTGAGAGCCTCTCTTGCACCGGTATGGCCACCATTTGCAACATGGGTGCTGAAATTGGTGCCACCACCTCCGTCTTCCCCTACAACGAGCGCATGGCCAAGTACCTCAAGGCCACCAACCGCGAGGACATTGCCAACTATGCCCGCCAATTCTCCGCCAACCTCAAGGCCGACGAGGGTGCTGAGTACGACCAGATGATCGAAATCGTGAGTTCTATTTGCTTCTCGGGGGGCTGCGCACCTTCTAACAGTAACCCTAGAACCTCTCTGAGTTGGAGCCCCACATCAACGGTCCCTTCACCCCCGACTTGGCCACTCCCATCTCCAAGTTGGCTGAGGAGGCTAAGAAGAACGGCTGGCCCGATGAGATCAAGGTCGGCTTGATCGGTTCTTGCACCAACTCTTCCTATGAGGACATGTCCCGTGCCGCCAACATCGTCAAGCAGGCTGCCGACCACGGCCTCTCCTTCAAGAGCAAGTTCACCGTCACCCCCGGATCTGAGCAAGTTCGTGCCACCATCGCCCGTGATGGCCAAGTCGAGGCCTTCGAAAACGCTGGTGCCATCGTTTTGGCTAACGCCTGCGGCCCTTGCATTGGTCAATGGGACCGACAGGATGTTAAGAAGGGCGAGAAGAACACTAGTAAGTTGACTTGTTATTCCCATGAATGCCGTGGTTTCTCAATGAATTAACTCCCCTAGTCGTCACCTCTTACAACCGTAACTTCACTGGTCGTAACGATGCCAACCCTGCCACCCACGCCTTCGTCACTTCCCCCGATCTCACCACCGCCTTGGCCTTCGCTGGAAGCCTCTCCTTCAACCCTCTCACTGACACCCTCATCGGATCTGACGGCAAGCCCTTCAAGTTCGAGAGCCCCACTGGTCACGAGCTTCCTCCCCGCGGCTACGACCCTGGCGAGAACACCTTCCAGGCCCCTCCTGCCGACCGTGCTTCCGTCAACGTTGCCGTTGACCCCAAGTCCGATCGTCTCCAACTCCTCAAGCCCTTTGCCCCCTGGGACGGCAAGGAGCCCAAGGACCTCCCTATCCTCATCAAGGTCAAGGGCAAGTGCAGTACGTATTGAAGACATCTCTTCGTGTTATTCCCTTCTCACATTTCGTCTCAGCGACCGACCATATTTCCGCTGGTGGCCCCTGGTTGAAGTACCGTGGACATCTCGAGAACATCTCTCAGAACTGCCTCATCGGTGCCATCAACGCTGAGAACGGCGAGGCGAACAAGGTCAAGAACCAAATTACCGGTGAATACGGCGGTGTTCCCCAGACCGCTGCCTACTACCGTGACCGTGGCGTCAAGTGGGTCGTCATCGGTGACCACAACTACGGTGAGGGTTCTTCCCGTGAGCACGCTGCTCTCGAGCCCCGATTCCTCGGTGGTCTTGCCATCATTGTCAAGTCCTTCGCTCGTATCCACGAGACCAACTTGAAGAAGCAGGGTATGCTTGCCCTCACCTTCGTCAATGAGGCCGACTACGACAAGATCCGCCCTGATGACCGCGTCGACATCGTTGGTGTTGACACCTTCGCTCCCGGCAAGAACATGACTCTCGTCGCCAAGCACTCCGACGGCACTGTCGATGAGATTCCTTTGGCTCACTCCTTCAACGAGGGCCAGATCGAATGGTTCAAGGCTGGCTCTGCCCTGAACTTGGTACGTCGATCACCTGCACTGAAGTTTTGAAGGTTGCTTATACGTCGATTTATAGATGGCTGCTAAGGCCAAGCAGGCTCAGGCTTAAGTGGCTCATCGATATCCGCCCGTCGCCTTTACGCGATGGCCTCCAGCCGGAACCTAAAAGTATCGACCTGGTTTGCATGAGTAGTCTCAGGATGTACAACCCTGCATATCACTCTATTTATACGACTAGCTGAACACTTCGTGGCGCTAGGTCCGTGGTTTGGATGACATGTATACGTACGACTCTTTTTTTCCGTTTTTCTCCCCCTTGCTACCATGCAACGCCACCGCGCTCTTCCTTCGCCCCTCGTTCCTTTACCTCTGCATTTCCTCATGGTTATCTTGTCCGTGTCGCGGCGTAGGTGCGCACCCTGTACTCATTAGTTTTTCTTTTGTCTCGTCTCTTCTTTAGTCGTTCTAATGCATGCAGATAAAACGGAACCACGCGATTTGAGATATGAAGATAGCAGACGTGTCAGACTTGGCGTAGAGATGTGACGATGGGTTGTCGCCGTGATTACCAAGTGATACCAGGTGATACCCGCCGGTTCTGAGCCTATTTTAGAGATTCAGATGATGTCAGAAGGCTGTCAGACCAGGCTTGAAATGTGTCGAGAAAGGGAAGGAGTGTCCGGCGATCCGAGTCTTGGCTGGAGTTTGAGAATGAACCCAAGTATGGAGATAGGATCGACGTTGTGAGCAAGGATCCTTGACGCGTTGATGAGGTAGGCCAAGCAGAGGTCTGTGTATGGGATACCATAGTATCTTGTAGAGTGCATCGACAGTTTAGGCCTGCTTAATACTGGAGGCCGAGAACGCATGGAGAAAGCATCGACGCTATTGCGCGAGTAGTTGAAGTTGTTAAAGTTGATGTCCGTACGTAGGGGCCACCTTGACATCCCCGTAGAATAATGAAATTTATCATCTTCTGCCATCGTATGGGAATTTTAGTTGTTGTCAGTGTCAGTTGAGGCTGTATCGCAGGCGAAGAGTAAGGAGTTTCAGTTCCAGGGGGCTATCTTAGGAAAGGGGCCAGAATTCGCGAGCAGTGGACACGTGATTATTATCATGCGGCTTCGTCGCGTCCTTGACGCGCCTGTGCAGAGTCTCATAAGGTGGAGAGGCTACAACTCAAGAATCAAACTGAATGAATGAGAGCCAATCCATTGCAAGGGTATGATACGTGATGATCGATGTGGTATATAGAGAATTTTCGGAGGTATAGTAATTTAGAGGTTATGTAGCAATAATCGGACATAGACTGTCCGCGGGCCGGTCCGGGTCCAGAGCAACACGTCACACGGTCCGGCACTTAGCGCCAAAAATTCCGAACATTTTGAGCCCAAAAACATGTAAATCGGTGCAGAAATGACTGAGCTACACCTCTGCAAAGTTTGGGCTCGGAATATTAAGCCCCTGAGTCTCTAGAGCCAAATCGGGCCGAAAATGATGGGTTTGTTCAAGGGGGTCGTGGGAAAGAAATCCCGGACACCGACCTAGGGAGGTAGTTCCACCCTGAAGGGCCAGAAAAAAAGTTTGGAAGGGCCTCCAAAAATAGAAATTTAGCCCCTTTCTGAGTCAAACAGCATTCCCGTGCGCCCAGAAGAGCAGAAAATCCAGGTAAAAACACATTTTTGACCTACATCCAAGGTCTATCGCGAGTTTATGTGCGCCAACAACCCTCATCCGCTCTGGAGTCTGACCGTTCACGTAAGCTGGTTAAGATTGGCTCGAAATCCTGAGCTTTCGACTCATGGAAGCATAGATAATCAGAAGGACTCTGTTGCAATATCGTACGGACGCTCTGTCCCTCTGGTCAGAGCTGCGAGTTCTGAATTCAAATCCCTCAAAGCTCAAACCATCTGGGACAGATATTCAACACCATCTGACAATCCACAGGGCCTCCGAGTTACCTTGCGGATTCCTCCTTTATCGCGCTCCTCTCAACGCGATGCGCGGTCCGACAGGGGAGGAGGCCAAAGGGCGCGGAAGTGACGTAATAACATTGCTAAATATGGTAATACCCCTATATTCTACCTAGGTAGTTCAGGTTGAAATCCTGAGAAAAGATTTTTCGACCCTCTAGCCGGAACTTTTTGGCCGACACCCCCTTGGGTTTGTTGGCCCCTCTGATGGCCCTCGGGTCACGGTGATGGTTTTTGCCCCGCCGAGCCATGATGCGTGGGGCTTTCGGCATCAAACTTTGCAAAGCCGTAGATCGGTCAAATCTGCACCGTTTGGGGGTGTTTTGGGGCCTCGTTTGAACCGGAATTCGCCGGCGCTACACGGCGATTACTTGCCTGGACCCGCCGAAAACGCCCCGGGACCGGCCCGCCGGGACAGCCTTCTAATCGGACGAACAATCACAATAGAACAGATCAAGCAGGCAGTACAAAGCACAAACACAGAACGTTGGAAACTGAAGGAGAGGATGCGAGTTGCGAGGGCAAGAGCTCACTCGGTGCTCTTCTTGGGCTCTTTGGGAAGCTTGTCGGTCATGGTTTCCTCAATGATATCGGGGAGGACTTCGTCGGTCGTGCTGCATTCGATCCGGACTGTCGTGAACTGCTGGTACGACCCCTATTTTTCCCATCTTATCTTATCAGCTTCGTTCATCTTTTATCTTATCTGTGCCCCTGTCTTTTCCCCTTTATTCGTCGTCATGGACACTTTCTCTCATGGAACACTGCCTCGTTTTGCCCTCTACCCTGTCCTCTATTGTTCTTTCACTCTCACACAGCCTTATGACTCGTTATGACTCGTCATTACTTCTTTATTATTTCACCCTTGTTTTGGCGCAGCCTTCGCGCAGCCTTGTGACCTTTCCTTATTGTTCTTGTTGTATTGCCTCATCGCTCGTCATCCTGACTCATTGCGGCTATGTAGGTTGTAGTTACAGTATATAACTTAGGTAGTTCGCTCTGCATGTTCCTCAGCTTGACCTCTTTGTCAATACACTGCTCTACTCATCGCTCCAGCTTATTGCTCAACGTCTCTCATCGCTCCCACTACTCTTATCTCGCTTTCTGCTCATCTTATCTGGTCTTTAGTTTGGTTTAGTGTTCGCTCTTCGCGACATTAGGTCAAGCTACCTCTGTGCACCGGCAACGCCGATCGTTGTCCCTGCATTCCGGCCCCTCTGGTACACTGGTTGACCTGCCGATCAGGTCTCACTCTGGCAACTCTGGTTCCCTCACACCGTCAAGATTCCGCCCTGCGAGTTTAGACCGCACTTTGTCATCCACCGGCCCAACACTAGCCACTACCGCGACGGGTATATAGGCAAGAAGCCCGCACTCTGTGAACAGCAACCCTGCCCGCACCGTTATAACCCACTCCGACAACAAGACCCGGACTACCTCCGAAAGAATCTCCCAGCAGACGCCCTCGTTCTTGAGGCTTCGACCGACAACTACCGCACAGTCCTCTATTCCGCACACCCACCACCGTCGCCTTCCGCACCACCAGCAACCCCACCCCCTGCCACTCATCAACCTCTACCCGAGGAATCCCCGCAAGCATTTCACTCCGCCGAATCTTCCCCTGCGCCTACCGCCAAGACCGCCAAGGGTTACGCTTTACCCACCGACTCGTCCGAAGAATCCGACACTCAAGAAACCGCAGTAAATCCCTCCGCCTCACAAACCCCCGTTTCACAATCACCCGCATTAGCCCTCGACACCGCCCTCGCTAAACTCGCTGCTTCCGCACCCGTTACCACTCATCACCGCATCTCCGGCTCCGGCTCCACTACCCCACGTCCGTCGCTTAAGCAACCGATCCGTTCTCCCCTCCCCAGCCCTATTCCCCAGAAGGAGGAGGTTGCATCTGACGCTCAACGCTCAGACATCGTACCTTCTACTTCAACTACTTCTCAACTCTCTTCCACCCTTCCCCCCGTCACAAACCCTCGCACTACCTCCGTCATGGCCGACCCCACGCTAACCAAATTGTTGCAAGAGCAGCAGCGCGCCACTCAGCTCATCCAAGCTTCCCTGGACAAACTCACCGCCGCCAAGACTGCTTCAACTCGAAATCCGGTCAAGGAGCCCGAGCCCTTCAAGGGTGAATCAGGCGACGCGCAGCGCTTCCTCCGTTTCTTCTCCAACTGGGCCACCTCTAACTCCGAGCTCAAGGACGACGACAAGAAGAAGATCTCGTCCGCCCTCTCGTATCTTCAAGGCAGCGCTGGCTCTTGGGCACTCCAGTATCTCGACCAGATCGCCGAACACGAGGCAGCTGCCACAGATGAAGACAAGGCCAAGAAACCGTGGCCCTTTGGAGGCAAATGGTCCGAGTTTGTTGTCGCCTTCAAGAAGCGCTTCCAACCTGCCGACCAGGAGAAGGCTGCAGAGGCTCAGCTCGAAACTCTCACCCAAGGAAGGAAGTCCGCATCACAGTTTGCCGCCGAGTTCATGGAGATCTTCCCCCGCACCGGCTTATCTCAGAAGGATGGCATGGCCCGCTTCCGCCGCAAGCTCAACAACCGTGATCGCATCATGTTGGACCTTATTGCCGTCACCAAGCCTGCTGACAAGAAGCCGGCCACTCTCCAGGATTACTGCGACATCGTAAACGAGAATGACTTCACCTTCTCCGGCGGCAGTACTCCCTTCCCCACCTCTACGACAGCTCGCTCTGCCCCAGCTCGTGACCCCTTTGCCATGGACATCGATGCAACCCGTGTAGGACCCAACGGCAAGTCTCGCGATGACTTCCTCCAAGCCATGCGCGGACGGTGCTTTGGTTGTGGTTCGACCGCCCATGTCAAGAAGGACGGAAAACCACGGCAGTCTCCGATGCAACTACTGCCAACGCATGGGTCACTCGTCCAACGTCTGCCAGGACAAATATATGGGTATCACGCCAGGTCGAGGTCTTGCCCCACGCCGCCGCATTGCTGCCACTCAGGAAGCTCCGTTCTCCCTCTTCAACGAAGGCTCGTCCACTCCCACTGCTACTGCCACTGTCGCTGCCACTCCGTCCCCTTCTGTCGATATTAACGCCATCAATGCCGCCCAGCAACGTCAACTCGAAATCCTGGCCAAGCTCGAGCAGCTCCAACAGGATTTTTGAAGAGGGTGCTTGCTAAAGCCGCAACGCTTGCACCCCTCTCTCCGCCGTATGCCGTCTCCGAGTATGATTCCATTCATTCATGTACTATTAGCTCAGTTCGCGAAATACACCCTGGTTCATCCCACTTTCGCATCCGGATCAGACTCAGAGGCAGGAACCGAACGGCAAATCCCGCGGCAATGATTGATTGTGGCGCCACTGGCAGGTTCCTGGACAAACCCTTTGTGGCCAAACACCGCATCACCACCTACCCCCTCCGGCATCCTATCCAACTCCTTAACATCGACGGTACCCCAAACCAGGCTGGCCATATCACCCACTTTTCTCGACTCGAACTCACGGTGGACGGACACACCGAGTGGACG